AAAAAAACCGTTTAAATATAAAAAGATCAAAGTGTAAAAAAACATTAAACTATGTCTCTTACGAGTTTTTTTTTTAAATTTTCTTATAGTCACTAGGTTTAAGTATATCAATACTAGCGACTCACCCTCGCTCCGCTCGGGTTCGTCCCTAATTACGTTTTAAGGTGTCTGTCTGCCCACTACACCGTCATACCATGACCTCCTAGCACGGTCAGGAAAAAAATATTTTTTTGTATTGAAAAGTATGAGACTCTGCCCACTAAACCGTTCGGTCACCGTGCCGGCACCGTCGAATGCCGTGCACGGAGCGGTAACAATTGTCGGCGAGAATATTTTGTCGGTGCCGTGCCGCAATGGAGAGCATACGCATGCTGCAGCACTAAAACCGTTATGTACGGGTATAATACGCTGTTGATACGTTCTAGTGGGCATAATAGTCCGTACCATGCTCGTTTCCTTGCCTAATACGTTCATAGAACGGTCAAGGTATGAGACGGTGTAGTGGGCAGACTCCTATAAGGTTTAGTATAGATTTCTTAGAGATCAGATAGTTTCCCGCAGAAAAAAGTAGCTTATATGTTGACCCGGATAACCAGCTATCATCATAAAAAAAATATCAAAATTCCTCCAATGGTTTTTCCGTGATGCGGTCACAGACAGACAGACAGACAAAAATTCTAAAAACTATAGATTCGGCCTGTGTATTGATAAAAATGTCTATTTCAATAAGATTTTCCAAAAAAATATTTAATGTACAGATTCGGTTTAGTTACAATTTTATGATATGTATAGATTTACAAATTGTTTGTTATATAAATCTATACATATAATACTGCCTCTGTGGTGTAGTGGCTAGCATGTATGGCTGCACACCCGGAGGTCCTGGGTTCGAGTCTCGGGTCGGGCCAAGTTTAGTTATTGAGTCTTTCTGTATAGTAAGCCTCAGTAACAGCCCGGAGTTGGGAAGTTGGCGGTGTTTCACCCCCGTGCCTCGGAGAGCACGTAAAGCCGTCGGTCCTGCGCCTTAACTCTCACCGGTCGTGTCGAGTAGTCGTCCCACCGGAATATGAGAGTGACAGGAATAGAGAGTGCACGTGTGTCTGCGCGTACACTTGTGCACTATAATATCTCCTGTGCTGTTGGGTAGTCTCAATGAGATTGGCCGCCGTGACCGGAATCGGTCAGGAGAACATCATCATCACATATAATAAAATTGTAACTAAGCCGAATCTGTACATTAAATATTTTTTGGAAAATCTTATTGAAATAAACATTATTATCGATACAGAAGCCGAATGTATAGTTTTAGGATTTTTGTCTGTCTGTCTGTTACCGCATCACAGAAAAACCACTAGAGATTTTGATGAAATTTGGTATGGTGATAGCTGGTTATCCGGGTCAACATATAGGATACTTTTTACCGCCGGAAAATATCTCATGTCTGAGAAAAAATGCAAAAACTACAATGTAACAGTATACTAATCTGTTAAACCTAAGAATTTGGCGTTTAGCCATCTGAACGTGGGCGGAGCCGCTGGCAATGCCAGTTACTTATAAAAACGTAACAAGAAAGTATTGAGCATTATTATGTTTAGTTCTAGTTATTGGGAGGTAAAACAATGACTTGGTAGTATAAATATACCTAAAGTAATTTGAACTGCAGATGTCCTTCTCTTAAACAAGAGAAGGACATCTGAAGTTCAAATTACTTAAAAATATGGTGCGTCAGCAAAATTATCTAATAACTTATAAAGAAATAATAGATCTCTCCCCATTCGACGCTGTCAGGACGTAATCTTTTGTAACGCGATATTGAACAATTTGCATAAGTATTTAAGGCTTATAGTACTCTTGTACATCATAAAATTTTACAGAAAAAACTTTGTTTATAATTATTCTTAACATAATAATTAGGTAAACCTAATTATTATTATTTTTATAATATACCTACATATATACTCAAATGTACATTATCGTTATATATGTATACTTAGATTATAAACTTTTGAACGAACCGGGTGTTAAAATATTACACCCAAAATTAACATGCAGGTATGTTAAAACATATCAAAATCTCCTGATGTCGACATCCTAAAGGAAGTTTCCATAAAAAAAATTGAGGTGCTCAATTAGTTCATTCTACATTTCAAAATTTGGCTCAAAATCTTCCGAGTGATGTGTGATAAACCGTGCCAGACTTTAAGCGCGATCGGCCAAAGAAACGAGGCACTGAATGCACCTTCAACTAATCTCGGTACACGTTTGGCTAATGCTTATTTTCGTATCGCTTTAGGTCTCCGGCTGGGCACTGTGCACAGATGGCCATGTGGAAAAGAGGTTGATTGCCATGGTCTCCGTAGATTCTCTTGTAAAATAAGTTCAGGTAGACTTTTCCGTCATGGTTCTCTAAACGATTAATAAAAATTTGTAAAAAATGTAAATAGGTAGGTATATTATGAAAATGAATAGAGATGATTGTGGTTTGATAATACTTGCCAACAATGATGCCAAGTAAACTGAAAATCGATACATATAACAAAACAGTAACTTAGCAAAATCTGTACATATAATATTTTTTAAAAACAAGGATTGTAACGTATTGTGTAATATAGTAATAATGACGACCCCCAAAATAATATAAGTTATTAAAAAAAACTGCTTGTCTGTATATAATATAACATTTATGATTTAGGATACCTTTTTCTACAGGTAATATCTTTCATTTCCTCAGGAAAACATCATAAACTGATTTTGAGTCGTCCTTAGAAATTTACATGGCCTAGCACTGGCTAAACTTTGAGAGATACCTACATCAAAACAATGTATTAGAAAACTGTAGGTCTTAAAAAGCCTACAGAAAAATCCGCAATAGCGTGTCTTTCTCCTAAGGTACACTAGCAATAACTATTTATATTTATTTAAATTTTAAGGGATGTACCCGAGAGAAGCGAGACTTCGCTAGTATAAAAATAAAATACAATTATGGTAGGTAACTTCATAAGAATCTAATTTTGGGAATATTTTTATTTTCAATCCAGTTATTTTATTTATTAATTTACATATTTACAAACATAAGAATACATTTATTTAAATAAATAAAAAATTGTCACCTAACTCTATAATAAAAGAGCGGATTGCTGGCACTTTATTCACTAAAATATTCTTTTAGAATTTTACACTTTCATAAGCAAACACAAGTTTTCTTGTGTTTAGAGACTAAATAAATGAGTCTATCGTTGTAGCAGTCACTTTATATGTTAGTTATCTAACAAAATCACCACGCTCAAGTTCTCTCTTGTTTGAGTAGAGCTAGTCACCTATCTCGCCGTACTACCATCATTGATATTTATCTACTCTATAATGATAGTTGGAACTTGGTGTAATAGCTCATATTAATTTTTATACATTATCTATACTTAAGTATTTAGAGTTATTATTTGTAATATTATTAAACATTATATTAATTTTCAATTTTTTTACATCAAATTTGCAAGCATGCCGTGCATCACTAAGTATACCTACCAATATACAATAGTATATTGGTGTAAACAAACGATTAGATTCACAGGTCAAATCGTCTTCCTAGATTCGTTTGTCGTCATCTACGATTGTTACATTGTGGCCATCGATCAATTTTGATCGATGATTGTGGCGATAATATCGCCACTTGTTTGTTCGTCACTTACATAACATATTATGTTATGTAATTTACGAACAAACAAGTTGAGTTAACAAAAACATGCTTTAATATAAATAGCTGCGGAAAAATAAAAAATAAATAAAAAGCGAATACACAACCAAGATAAGACTGCTTTGTTAGACACATAAATAAAAATAAATATAAACCTTTACAGCATTTGCAAGTTTGGAATATGGGAATGGGAACACAGAACGTTCCCCTTTTTGCAACAAAATAGATCCGGCATCATGGAAAGTTAAAAATATCATCTCATACTAGACTATCCACCACGCGTAATGGAAAATGAGAAGAAAGAAGAGAAGCATAAAGGAATAAAGAATGTTATGTATGGAAAACTCAGTATCTGGAATAAAATCATTTGAGTCTTAAACTCTTATTTAAATAAGTTCCTAAAACCTATTGCTATTCATGCACGACTTGTTAAAAATGTGAAAATGGTGCACTGATTGAAATGTGAATATTAATTATATTATTACATAACATACTAGCACTGCCCGCGGCGCCCGCGTTCAGATGACCAAAAACCAAATTATTAGGTTATACATATTAGTATACTCTTACAATGCAGTTTTTGTATTTTTTCTCAAAAATGAGATATTATCCTGCGGTAAAAAGTATACTATATGTTAACCCGGATAACCAGCTATTACCATACTAAATCCCTCCAGTGGTTTTTCTGTGATGCGGTAACTGACAGACAGACAAAAATTCTAAAAACTGTAGATTCGGCCTCTGTATCGATAATAATGTTTGTTTCAATAAGATTTTCCAAAAAATATTTAATGTACAGATTCGGCTTAGTTACAATTTTATTATATGTACCTATAGATTATTACGTTTAGTACAGATTTTTCAGAGGTGAGATATTTTTCCACAGTAAAAAGTATCCTAAATGTTGACCCGGATAACCAGCTATCATCATACCAAATTTTATGAAAATCTATCCTGTGGTTTTCCCGATGCGGTAACAGACAGACAGACAAAAATTCTAAAAACTATAGATTCAGCCTCTGTATCGATGATAAAGTCTATTTCAATAAGATTTTCCAAAAAAAATATTTAATATCAGATTCGGCTTAGTTACAATTTTATTATATGTATAGATTCTAATATGTGTATTATATTATATTGTACATTACAGATTTAAGCGGAAGCTCGTGAGTGGATTTCCCAAGCTGCCCTGCGGGCGTATTATTATTAATTATATATTTGTAGAGAAACCTTGAGATCTAAGTTCTTTTATCATAATAAAAAAACTTCTGACTCGGGGTCAGGCTATATAACCAAATAAGATAATAAGATGAATGAGTTATTTGCACGGTAAACGTTGTGCTCGCACGTCTTGCACAGTGACATTCACCAACGATATCTCATAAGGTCTGGTGATCTGTAGCCTTTTCATATTGATTATAATTAATTATGTAAGTTATATTTTGCTTGTATTTTTTTTTTTTACTATGGGTATTTTATTTGTTATTGCTGAGTTTTTTTGTTACTTTACCATGGTGGAATTATTTTTAATATTTATTTAATAATGTTAGTTATTTGCATTTTATTATCATGCATTTATTTTCTATGATAAGAAAATTATAAACACTATAAAACCAGATATGTGATCCTTTGAAAAATAAATATTTAATTAATATCAGAAACTTAAGCAATTTTATTGTTAATTTAAATGGCCGGGAGAAAAGGTTACTGTTTTTTCTTTTAACAAAAAAAGATAAGAAAGAAGAGGATGTACTGATGTCTGGAAGTATAGGTACATGTATGAATGTTTTTTATCTTTCACACAAAAACTACTGAATGGATTTTAGTGAAATTTTACAATAATATAGCTCATACTAGCATTGCCCGCGGCTTCGCCCGCGTTCATATGACCAAAAACCAAATTCTTAGGTTTTACGTTTTACATATTAGTATACATTGCATTTTTTATATTTTTTCTCAGAAATGAGATATTTTCCCGCGGTAAAAAGTCGTATATGTTGACCCGGATAACCAGCTATCCCCATACCAAATTTCATCAAAATCCATCCAGTGGTTTTTCTGTGATGCGATAACAGACAGACAGACAAACAGACAAAAATTCTAAAAACTATAGGTTTGGCCTCTGTATCGATAAAAATGTCTATTTCAATAAGATTTTCCAAAAAATATTTAATGTACAGATTCGGCTTACTTATAATTTTATTATATGTACAGATATGTATAGGTATTCATTTCAATGCTACAAATGTTTATGTCATAAACATCTAAGCAAAGATAAGGATTGTGTCCTTCGATTAACAATAGTACTATATTGTCGATCGAAGATTGTGTCGATAACATGGCCTAAGATCCGGGTGCAAGATTGCTACGTTCATCGAGTATTTAATCTCAATCATTTTTTTATATACAATAATAAAAGGGACCTGGGACAATACCTATGTATTGACCGGGGTGTAACTCTATTTCACTTTAATCTACCTCTAACAGCTAGTAACCCCTATTGGCAACCACATTACATAGGCAGAGGTATTTTATCAGGTACAGAAAAACAATAGCTATAATTTGATATAATATAAATAATGATTATACGCCATGAACGTATAAATATAACAAAATATGACCTGCTTACTCCTGGCTGCGAAGAGATTGCGGCCAAGTGCGCAACGGCACCTATCACTTTTCAAGTTCTTTACGTATAATACATATATTTCTGTAAAGCGAAGTATAATATTTAGTTTAATAACAAGTGCATTGATTTTGTTCCAAAAAGTCAATTATTATTAATTTAATTAAACATGCTAGCTCGATGAACGTAGCAATCCTGCAGCCGGATCTTGATCCAAAAGCGACGATGAAATATGAAACGATTACTATCTATCTTAGGCAACTAAAAAAAATACACCTAAAAATCTACCCTCTGATACTATTATAGACCGTGCTGACTTATTAATAAAGACTACATTTGCACATCGTCGTATAAATGTACGTAGCACGATGATTACGCAATACGTTCAACGATTTTTTGTGATTTTTTTTGTTAGTTTTTGCTTTCAATTATTTATTATTACTTTAAATTACAAGTGGATGTGTTTATATTGTAAATACGTTTATAACCAACTTCCAAAAAGGATAAGGTTCTCAATTCATCGTTTTTTTTTTTAAGGAACTTATATACTCGAAGACGCATGCATGAACCGATTTGATTTTTTTTGTTTCGAAGGGTATACTTCCCAGGTACCACTTAAATTTTATGGAAATCGGTCGAGCGGTTCTTTAAAAAATCAACAATAAATAGTTTTTTAAATAAGTTGTTTAATCGAATATGTTATTAAAAAACTTTCTTCTTACAAATTACCTGCTTATTACGTCTACAGTAAAAACGGAAAAATAAAAACTAAAAAAACCGACTTCAAGGCACTAAAATGTAGAAAAAACCCAAACGGGGGTTTTCATTTAGAATAGGTAATCAAATATTTTCGAAGTCGGTGCCAGCCGACTATATTTTAAGATATGAATATCTAACAGGTAAATATGATTAGGTATGAACTCTAATATTAGGTATATTAAAAAATCTCTAATATTAGGTATAAGAAAAACTTTTCCTCTTTATAATATTAGTATAGATATATATATATATATTCGTAAAACTATTCGCAATTATCTTTAATTAAAGGCTGTATACATAAGTCATCTCAATATTGCAATATTAAGCTACATACTAACATAGTAAAAATGCCGGCCATTCATTTTAAATATATCCATCAAACTTCAAATTTTATTTAAAATTACCTACACAATTCAAGATTATTGGGTACATTTATGTTTTTATTAATTTTATTCGATTATATTCCAATAACACAGATACTTTCTGAAGAAATCGACTGGTACATCAGTTAAAAACAATTTGAATTTAATGCTTCCGTCGATTTAGCTTTTCCAAAGTAATAAACGTACCAATTTAAAACTGCGAACTGATAAAATATACTATGTGCGTATCTTATATTGTTGTATTTGCATTCGATATAAAATTACATCTTCAATTCATCGCAATATTATACATACATATACTGCCATCTTCAATCAAACTCGATTGTTTTAGAACGCGAAGCTGTCATGAGTAAGCCTATAGTTTCATACGCAATATGTCCAATTTTAGGTCTCTTTCTTTTGTTCATTTCACTGATTCTGTACATCAGCAATGTGTCTTAGAAATTGAATAATAATAAATATCTTGGGACATTAACACACAGCACCATCTAGTTCCATGGTAAGCTACAAGGCTCGTGTTATGAATACCAGATAGTTGATACACTACACATATGTATATAAATTTAAATACATACCTATTATAAATATAAATCCCGCATGACTGGAGTACAAACATTCGTGCTCATCACACAAATGTATGCACCTAGCGGGACTCGAACCCGCGACCTCTGGCAATGCAAGTACTACAAATTGAGTCAAATTTGTAGTTTGATTTTATTAATTTTATTTTTGTTTTTTTTTTCAGAAATATACAAAGGAAATATTTACAATGGCACTAAGAAATCGTGGAAGTGACGCAGTACATTGGTATATGCAAGAGATTAGTTCTAGAGTAGTTGCTGAGAGTGGAATAGCAAGTGACAGACACCATCTCGGTAAACTTATTTTACAAGGCTTTAAAGATGACCCAAATTTTATTGCGACGGTAAATACTTATTTTATTATTTTATTATTAGGATATGAAAATACGTTGGCGAAAAGAAAATTGTTTTTTATTTTATCTATACAGATAAATAAAATTGAAGTGTCTGTTTATAATGTCAAAATAACAGCTTTTTATGCATATGGATGTATACACGGGACATATACCATAACAACATTTTTTACAATTTTTGTCTGTCTGTCTGTCTGTCTCTTTGTTCCCAGCTAATCTCTGAAATGGCTGGACCGATTTTGACGGGACTTTCACTGGCAGATAGCTGATGTGATAAGGAGTAACTTAGGCTACTTTATGTTAGAAAAAAATAGGGTCCCACGAAAAAAAAACCAATGAAAAATGTCATAATATCCGATTCAAATAGGGAAGTTGTATATAATATATTATAATGTGAAAAAAGACCGTGAAAGATTTAAACTCAGTATCTTTGTGATTCTAGTTTATTATATAACAATAAATTGTGGTAAAAAATATTTTATTCAGATAGATGGGGCTACAGATGAAAAGGAAACTTTCGGATCATCATTAAAGAGATCAATCCAGTGTGCGACGGCCTTTAGAAAAATTGGTTTAAAACATGGAGATGTTATTGTTATCATGGCTCCCAATCACATACATATTACTATACCAATGTATGCCGCGCTTTATGTTGGTGTAGGTGTTTCCGGGATTGATATGACTTTAGGAGTTAGTAAGTAAATAGCACTTATAATCTTGTTTAATTTTAGTTTTTTTTTAATTTATTATTCTTCATTGCACCCAAAAAAAACCAGGTGTTGTAAGATAAAGTACATTAAGCATGGTAGTCTTATTGTTAAAATCATCTCTATCAGACAGCCTTTGGTGGGAGGATTTAATAAGACCGGAAACAGTCCGATGCTTTCAAAACTTAAATAAGTAATAAAAAAATTCCAATATTTTCGAAGTCGGTGCCAGACGATACAAAGCAAACAAAATCTATTTCGATACGTACCTGTAAATACATCACAAATTGATGTATAATATTTTAGCTATAGTAAGTACCTATAGTTCATACTTTTTCGTTTAGTATAGATTTCTCAGAGGTGAGATATTTTCTCGCAGTAAAAAGTATCCTATTTGTTGACACGGATAACGAGCTATATATCAAAAGTAATACAAAAAAGTAACATGTTATTTCTATTCTATTTCTTTTTAAATTCCAATAACTGCAATATTACAGTTAAAGTTGAATAGAAAATGACTATTTATTTCCTGATGTAGATAAAAACAACAGTTTTTTTCTTCCTTTTATTTTATTTATTCAAAAATAGCTAGATAAAGAACAAAAAACTATTATGAAGGCTTTGTTTACATGTGTTATCTGTGTACATACATAAAATCCTGTAATAGTTTTATTTACTTGTGTATTATTCTCATGCAATGATATCGCATATTTACCTAAGTAATGATTAAACAAAAAATTATAATATATAATTCAAATACTTATTAGATAAAATCCATTACTATATAGTAAGTAGGTTGGAGGCTAAACTAAAAAAACTTCCATCTCCGTCTATGTTGATTTGCGTACGACTTACTCGAGAACGTCTTCATGGATTTAACTTTTAAGGGCTTAGGGCTACCCCTTAGCCAAAAGTCAAAAACGGAGCCTTTATAATCTCGTGAAATCCGTTTGGGTGTATGTCATAGTCATTTTACTCGAAGAATATTGGACCTACCTATAATAGAACTGAAATTTGGTATATGGTACCATATTTCAAAAATATTTAGTACACATGATATATCTGGATAGGTCTTTAAAATAGTTGAGATCTATGTTTCTAAGTTCCTTTTTTTGTTCAAACTAATAGTTGCGGAGTTATTTGCCGAGACTTGTAAAATCTTTACCACTGCCACAATTCTGAATAAAAAATATAGGAATTCCAAAATACTTAAAAAAAGTTCAGTTCTGGCTCAAAACTGATTTACCTATAATATTTTATTTTTATTTTTAGATGAACTCCGTGATACTTTTAAATTCAATGAACCAAAAATAATATTTTGTCAAAAAGAAAAGGAACAGGATGTCGAGTTGGCTTTACAGGCCTTACAACATAACGCTCAAATCGTTACTTTTGATAAAGGAGGCAAAAACATGTGCTTTTCGGATTTTTTGGATAAATATGGAAGTGATGCATCAATTGAAAATTTCCAGTAAGTAATTCTTATCAATACATACATATAATTATAATTATAATAACATCGTAGACGTTTTGGGTCTGCATGCTAAAATTTTAGAAAACTAAAACTGGTAGACACGAAGCATATTATAGTCATAAAAAGTAATTATTGAAATTATTATGTGCTTGTGTTTGTCTGTTTGTTTGTTGATTTCTGCTTGCATCAAGTAAAATCTACTTATTGCATAAAACACTCTTTTCTCAAAATTTCTTTTTAAAATAATATTTACTAAACAAAAGTGGCATTTAGTCTAGTGCATAGCGGAAACAATGCTGAGATAAACACGAGAAATTGAATAATAGAATTAAACTACTCTATTCTATCAAAAATTCTCACCATAAGTCTGAAGTTGGGAAACTGGCGGTGATTCACTTGCGTGCCTAGGTAAAGTACCTCCTGCACCTAATCTCTGATTGCGAGTGTCAAGTTATTCTGCCGGACTGGGAGAGTAACAGAATGGAGTCACTAGTGTCTTGTCTATACATAAAATAAAATTGTAACTAAGCCGAATCTGTACATTAAATATTTTTATGAAAATCTTATTGAAATAAACATTATTAACGATACAGAGACCGAATCTATAGTTTTTAGATTTTTTGTCTGTCTCTCTGTCTGTTACCGCATCACAGAAAAACCACTGGAGGGATTTTGATGAAATTTAGTATGGTGATTGCGGGTGATCCGGGCCAACATGTAGGAACTTTTTGCCGCGGGAAAATATCTCTTTTCTAAGAAAAATACAAAAACTGCAATGTAAGAGTATACTTACGGTAAAACCTAAGAATTTGGTTTTTGGTCATCTGAACGCGGGCTTATGCACTATAAAATCTTTTGCTTACATGGCTCATCTTAGTGAGATTAGCCATCACCATAAACTCTTCTGATCATTGTTATTATATTGTTTTCAGAGCTTCAGATTTCGATCCGAATGAAACAATAGCGTTGTTGGTAGCAACTAGCGGTACCACTGGTTTACCTAAGTCAGCTGCTGTCTCTCATAAGAACTTCGCCGTCTGCGTTCCTTATATGTGGTAATTATTGGTTATTGTCAAAAATATTGTAGATAATAGTAAGGATCAGTAATTAGTGAGAAAGAAGTTTAGTAAAAAAAGTTTAGGTTTACCATTATTTCATGAATATTAATGCATAAGATCAGTTATTGTTTTTCATATGTTATTTATTCAATGTAATCACAAAAAGTTTGAATTTAAAAAAAATAACTTTTAAAATAAATATTGATATGAAAATCAAAAATATGTTAACTTTTAGCTTCTTTCTTGATAAGCCCTGCGCTATGTTTTACTAGGTATTTTTATTAGTTTATTTTTTACATTTAACTTCACACATTAGAAGGTATTAAATATAATTGTTACTTAATTTATTTTAAAGTTGTCATGTTTAATTTAGATAATTTGCTATATTTCAGGACAATGTACGATAAGTTTCCAACTCCGACACGATTGCCAATCGTATTCTCACCCATCCAGTGGTATTCAGCATTATTCAAGTTCGTGTTTTCACCCATATTACGGCACACCAGGCTACAGTCATCCGCGCCCATGACGCAGGAGCATGCGTATGACATTATTAATAAATATAGAGTATGTATAAAGAAATAGTTTTTATTTTTTTTTAGTATTACGGATACTTGTATATATGTATATTTCTTGCATCATTATACTAGTGACTCACCCTCGTTTCGCTCAGGTTCATCTATGGGTACGTTTTGACGCTTTTCGCGACTTTTTCCGATGTTTTTAGTTATTCTGCTATTCGGAGTGAAGACAAATCCAACAAAAAAAAGATTATAAAAATCGGTCCGGCAGTTCTCGAGTTATAAGTGTCGTAACAAACCCGACTTTGTTTTATATAAGTATATAAGATATTATATACTTGTATATATGTCTGCCTAGGTTTTTGTTTTAGTGATAGAAAGTTTTTGAATACTTCTGAAGGATTTACAAACAACAATTTGTACTTTTCGTTATAAATTTAAAGCTTATGCTTATCTTCCACTATTTTTTACAGTACTAGATCATTTCACTGCATTCGCATCACATTAAATGGATAATATTAAAATAATTTTATAGAATAAAATAGAATATTTCTTTATTGACACAATTGCTTGTTGTTACATAAGCCTTTTGAAGACTCTGACTCCCAAACTAGATTAAACCTCTATGTCAGGAGTCAAATCTTTTAGTTATTTCGTTGTTAAACCAAAATTAAATTAATTATAGTATTTAATATCCACTAATGCTATAATAACATATGTATGATTAAATCGAGTAAAGTGGGTTTTCTTTTACAGCCAACTTATGCAATGTCAGGCCCTAACATGTTAACAACATTTTTTAAAATTGGTGAACGAGAAAAATGTGACTTCACCTGTTTTGAAGTACTTTTAGCGGGAGGAAGCGCAGTCCATCCCAGCCTTTTTGATGATGTAAAAGTGAGTGGCAAGTTTATTATTATTATCATAATATTGTACTTCTCCATATATCCTGCAAAATTTAGGTTATCTCAGACAATTGCAGGTTTTGTCATAATGTTTTTCTTTATTGTAAAACCGTTGTAGTCATGTTGAAAATAATTAGCACATGAGAATTTTAGTAGTACGAGACACAAGGTTTGAATTATTTAGGTAACAAGCGAATGCGTTACCATTGTGCCTTTAATACTCTTTGACCAACTTCAAAAAAACTGAGATACTAAATAAATAATAATAAATTGGCAATAAGAGTGAGCTAAAAACAAACATTGTTACTTTCACAAAATTAGCACCTGAACGACCGAGCTTCGCTGGGTTTTTTTGAACAATCGTGTTTTTTCGGAAAAGCTATCAAAATTGCATTTTTTTCAGGAAAATTCACCATAAAAGAATTTTAAATTTAAAATTAATATAATAAGACTACCAAATATTTTTTACAAATTGTTATTTTTACAGGCTGCATCTCCAAACACTCAATTGAAAGTAATCTACGGTATGAGTGAATTGTCGGGAATAGCATTTGATTTTGATGCCACTCAACCCACTTCATTGGGCAGAATGCTGTGGAACTTTAATCATAAAGTATGTATAATATAAATAAAACAAAGAAAATATAAATATTATGATGCATATATCGTACATACAGGCACCAGAGCATATTTACGCGCTGATATACAAAAAATTAATGACTTTTCAGGATTTTAATGATTGTCTGTGTATGGGAACAGTGTTATTATAAAATGCCGTGTACACGGGTTGAACTATAAAGTGTCATAGAGTGGGTTAATTAGTTACACCTCCAGGTAAATTTCTAAGAAATTAATTAAATTTCTGAAAAATCTATTGTTAAATGTAATGCCGACGTGTCCGCGGTCGTGGAGGGGTTAAAATAATTAATTACTTTGACATACATAAAACAATCATAATATTTATATTGTAACTCAGTATAATATTTTGAGGAGTCGCAAAGAAATGTGTTTACGTCAAAATGCAAAAAATATGATGGAATACGTTTTTAATATGATAAGCTAGAAAGAGCTATTTACCTACATTCATGAATTCAGCTTATTTTAATATTTTACTTCGCAATATACTTAACATTCCTTATCTTTATATATCTGGGAACTTCATATTTGAATTCAAATTAATAAAAATTGAAAAATAACAAATACATGTTTTTACATCTAAAATCATCACAATTTACAAAATATACTATAATAATTATAGTAATATTAATAAATAACAATGATAATAAAATCATTATTATGAGCGACAAATATACAATGGAAATTGCAATACTCAATAATCCCAACTCCTTGAGGGGTGCATAAATCATACAAATAATATGCATCTGAATGCCGACACAAAGTGTGTTTGACATAGGACTCGAATCCATCACCTCTAGCATAGAGATGCCTTATTTGTGCTAACATTTAATAAAAACCTGTATTCAACCCTTTTTTTAACGTCCCACTGCGGGGCACGGACCTCCCTTCGATACGAGGGAGATCAGGCCGTAGCCCACCACGCTGGCCAAGTGCGGGTTAGCGGACTACACATTTCTTTCGAAAACTTACTAAGTTCTCTCATACACGCAGGTTTCCTCACGATGTTTTCCTTCACCGTAAGGCAAGTGGTAATCATGTTGGAAATTATTCGCACATGAAAATATCAGAGGTGCGAGAACCAGGATTTGAACCCGCTTCACTCAGTTTCCCAAGCGAGCGCGTTACCACTGGGCTACCACTGTCTCTATTTAATAATTTAATTAAAACCTATTATTCTCCTCTACTTATGTCTAAATCTACCTATACTTATTTACTCACATACCTTCTTAACACGTGGATAATTTAATTATTAACTTAATAAAATTAAGTTCACTATATTTTAGTTAGTCGACCCTGAAACATTAAAAGAAGTGACGGAACCGAACAAACCTGGCGAACTGTGGGTGAAAGGGCCAGGTGTTTTCAAGGTAGGTTGTATCTAATACCTACGCGACGTAATAGTAAAAACAAAAAGAAATCTCTAATAGATTTTATTTTCATTTTATGTTGTCATAACAAAGCACCTTGAAAAGATATGATTGCTACCAGACAATTTCAATATTATTTAATAGTATTATATAATTTTACTAGCGCTTAGTTATTCAAATCCATACTAATATTATAAATGTGAGAGTTTGTGAGGATGGATGAATGGATGTTTGTTACTCTTTGACTACATGAAATTTGGCACAGAGACAGATTATTGTCTGGAATAGCACATAGATTATTTTTTATCCCGAACTGTACGGTTCCCGTGGGATAGATTTGTTTTTGTCCAGAGACGCTGCTAATATTATATAAACTTACCCTCGCTTTGATCTACTCGCTATGTGCTATTCCAGGTCATCATAACTTTATTGTCCATCTGTATCTAAACTTCATCCAAATCCGTCAAGCTGTTTCAAGCTTCCGCGTGAAGAAATTTGATGTTTGACAACTTAGATACAAAAAGTTTAAAAAATAAAGTATAAAAAATTTATAGTCCCGCTGTGTTACTTTTACTAATTGTAAGTCTTCTTAGGGGGTGTAGACAAGATGTCATTCTAGTTGTTATAATTTAGTAATAATATAATATAAATTATACATAAATTATTAATTATATAAAAATAGGTTTTATATGTATAATTGTAAAATAATTATAAGTTTGTATTCTGATATAAAATACTTTTTTGAGTTTTCTTAAGTTGTCATCTTGAGTGGAAAAAGGGCGGGAAAAGCGTTGTTTTTTTAATGTTTTATGAATTAATGAAATACATCATTCCTTTTCATAATGTTATTTGAGATCTTACTCTGACTCTTTATAAAATAATAAAAACTGTGTACAGTAACATCAAATTTTACTTAGACTACGTGACCTACTTACTTCTGAAATAATGCCGTAACATTATGAGAATGACATACCTATTATGATTCAGAAAATTTGTGAAAGTAAAACAACGGCTGCATAGACATTTTATTTGTTTATATTATATTTTAGAACATCGCTTTGAATATTTTCTAAATAAAAACATCACTCGATATGGTTAAGGTTATTTATTTAAACTTATAGTAGTTTTAAGAAACTTCGAAATCAAAAATATACTTAAAGAATATTATTTCATTTTAGGGCTATTACAATAATCCAGAAGTGACATCTCAAATGCTAATGGAAGGAGGTTGGCTCAGGACTGGAGATATCATGCGTCGAGACGAAAATTGGAACTTTTATTTCGTTGATAGAATGAAACTTTTGCTTAAATACAGAAATCACCACGTAATTTTTTAATTATTAATATTTAGAATATTTTAATTATAATTTAAGTGCCTACATAAATTTCATAATAGCCTTTTTTATCTACAGGGAAAAAATTGAAAAGTCCATAACTTTCAAATATTTCTTAATTAAAAAGTATAACGTTTTTCTACACTATGACGACAACGTTACCTTACAGTTATAATATGTCACGCACATATTTTCTAGTTTTATTAAAAGCCTATATGATTCTAAATATCATTTTGTCTAAGCTTGTTGTGCTTAATCACTGTAGAAAAACTCCAATAGAATCCCATCAAAAGCGACAAAAGCCACATAGAAACCAATAATTTATTGGTGATTCTATTGAAGTTTTTAAATAGGGATGGCCACTTAGAACTAGAAAATATGAAAATACTTGAATAAACGTAACCATTGACCAAGAACATTTTAATATCCTAAATAATAAATGAATACCCACTTGACATGCGATATAGACGATTTACAACAAAGAAGTTGTAATAAATAAAATATGTATATCCACCAGAATTAGTTCCATAATAAATATCGTTCGATTGTTTTAGCTTAAAACAATTTTACCGAACAAATTCTACTAACAAACTTCTAAGTAATTAGGTAGTGTCCTTATTTATTGAGGCCGTTGTCTAAAATTTATTCAATTTTATTGTTATTATACACGCTAATTTCGTGTTTCAAAGTTTATTCTTGTATTGTCTAACTCCAAATATAGTAAGCATATATTAACGTTTGAATATATATTTTTATTTTTTACTGTAATATATTTGGATATAATACGTATTTCACTAAAAAATTGAGAGATAGAAAAAAATAAGGAAACATAAGATTATACAATACTTTCTTAGATTTACGCAACCTTTGAGGCTACTAAAACGTCTCTCCCGTGACCATGATTGCTGTAAAGCATTCAAAACGTCGGGAACCAAGAAAAAAAAATCCTCGAAAAAATCCGAAAAGATAGTTTTATTTAAAATGAGGTTATATTGTTAGTATGAGTAATACCTAAACGTTATGGGTAAAAATATGTTTGACGTAGAAGTACCTACCTTCTATGAATTACATAGTAGGAAAGGAGCTCTTCAATATTAATCCCTATTGATAAACTGTATTTAATCTGTCATCGATCCCACAATCCCTTAAGACTAGGGTATTTAACCAGTGCGTCCTACCCGTAATGACATACGGAGCCGAAACGTGGACACTTACCGTAGGGTTGGTCCACAAATTCAAGGTCGCTCAGCGAGCAATGGAACGCGCGATGCTTTGAATTTCTCAGGCAAACAGAGTTCGAAATGAAGGTTGCCAGAACAGAATTCGCCAGAGGACTAAAGTAACCGACATCGCGCGCAGAATAAGGTCGTTGAAGTGGTAGTGAGCCGGCCATGTCTCCAGACGTACTGATGGTTTATGGAGCCGAATCGTGCTAGAGTGGAGATCGCGTTTAGGCAAGCGTACGTAGTGATGGTTAGCATTCATTGGGAGAGGCCTTTGTTCAGTTCCTCCCCAACGTACGCACACTGGGAGGCGGCCCATTAAGACGGGGGAGATTCCGTTGGGTTTTAGTGGGTAGTACTGGCATTGCCGGTGAGTCCCACACTTCGTGGCTAAATGCATTTCTCAATGTTTCAGCAATGGACGGCGATAGGCTGATTGATTGTATAGATGATATGATAGAACCTATCAATAAAATAACTTTTCAATGTGGATACTATAAGTATGGAATAAGGTATTCAAAAACGATAGTAATTAGACATCGATCAATCAAACAAGTACTCGTAACTGTACAGTGTAATGTCGTAATAATAATTTCATAATATTATTTTGGAGCTCCTCGAACACTTCTGGGTAATAATTAAGAACTTTAAACGTCCAAATGTACGAGCACTACTACTCCCTTCAAATATAAGTTGAAAAAACTTCATGTCTTACAAAAATTAATTTGTTCTTTGAGGTCGAAAATCAAGTATCTATAAATTGGGGCAAAAATGAATTATCTTTTAAGTGGATCGAAAAAATTAGGTTCTTGAGTAAACCTGCACGTCTAAGAAAAATGCATCTCCAGATGTTTTCCTTCAACATGTTAATTAGCATTAGATTAGAGAAAGTACTCTAAAATCTATCTTACTCAGACATACCGTTTCTATTATTTCAGATATCTCCATTAGAAATCGAGAGCGTAATAGCTAAACACCCTGGCGTGTTTGAAGTAACTGTTACAGGAATACCGCACAGGGAACACGGTGACTTGCCTATAGCATTCGTTGTACTTCATGAAGGGTACAATACTAGTGAACAAGAAATAAAGGATTTAGTTAAAAGTAAGTAATATTTTAAGTAAGTTATTATTTATTTTGATAATTCTCATCTAGCCTCCTTTTTTGGAAAGATAAAATAGACTCAAACCAAGCAGATAAACACACAGATAATCTTTCAAATTAATTTAAATATGGATATTTATAAGAAGAAATTGAAAATTGTAATTAGGATTCCTGGGTAAACATAATGTGGAAATTAAGAGTAAGTAAGTAAAAAACAGAGAGAAGTGGCGATCAATCGTGAGGAGCGTTACATCTGCTCCTACAGAAACTGCTACGTGATGGCCACGATCGCTCTGTCAAGAGTGTCACGAAGAAGATGAATTATACTGTAGTAAACTATATACGTACCAACGTTCTGATGGAGCCATATTTGGTTTATCTGTTTTTTTATTACATAATAATGGATCTCAATAGAAAGTTAAAAATATGTTTATATGTCCTTTGAATTGATAGTAAAACCAAGTAACCTCTTTTACTTTTACAGTAAAAATCTTTACATGAAATTGACTGAACGTTTTACATGCTCTTTGGTCACTTCCCAAGGTGTCACCCGCACCATGATAGAATGAAAATAGTGTTTCTTTTTATTTTCAGATGAATTGACTGATTCAAAGCAACTACGAGGAGGTGTCGTATTTTTAAAGTCAATGCCTCTCACTTCCACGTCAAAAGTAGACCGTCAGAAACTAGCCGCTATAGCGCGAAAAAAAGAAGTAATAATATAACGTAGCTGACGCGACAGACATCCTGTTTCAATTTTAATTATTTATCTGTTATCAGTCCACAGTTATCCTATCCTAGTTATCCTGAATATTTCTCTCTTTCTCTACCGTGTCTTCTCTATTTTACAGTCATTGGTGAAGTAAAATATGCCTAAAAGGCACGCCAATAAGGCACAGAACAAAGAACATAACATAATTATTTATCAATGAATTTTAAAGTCATACACAATCCCGAACATCTATACTTCTATACTATTACTAATATTATAAATGTTAAAGTTTGTGAGTATGGATGTATGGATGTTTGTTACTCTTTCACGCCAGAACGGCTGAACCTCTGTGCCAATTTTCATCCAGATCCGTTCTATCTATCTCTATAGATTATAGTCTGGATTAACACATAGACTTTATTTTTATATCGAAAAAATAGACATTTCCCGAGAGATAGATTTGAAAAATCATTTCATTTTTGTTGTACGAATTAATGATTTTACTGTTACTTTTAAATGACAGACCAACCTTTGAGTATTCAAAACAGCCAGATTACAGACGAATAAATTATTATATGTAAATCATGTATATACTCGTAAATATCAAAATTCTTTTCTTTTACAACAGCTCGTTGATTTATTTAACAAAGTATTTATGTAATTTTGCTAGGATATATTGACTTTTGTAAATCACAAATTGTTAATCTTAAAATATAAATTTTAATGATGGTATTTAAAATGTAAATGTTAACGGTTTAAAATTTAACTACAATTAAATATATGATCCTTGTAGAACCGGAATGAGGAAATATTAAAAAAGGTTGCAAATTTATTAGTATGTAGTATATAGTGTTATAGCGATTTTGCCTTGAAGCATTTATTATTCTTACCAACTATTGTTCTATGATATTATATGTATATATATATATATATATATATATATATATATATATATATATATATATACTTAAGTCTTTCTGTACATTATTGTAATAGTAATCAAGAAATATATTATTAAATATACAAATAATTTTATTTATTATATTTTTAATATATTTTGACATCACAGGTAAAAGATGGTCATTAAGAAATCTCTATCATTTTCTTGCTTTTGGATAAAAAATTTGGTTAGCAATTTTAAGACGTACTAAAACGAGAAACACGGCAAAGATGAGCCTTTGAAATGTTAAGAAAAACTTTTATTAATACTACGTAGTTCCCACAAAACTATGTAAATCGTTATAAACATGTCTTATGCCCGATTTCACCAACATCACTTAAGCTACCACCTACGTATGGGATCCCTAGTTTAAAAGTTCCCCTAAACTAGCCCCTAAATTAAATTTCGTTTACCATCGTCAGAGCCCGTATTTCTAGTACCTATATTTAGGTGGCATTTTTTTTTTTTTTAATTTTTAGGTGACCCCTAACTGTCGATGAAACAGAAACTGTCCCCTAACAGCCCCCTAACCATGCTTAGGGTATCCCTTAAACTTAGGTGACATTGGTTAAATCGGCCATAAAAATAAAATGGACAGCGCTAATTCTAGTTATTCTTCGGGCTATTTTTGTTTGCTTGAATAGATGATAGATGTCGTTAATCCGCAAATTGTCAAACTGTTTTATTTCAAAATATATGCAAACTTAAATATAATAGATATTGTATAATTTATTTGAACTTACTGAATATAACTAAACATTTTTTGTTGCTCTAATAGTTTTAATCGTTAGTCGTGACTCATAAAGAAGTAAAACCTGATTCTATGAATATGTTTTACAAACCCAGATTGCTGATTTTTCAGTAATCGTAAAGTTACCCATATATGATTTAGGAGCTCACAATTCCATTTCCCGTTACTTAGAGAAATTAAAAAAAATATATAAGGTTTATTATTTATTTGTACCTATTTTATTATCTATCTTTTGTTAATTTTACAGAAAATTCAATAACAAATGACTACCACAATGCTATCTTTCATTATTCATCGTCATCAACGTTTATTTGAACTAATTTTTCTTAGTTCCTGATGAGACTCCAAGAATACAGTAAATTTGTAACTCTTAAAGGAAAAACGTGATACAACACGTTTAATTATTATTGCTGACCATATATGTATTTAGCCCTTTTTAAACCCACCATTTTAAGTCCCACTGGGCTCGGGCATCCCTTCAATACGAAGGTTATAAGTAGTCTACCACACTGGCCTAATGCGGGTTGGCGAATTGCACATGTCTTTCGAAACTTGCTAAGTTCTCTCAGACATTGACATTTCCTCACGATGTTTTCCTTCACCGTAAGAAAATATGAGAGGTGCGAGACTCGGGATTTGAACTTTACTCCGTTTCCCAAGCGAGCGCATAACCACTGGGCTACCGCTGCCTCTACCATATATGAATGCTTATAATTGTTAGTTAAAATTACACCAAAACCCTTTCAGCAGTTTCATAGTTGTGTACAAACAGACCGCCATAATACAGCTGTCAGGTGATGGAATTTATTCCTTGAAGTGATACAGTAAAAATATTGCCTAGTCAGCCTGATGTGTTATTATTGTTATGAGGATGAATTTCTGCATAATTATGTTTATGCAACGGCCATTGATAATGGCAATAATATTTGTAATGCTTACTTTACCTTATTTTAATGAGCATATATAGATATTGCAAGGCAGTGGAGGCCCAGTGGTAACGCGCTCGATTGGGAAACCGTGCGAAGCGGATTCAAATCCCAGGTCTCGCACCTGTGATATTTTCATGTGCGAATTTCTAACATGATTACCACTTGCCTTACGGCGAAGGAAAACATCATGAGGAAACCTGCATGTCTGAGAGAGCCTAGCAAGTTTTCGAAAGACATGTAAAGTCCGCCAACCCGCACTTGGCCAGCGTGGTGGACTATGGCCTGATCCACCTCGTATTGAAGGGAGGCCCGTGCCCGGCAGTGGGACGTTAAAAAGGGTTTAATACAATACAATATAGATATTGTAAAGTAAATCTTATAATATTTTCTATTATACACATCATTCACCTGATAATTTTTTCTATTTTTTAAACATAATTATTTACTTTATAAAAGTTATTACGAAACATACTTATATTGTTATAAAAGGTAATTAGTGTTTATTTAAATGTAGCAATATGCTCAGGAACTAAATAATAGATTCATGATTCTATATATAGCATCGACTATTTTGTTTCGACGTAATACCGAGGTTTATGTACAATATAAATATTTAATATGTACCATAGATACTAACCATATATACCACTGATAGGATAATTAACTGAAAAATGTGGGTAAGGTATGAACTAAAAAAATACAAATTTGGCAACACGTTTGGCTCAGTTTGTAGTGATCCGGCTTGCCGTGCTAGCGGTCATACATACTTTCCGCTACGATAAACAATTAAAATGGAAATAGTCTGGACATGTACCACCACCATCGAACAAAAGAAGTGATATCATGGAAAGGTCCGTTAGAAAGAAAAGGCCAGGGCAACACGGAAATAAAAAATATTGTCATTTAGTAATGATTACCTGCAAAATAAAGACATAGATACTGATATTTTTTTCTAAAATGATGAGGTCAAGCAACGTGCAAGTAAATGTCTGAACTTAATAAGGGGCAATTATTTTAAAACTAGCGACCCACCCTCGCTTCGTACGAGTTCGTCCCTAGGTTGATTCCCCATACAAACTTTCATCCCCATTTTCGCTCATTTAAAGGATGATTTCCCAGAGTCTCAAACTATCTTATTACCAAATTTCATCTAAATCGGTTCAGTAGTTTTTGAGTTTATTCGTTACAAACATACAAAAATACAAATATTTCCTCTTTATAACAACAACTAGCGTTTTTCTGCGGCTCCGCCAGCATAGTACATTAATCACCAACATATCATGTACTAAAACCTTCTCCGAAACACACTGCATCTCATGGTATGAGTATTATTCCGATCGGTTCAGTAGTTATCGCAGTATAACCGAACAAAAAAAACGACTCTCCATTTATTAGTATAGATGAAGATGATATTGCACAATAGTTCATTAGGTACTACTTTGGTATTATTTAGGTATTTACCCTATAATATACTGGTCATAAACACATCCTGCTTCATAAAACATAATTATATATTTTTTTACAAATGCAGGCAACTGACGAGATGCTCTGTCTGATAGTGATGTCATCACCGTCGCGCATTGGACTTGAAATAATTTTTAAAACTATGATGTTTACGTATTGTGTACAGAATATAGACCCCAGAACAATTGTTGTTGAAATTGTTTAAATTTTACGCAAACAGTACTGAACGGATTTTAACAAAATTTTGAAAGGGAAAGGTTATTTTTTTATTAAAACACATAGACCCTTAGTATCCAATATCCCTAGTAATGTAATATGTATTTTACAATACTACTATAACGTTTACAATATTTAGTGTATTACTAATGGTCAGATCGCGTTATGGCATTTCTTGCGTTTAATCAAGAATTATAAAAAAATCATGAGCGCTACGATGGGAATTACATATTGTGACCTTTTTAGTTTTCCAAACTCTTATGGTCCCTTTTTTCGTAATGTTAATGATTCCGATCTTTGAGCCAAAATAGAGAGATCTTTGAATTAATATTTTGCTATGAAAATAATTTTTGTTTTTAATCCTGCAGGGGTTTACAGCATTTGGGTTAAAAATAAACGCTATCGCCTAAGGTATAGATTTTTATACTGTGGTATTATTATCTAACCATACAAAAACTCCATTATGTTCCTCAAAATCATTATTCCGTTTCAAATTAGATAATGACATAATGAAGATTTGCAATCACAATGTAGGTAATGACACGACTTACATTGTAGTTATAATATGAAAATCAGCATGTACATGATTGGACTATACGTACGAGTAGTTTATTTCGTAAGTGAACCTGTATGTTTACATATAGAAAAACTAGGTCTTTCCATCGGGGACATCAAGGAACACCTTTTATTTTATTTAAAGAATCATGAAGTCTGGATGAACCACACGACTCGTCTGGACTCGAACCGAGGACCTTAGGATCTGCAGCCACACATGCTAGCCACTAGACTAACAAGGCAGTTTAGTGAAAGCAAAGTAAGGCATCATTTACTCGTCACTTAAAAATTCCATTTATTTAAGTTACACATTTATACAAATACAATTTATTATAGATCCCCTAAAATTATCCTGCTAACATATTATGTACTAGCATTGCCCGCTGCTCCACCCGCGTTCAGATGACCAAAAACCAAATTCTTAGGTTTTACATATTAGTATATTCTTACATTGTAGTTTTTGTATTTTTTCTCAGAAATGAGACATTTTCCCGCGGTAAAAAGTATCCTATATGTTGACCCGGATAACCAGCTATCATCATATTAAATTTCATCAAAATCCCTTTAGTGGTTTTTCCGTGATGCGGTAACAGACAGACAAAAATTCTAAAAACTATAGATTCGGGTTCTGTATCGATAATAATTTCTATTTTAATCAGATTTTCTTAGTCTATAATCGGCTTAGTTACAATTTTATTATAGATAAGCGTTTTATACATGAATAATATATGTTAAGTATTTATACATGATTTTTTTATGAAGCTAATGGGCAGTTAACATAGTTTGTTCTAATTCTCTAGTATAATAATTATAATTGGAGTCAAATTAACTTAAACTGTCTCGATAAATATATTAAAATATAAATACCTCTCTTGTTCCATAATATTTTTTCTTTTTCGTCTACACTAAAAATAAAAAAATGTACATGCTATACGATGTCTTGGCCAATTGTGAGCCGATTTTTGTGTTTTAATGAATAGTGTTTTCTTCTAGAATTATAGTGAAAAATTACTTATCAATGAATATTGAAGTTATTGTATATTTAATTCTAGCAGAACCCGCGGCTTCGCTCGCGCTAAAACTCAAAAAACTAAAATCGAAGGTTTCATAGAAACTTTCATCCCCTATTTTACCCCCTTATGGGATGAATTTCGGAAAATGCTAAAACGCGTATTTAATTAATTGTATTGAAGAACATTTAAAGTTTCAAGTAATTCTAACCATAAATATTTTTTTGGATTGTATTATAACCCTTCCCCATGGGAAAGAGATAATTTCCCGCGGTAAACCCAAGGTAGCCTATGTCACTCTCCAGCCCTGAAACTATCTCCACACAAAAAATCCGCCAAGCCGTTTCGACGTCAAAGAAAGACAAATAAACAAATACACTTTCACATTTTTAATAATAGTATGGATGTCCTTGACTGAATTTTGGTCGATGTAGTCAATATCACTAGAATGTGTCTCTGTCTATGTATAAAATGCCGAACTAGTACGAGTGTACCAACATACATTCTATTTCCTTACACAAGAAGCCAATAATATGGTAATTGTAGAAGAATGGTACCCAATAAACTATCAGCTATCAGTGCGTTCCTTACAATACGTACAAAATTTACGATAAATACATACAAATTGTCAAAATCCTACTGCACAAGAAATATAAAAAAATAAAAATAGATAGGTTATTTGGATTCACATTAAAAAGCGTCTAGTTGTATGCCTACAACCTTTACTATTTCGGGAACGTTCTAAGAACTTCTTTGACAAAATATATAAAAACTATTTTGATGCGACTCGAATCTCGAACCCAGGACTACATGGTACCCATCATGCCAATGAGTTAGTTATCACTTATAATACAAAATCCACATCTTTGTCTTTAAATACTATACTTTGAAAGCCCTATAATTTCAAGACATATTGGTATCACTGTATTTAGCGTAAATAATAAAGTATAGTTGGAAAGGTCATTCGGTAAACGTTGGGACGGTTGCAATTTACGTTAAGATGTTTGCACATTTGTATTAAAATTATATTAGACATTTTTAATTAATTTTAAGCTATTAAATGTACTGGTACAATAATTTTCCTTCTAGAATGGAGATATGAGGAATTCATGGACTACTTTTTTTTTAGATCTATATATTTATTATCTATTACCACCTGTATACAAATAGGTGTTTAAAAACAAGTACCCATTTTAAATAAAACTATGTTTTTGGATTTTTTCGCGAAATTCGTGAAAAAATCCGAAAAATTAGTTTTATTTAAAAAAGCCAGTACCCACTATAACCCATCAGAAGCGCCCCTGACTTAATGGGGCACAAGATCACGACGCCCCGACGGCTCCTCTACCAAAACAGACTACAACAACGACAGATTTGCTCCAACGGCCTACGCTGCTATCATAGGAATACCTGGAGCAGCCCGCATGTTATACCGCCCATCGAGGACGGCCGCATCCCAGTTTCTAGTGTTTCTTAATAATTCTTAATAAGCCCCTCCACTACGACAAGGTGAACGCACATCAGGGGATAGCTAATTCCTACCTGGATCAAGTTACTTTAAATTATTTCAGTTCATTTACACATATCATTAAAATTATAACATCTTGTCTCATCAGGTTGTCGCCATTCTCAAAATTGATGGGCTACCTAAACATAGGTTGTAATGTAGTTTCTGTTATTTATTATATACAGTATTCTCGAATAAATAAACAATCATTATATATAGAAATAACTCACATAATAACTAATCATACGTGATCTTATTAAGTCAGAAATGTGGAAATCATACCGAGACGTCAGTTACGTGCAGGAAGTAATTTCTTAAAGTATTTTTTACTATAAAATGAGAATGGTATGGGAAACTGTATTTTTAATTAATCCATTATGTACAAGTTATTATAAAGAACTATTAAAATAACAATGTTAAAAATATTTTCGTAAAGGATACTATGAAAAAACACCTTAATGTAAAGCCCGTCAATAATGTTTGTATTGTTAATGGGCAGAAGTGCACGATTCATCATATAGATAGCACAGAAACCTAAATAGTCCTTCGTATTTTCAGGTAGGCCTAACAATGTAATATATTTATTTGATTAAAAAATCACATAAATAATATTAATAATAAACATAGCTTTCCTTAATAATTGGAGTTACTAAAAATATTCAAAATAGTAGGTATACTATCCTGGAGGCTTAAACAAGTTAGATCATTCTAGGATCGTTGAAGAATGTACATTTTAAAATTTGTGTGGAAATGACAAAAACCGTGTCATATAATATATGTAATATATTTAGTCCATAATTTTTTTTTTAATTTCTATTCTTCAACGATTGCAGAATGACATCTTGTCTAATAGCCTATAGGTTCCTAAATATATTATGCCTTGATATAATCAGAGAATGAGTATTTATATCTAATAATAGTAGTAATATAGTGATAAGGGTAAAATAGTGATTAGAAGATGGCACCAAAACTCTTCAACGACGCCGTTCACTGGTATATGGCGGAGATTACGTCTCGGATTATTGCAGAGAGTGGTATACCAAACGACAGATTCCACCTTGGCAAAATTATTCTACAATGCTTAAAGGACAATCCCAATACTGTTTTGCAGGTAAAAAGTTTTTTTTTTAAATTTCTTTTTATCTATATTATTAAATATAGATTTCACACTGAAAATTGTGGGTCAATTGGAAATGGACAATTGGACTAATTTGTATCTTGTGTGAAATTTAAGTGGGAATCAACTTACGGTATCTCTTATGGTGGCTATTAGTTCACCATGTGGATAAAACAATCGCCCGTTCCTTTGGATTCAACTTGGCTTGACATCTACTACTTGGCTTGACTATCTCGTGTCTAGATTATTATTATTTAAGTACCTTTGGCATCATTTTAGATGATCTAAAGTTAGCCGATTTAGTGACCACTTTGATAGCTTGTTTTGTTTTTAAATGGTACTTAATAACTTTTGAAGACAAGATAGCCTCACTTATTGACACTGCGTTCAGTGTGTTGTACTTACCTTAAAAATAGTTAAAGAAAACCCGAAAGATTTAGTTGTTACATCTGTCTATCTAATCTGCTATGGAAAATATGTGAAAACATGTACTGGAGTATAATTTACTTTGAGGTATTAAAGTTGATTATTCTATGTTTATTCTACGTAGATTGATGGTGCAACAAACGAGTGTGATACAAATGCATCGATGTTAAGAAAATCAGTCAAATGTGCTACTTGTTTCAATAATATTGGCTTACAAATAGGAGACGTAATGGTTTTGATGGCACCAAACCATTTGGATCTTTCTGTACCTTTCTATGCAGCTCTTTACACAGGAATCATAATAGCTGCTGTAGATAGAACTTTAGGAGTCAGTAAGTGCAAGACAAATTTAATATTTAAATATAATAGCCACTTCGCCTGCAACTTCGCTTGCAGGAAAGTGTTTCTTTTCTTTCAAATTATTGGGAACGGTATTCGTCTGATAAGTTCAGGGCTCTAAAATGTTTATTTTCTTATAAGTTAGCGTAAAACATGATCAATCTAAATACCAAATAACATCTAAATCTGTTCAAAATTTTACGCGTGATTAAAATTCAAACATTTCCGTGTTCATTATTATATAAAATACTAAAAATAATAATTTTAGTAAGATATTTATGGAAATTACATTCTATCACATATACATAACAGAAAGTGACCAAAAATACAATATCCAGTCCCTAAACCGTACTATTCTGGTCACTTTTTATCTAACTATTCAACTATATTATTTATTGCACCATTTTAACATTAGATGATTTGAGGGTAAAACTAATAATATCAATTACATTCAATTATGTTACTTAAATATAATTCAAGAGTGTTAAGTTTGATGTTAAAAATAATTGAAGTCAAGAGAGCGGTAATACTAAACCGCCTATGTAATAGATGGCTATTATGTTCAGTTACACGTTTTTTTTTATTATTAATATCATTTTCTATAATAAGTATTTTATTATGTAGTAACCGCCTCGTTGTTCTAGTGGTTAGCTTATACTTATGTAGATCGGAGTGCCCTAGGTTCGAGTCCTGGATCGGGCCAAATATACTTATAAGGTTGTTCTATCAAGAAATGCTCAGTATCAGCCCCAAGTTAGGTAAAAATGCCTAGGAGAGCACTATTTGGTTTTACACGTTTTCTCGATCATGTCGTCTTCGAAATGTCGCCCCAACAGACTCTTGAGTGTCAAAGAAATAAAGAAGTCACTTTTATTTCACCACACACATGTTATATCTCTTCGATGGCTCGATTCAGTAAGAATGGCCGGAAATATAAAGAAAATTAAGTTTAAAGTTATTAGTTCATATTTAAACATTGGAGTGGTAGAGAACATTGTTTGTGCATAATAATTCTAAATAATAATTCTTTTTTTTCACTTCCCGTAAATCTAGTACTTTCTAGTAATACTACTTCACTTAAATTTAAATAACATTAACGACATAAATTTCTTCAAGAATTTATTATCTAGTTCGTACAATTTTTTGTGATAGAGGGTTGCGTAAAACCAAATTCGTCTTCATAACTATAATAATTTTGTCCAAACTTAAAATATGTATATTGTCGTCATGAATTTTATTTTTAATATTATTTTTAGAGGAACTCCAAGATACATTCTCTGTAACAAAACCGAAAATAATATTCTGCCAAAGTGAAAAAGCACCTGATATACAAGTAGCTCTAAATGAAATAGATTTGAATGCAACTATTGTAACTTTTGACAAAGGAGACTATTTATGCAACTTAGCGGATTTTATAAAAAAGTATGCTGATAATACACCAGTTGATACTTATAGGTACGAAATGTATATTTTTTATTTATAAAAAACTCCTACAATATATTTAAAAATGTTATAGATTTGAAGTGACTGATTTTTTGTGTTTTTGTAGAAAACAAAAAAAAACAAATTTGTTTTTTTATTGTTAAATTTGTTTTTTTTTTGTTTTCTCAGGAACTACCAGTCCGAATTGATCAATTTCTTATGCTTTTGTTGCCTATTAATTGAGAGAGGTTATAGTAAATCTAACAATTAATTACATAAACATACGATAATAGGATAATAAGATACGCGAGCGATGTTCTGGGCACAAACTAGTCTTAGAATTAGATTTAATTTTCTCAAAAAAAATTTTTTTAGACCCACAAACTTTGATCCAGAAAACACCGCAGCCTTTCTGATATCTACGAGCGGTACAACGGGCTTGCCTAAAGCTGCAGAAGCTACACATAAAAACTTCGCATTGTCAGTACCTATGTTTTGGTAAGAAAAATATAATATCGAAAGATTTCATAGAGAAGTTATGGAAAGTTTAAGTTATAAGAAAAAAGATTCGTTTTTGTTTGTCACGTGTTTGAAATAGCTGATTTGATCTTTATAGCACAATATGTTAGGGCGGTCCCTCACCGGGAGCAATCGCCTGTAATGTAACAATTTAAGATTCGATGCTGAACATTACGTTACAGTATTGCCTCACTGACTGACGAGCATTCACCTGTAATGTCACAATCTAGATTCGATGTTAAGCATTACTTTACAGTACTGCCTCACTGAGTGACGAGCATTCGCCTGTAACGTAACAATTTAGATTCGATTTTGAGTATTCGCCTGCAGTCAAGTCAGTTGTTTTTACAATGTTAGACGAAGCGGTCATATTGAGCGAGGTAATATTTATTCGCTCATGTTATTATATACGTAAAAAAGGCAAAAGAAACGAACAAGCAATCAAACAAGTATATGTAGATGCGTTACACATTGGGTCACGATGTTCCAAATTGTATCATGTTATGCATTGTAATGCTCGATTCTTCTCTCTCACTGATGTAATGCTCGAATCTGAACTGTTACATTACAGGCGAATGCTCCTGGTGAGGAACCGCCCTTAGACTTACGAAAACTATTTTTAAAAAACGCATAAAAGATCACTTACATACAATTTAATTCCTTTTTAACCCCCGACGCAAAAACGACGGATGTTATAAGTTTGACGTGTCTGTGTGTGTGTGTGTCTGTGTGTGCCATTCAGCCCTTTTTTAACGTCCCACTGCTGGGCACGGGCCTCCCTTAAATACGAGGTGGATAAGGTCATTATTATTAATAGCTTGCATTATTTCAATAATATTTTGAGATATATTTATCTCAATATATTATGTATCCCATTGGATATCCGGTAATTTCTCTTCTAGTGTATAACGTAAATGTAATTGTAGAATAAAATTAATAAAATTCAGAGAAAATTTCTAAATTAAATCTACCATTTGGAATAAATAAAGATATTGTAAATAAATTATCTATAAATATTTCATTAATTTAAATGAATATAACTGTCATGACCACTTTATATAAGTTTCCGTAAAAATATTAATAATAGTGAATACTTATTTCAACAGGTGCAATTCGACTAAATTTCCAAGTCCTACTCGAATGGCTCTCATAGGAGCCCCTCTGCAATGGCTGACTGCTATTTTCAACTTTTTATCAGCTCCAATATTCAAATATACAAAACTTCAATCTTCACTACCACTGACACAAGAGCATGCGTATTATCTTATTAATACTTATAAGGTCAGATTTATTAATAAATAATATAAAGATTTTTATAATACTTTCTTAAATTTAAGCGAATATTTGAATTGTTACATAAAACTATCAGCGTTAAAAGGTAACAGACAGACAGAGATACTTTTAATTTATAATATTACTATGGATAACAAATGCTATGTTGATCGTATGTTTTTACATTGAAAAATTACAATATTTAAAAAAAACGGATACTAATTGATACAAATGTTATGAATATCTATTTTGAATTTCAATATGGTTGGTTACATTTTATTATTCCAACGAAACGTGAATGTGTGAACGTGCCTGCATTGTCTTAATATGAGTTTTTTGATTTCTTAATTTCATTTTCAGCCTACATTCACGATATTTAGCCCGACTCTAATGACAACATTAGTTAAAGGAGAAGGTCGAGATGCTTGTAATTTTTCTTGTTTCGAAACTATATTTCTAGGAGGAAGCGCAGTGCCAATGTCACTATTGGAAGATATTAAGGTAGTATACACATATCACTAAGCACATCTAGTTAATATGTTAAGTTTATTTTTGTAAGTAAATAAGTAGAAAGCAGTCTCAGTGAGATACCTATACCACCGTGAGTGAAACTGGTAAGAAGGAATTAGGTTCGAAATTGAATAATTTGTTAAAAATGTGAAACATATTATGAGGCAATGTTTTATTAATTAAAATAAACCTGTATTGAGGAAATATTTATATTATATGTCTCAGATATACTATAGGTACGTGGAAAAACAAACATTTAAAAATTAACTAGAAAAATGTTAGATATGTACTTGAGAATCAAACGAACTTACCTTGTGATGATTGATTTCTAATTAACTTCTACGAAGTACATATAATGCATAATATTCATTAAAAGAATGTCAAGAAATCGATACCTAAATATTATAAATGTGAAAGTGTGTTTGTTTGTTAGTTTGTTTGTCCTTTTTTCACGTCAAAACAGAGCGATGCATTGGACAGATTTTTTGTGTGGAGATAGTTGGAGGGCTGGAGAATGGCATAGACTTTTTACCACTGGAGATTATTTCATTCCAACGGGAAAACACATTATAACCTAACGCATATTATATAAAGCAATCTATTCTTTTTCCGGGATAAAATTTATGTTGAACGTGGTCGCGTCGATTAGGTTACAATAATACCAATTAACATGACAATTAATATATTACTTAAGTTACATTTTTCCTCTAACTTCATGGAAACCTTTCGTGGTAAAAATCATGACTTTAATGTTTCCAATTACACGAGATTTACCTATTGATGGATAGCAGGAAAACTGTAAAAAAAATTCTAATTTACTTTTAATAATCTTAAATCGAATCTTAAGCCCTATGATTCGATTTAAGATTAGGCAGTTTTTATCTTTCAGGACTCAAATAGGCTTCTCTTGTACTGTAATAGATTTCAATGAAAGTTGAGGGTTTTTTGTAGCTTATTTTTACAATATACGTGAATGGAATGATATGCTTTTTTACGCACCACATTTCTAAATAGTTAGTTTTGAAAATGAAAAATGAATTTTAATTCTTATCTATCACAGTTTAATTTAATCGATTTTATTATAATTTTTCACTAACATGAAATGGATTTTTTTAAATAGAAAAAGTCTTTCTTGCAACTATAATCTTGCAACTTTGTTAAACTTACACATTGTAAAAATTTAACAATGTTTACCATTTGTAAGTAAAGTTTAACTTACTTTTTACGTATCGTATTATAATAATCTATGTTTACTATAGGTTGTATAATAACACAAACGTGTATAATATACAATATCCTGATGGTACTAAAAATTTCCACGTGCCAATCCGTTCGCAGAACCTAGTTTTTTTTTCTAGAATATATCTCCAAATACTGAAACAATAAACGTATACGGCATGAGTGAATTAACTGGAATAGCGTTCCTTGGAAATACTACGTGCCCAGAGGCCTGTGGTAAGCCGCTAGGAAGCTTCCAATACCGCGTAAGATATTACTCATACTACAGATATTTTACAGTTACACATTTAAAAATATTGATTGCAAATATTATTGGTATATAATTTACGATTAACATAAAATTACAAAAAAAATATAAATAAAAATGTAAAAATTTAAAATTAATAATAATTAATTAATAATATTTTTCTTACAATTTATTATTTATTATTATACTTATGTTTTATCATTATTACAACAGATTATAAATATTGATACACAAGAAGATATTGATGAAGCCAACGTGCCTGGAGAGCTTTGGTTAAAAGGACCGACCATTTTTAAAGTAGGTACATATGTTTGGATCATTTTTTACTTTTATATCACTTTATAACGCTAATTTAAAATTTAAGCTGCAACTATAGTTGTCTAAATGTCTATTACGCTTTTTTAGATGATTAGAGTACCTATAGCAAAATTCAAAGTATTTATCAATCTAAATCAGTAAATTAAATTATTTTTGTGCAATCCATCAAATTTTGCATTATTATTTTAAAAATGCCCACAAATTTTATTAATATTAATAAAGTAAAAAATATTATTTCTAAGTAAATATAAACAACGAAAATTAACTTAGAAAACTTTTAAATGGCTAATAAATATTTAAGGGATACTATCACAACAAGGAGGCCACCGAAGAAGCATTTGCCGACGGCGAATGGTTTAAAACTGGAGATATGTTCTATAGAGATGAACATTTTAACTTCTACTTTGTAGAGCGTATAAAGTTACTTTTGAAATATAAGAGCTATCAGGTAATAGCAATTCATATTTAAATTAATTAATCAGTGATAAAAATAACCTGAAAGCTTACATTAATTACAGTATGGTAGAGTTCTAAGCTTAGTAGGGTCGTAACGATAGAGTTCTCCATATTTACTCATATTTCCGTCGGCTTTTAACATATTTCTTTGGAATAATAGTTTTATTATATTATATTCATTGTCTTATAAGTATTTTGATAAACGTGCATATACGCAAATGAAATAATTTTCCAAATACATCAAATAAATGGGCTTAAAACAATAAATATGTTATCTAAAAAAATATACCTATGAAAGTGATATAACGTAATGATTCTATATCGTAATGATTTTCTTCAACGATTTTTCTACTCTTCAGCGATTTTAAACTGACATTAATTTAAGTTAAAGCTACAAACATTTCAATTATTTAAATAGATAAACATATTTCAATATATCGGGGGGCTCTTAAAATATACCTTTTATGATTTAAAATTTAATTAAATTATATCAGATCTCGCCAGTTGAAGTGGAAAATGTGATTCGCCAACATCCAGGCGTTTTAGATGTTGCCGTAACCGGTATCCCTGACCCTGAATGTGGCGATCTTCCTGTAGCTTGCGTTGTTATCCGAGAGGGATACAATGTATTAGCGGATGAAATAAAAGATTTAGTAAAAGGTTTGGTATTATCTTATTTATATCATTGAAAATTACTAGAAAATAAATACAATTATTTTCATATGAGCACTAATTACGGATTTAGCAAGCATCTATGTAGTTCAATTTAGTAAATTGAAATTTCAGAAAAATTAACCCTTAAGGGCTAAAGTCAACAAAATAGCTTACCTAATTATTTTAATTAGTAAACTCTATTAAGTTCCTGTTACAGAAGCTCTCTCCGATTCTAAACAACTCAGAGGTGGTGTGATTTTTCTCGACAACATACCTATGACAGCTACAACTAAAGTCCATAGAAGAAAGTTAAAGGAACTTGTTTTAAGTATGAAAAGATATTAAAAAATTAAATATTAAATTATTACTTTTGTAATAATAATTAATTAATTTTATGTAATCACTATCTGTAAAAATAAGCTTAATAAAAATATAAGTTTGTTTTTTTTTTCTATGAACAAGAGCGTATTTTTGTACTTTATTTTTGTTCTTTGTATAAAAATATATAAATAGAGAACCAAACGTGTGTGCCAAACTTCAGCTCAATCAGACACTGGGAAGAAGGTCAAAAACTTGCAAGATTTGATTACGGACAGACACCGGGACAGGTGAAACTAAATAAAAGCATGTAATAATTTCTATTCTTATCGATATTAAACACGTGTTGTATATATAGAAATACCAGAATAAATATCTTGAATATAGGCATCATTACTTACACTATACTAAAGGGACATCTTACGACAAACTTCATATTGTAACCTAAATCTGTTACATCGTAAAAAAATTACTCTGATAATTTTTCCCCCAACGTGCCAAAAGAAGTATAATAAATTCAAAAATAATTTACAAAAATAAAAAACCGTAAAAAGCGATCTAAAAAGACTAGAACAAGTTAACGAAAAAACATTGTATTATAGAGTCGATTTTTCCTCTATAGAACTATTCATTTCTTAATGAAAAACAGGAAATAATTTGCCCAAACAAGTGATTCTTATTAAAGTTGACTACATAAAATTTTGTAAGTCGCGTATTTCAAAAGAAGAATTTGGTGTTTTCAGTTTATCACAGGTTTTGGTTATATAATAAGGTTCAAATTTGTTTGACTTTTTTTTAATTTTGGACCCAAGGATTATACTATGATTTGACTAGCGACTCAACCTCGCTCCGCTCGGGTTCGTCCCTAGGTACATTTTGACGGTTAGTATAGATTTCTCAGAGATGAGATATTTTCCCGCAGTAAAAAGGATCCATATGTTGAACCGGATATCCAGATATCTTTATACTAAATTTCATCGAAATTTGTTCAGTGATTTTCTTGTAATGCGTTCCCAAACAGACAGACTGACAGAAGACAAACAGACAGACGAAAATTCTAAAAACTACAGATTCGGCCTCTGTATCGATAATAATTTCGAATAGACTCAGTTTGAAGCTATTATATGTGTAGATATTATGATAAATAAATAAAGAAGATATTTTCATTTTCATGACTCGAATCAAAATTTATCATTATAGATGAACCCAGAAATGCAACTAGACTGAATCTGATCTGAAATAATTACCTTAGATATTTATTTCTAGTTAAGCTATATATATTTTAATTCTACGAAAATCTATACAAAATACATTTCGCGGTAATGACACTGCGAGCAAAAACAAATAAAAAATTATAACTAGCCAAGAAAATAAATTGCTTAATATATCTATTTAAAGTATCAGACTAAAATTACCTGCGTGGTAGAGAAAGACAAGCGCTGGTTCCATCCCCACTTCTCGATATTGTGATTTTTCAAAAAAGATATGGAAAAAGTAATAGATAAATAGTTAATTCACACTATGCGCTTGATTTTGCAGGTTCCAACGTCAATCAGAGAATTCAGGTGGTTAATATAAATAATGTGAAATGATGGTAGTGGGAGTTCTACAAGGATCTGTCTATTCTTGGTCCTTTTTCATTCTTACTGCATATTAATGATTTTCCTGCAATGTGACGAATTATGTGATACACTTTGCTGTTAATATATCGTTAATTTTTATAGTTGAATGTAGTAAACCAAATTATGACAAAGTGATAATTGCATTTGCATTATTATGTGTACTTCTCTGGTTTGAAGTTGAACTTAGTATTAAATGCCCAAAAAACAGAATGTGTCGAATTCACCTTGTCTAACCAATATAAAAAAGCTAAATTTTAGTCTGGTTCTGAATAATGAAGCACGGGCAATATCTGCAATTTTTATTATTCCGGGATAAAAGGATCATAATAATCTAATTAGTCCAGACTATAGTCTATCCGCTAATGTGAGTTCACCTGTGTGTGCTGAGTTAGAGTGGATGGTGTTGGTCTGGTTTGGTCTGGTCTGGTTGGTCAAGTATATGGAGGCAGGTCAAGGTGATATACGTAAGTACATTTCAAGTCGTTACACAAAAAATCGAGATTTGATAAACGTCGAAATTTTAAGTTTTAAATATCCAAATATTTTCCAAAACTTACAAATGAATAAATAGTACTTTTATCTATACATATAATAAAATTCTAACTAAGTCAAATCTGTACATTAAATATTTTTTTGAAAATCTAATTGAAATAGACATTATTATCGATACAGAGTCCGAATCTATAGTTTTTAGAAATTTTGTCTGTCTGTCTGTCTTTCTGTCTGTCTGTCTGTTACCGCATCACGAGAAAACCACTGGACAGATTTTGATGAAATTTGGTATGATGATAGTGGCTAATCCGGGTCAACATATAGGCTACTTTTTACCGCGGGAAAATATCTCATTTCTGATAAAAAATACCAAAACACAAAAACTGCATTGTAAGAGTATACTAATGTAAAACCTAAGAATTAGGTTTTTGGTCATCTGAACTCGGGCGGAGCCGCGGGCAATGCTAGTACATAATAATACGATTCTTAACAACTTTCATAAAAATACAGTTACCTAACATTTTAAATTTTTATACAACAACATGATTTTCACTTATTTTGGCCGACGACATATCTATTTCTACGTTTACGTGGGGTTTTACTACAACATATAATACTATCATCGTCTAATTATTTATTTGGTTTTTCCTTCCTTAAAAACAAAATTTTACTGGATTCTTATATAATACAACATAAACTTTAAGAGACCGCAAACGTTATCCCTCCTCATTTGAATGTGGATGTGCTTAACTTACAATACAATACATAAATAATAAAATATCTGAACATTCCATTAAAACATAAATCAGTGCGTTTTCTTGTGAAAATATATTTTTTTCTTACACTATGGATTTGGATCCAGAAGTCCATTTAGGTCACTTAATGATGGAGAGTATGAAAAATAATAAAAATGTGATATGTCAGGTGAGTCTTTTTAAAAAATATTTACATATAGCTCCATTTTTAGTACTTTAAATATTTTGATTAAAAAATAAATAATTGTAATGTTTTATTTCAAAAAAAAATTAACACCGTGTTAAAAAGACATTTTAATAGGGTTTTTTTTATAAGAATTTAGATTAATTTAGTAGAGCTTGATTACTCGTATTGTGATATGAAGGTACGAAGTGCTTATCTACCTGTACTTTTAATGTCATTTTTAATTGTAAAATTTCCTTAAACCTAAAAGAAACAATTTTGCATAAATTAGATGTAAAAATACTGCTTATGTTTGTTATATCCAAATATCCAACCAATTTCTACACTCTCAGGTGGATGCAGCCACTGAAGAAGAGGAAACTTATGATTCAGTATTATCGCGTTCAATCCGATTGGCAAGAGCGCTCAGAGCTTTTGGTCTTAAACCTGGTGATGTCTTAGCTTTTGGCGGCAAAAACCATTTGGATATTCATATACCATTTTATGCGGCACTCTTCAATGGCTTACCTATAGTTGGTGTTGATCCTTTTTACAAATATGGTAATGATATAATTAAAATTATGAATTTTAACAAATATGTTTATAATATATTTTAATATTTTTACCTATTTTTTTACCTAAGTCCTATGTATGTACATAATTTAAGAAAATTAAATTATTCGGGAATCTTTTTTAACATGGTTACCAGTTGCTCTCGATGAAGGAAAATGTAGTAAGGAAAAATGCATGTCTAAGAGAAGCTAACCAATTTTTGCAAGACTTATGTCGACTAGACAAGTCAAGTCTGCCATGCTAACATCCACCAGCTTAGTTTATTAAAGCCTGATCCCCTTCCTATTGAGAGAACTTTGCCCATTAGAAGGTTAAAATGAATGAATAATAACTTATTATTAAAATTAAAAACACAAATATATTTTTTAGACGAAGTTAGAACGCTCTTAAAGTTGACAGAGCCTAAAATAGCATTTTGCCAAAGTGAATCCTACGATTTTTACCGACGAGCATGTGAAGACCTTGGACTAAATATGAAGATTGTTACATTTGATGATGGCGAGTGTACATTTTCAGTATTTATGGACACTTATGATACAAACGAATCAGATCAAGACTTTAAGTAAGTACAAAGTTAGCTAGCGTTAACTGATTTCTATCCGAAGCTTTCTATTTAGCTGAAATTTAAGCATAAGGGGTAAATTTTTAAAAATTATTTATTTTACTTTCATTTAAGTTTTTAATTTAATTGTTTTTTTTTAATGAAGTGTAATCTTACTAATATTATAAATGTGAAAGTTTTGGTGTTTGGATGTTTGGATGGATGTTTGTTACTCAATCACGCTAGAATGTTTGAACGGATCTAGATTAAATTTGGCACAGAGATAGAATATAGTCTGGTATAGCACATAGGCATATAGTTCCTGTGGAATAGATTTGCTTTTGTGTTCCTAGAGGTGAACCCGAGCAAAGCGAAAGTGAGCCGTTAGTATTGTATATTTAAGTAAAACCAATAATTGCAAAGCGAATATTATTTAAATCCAAGCTCTTATTTTATCATCTAGCATAGTATATTTTTAAAAATTTTTGCGTAAAATCTTCGTGCCTTAAAAGCTCGATTTAAATTTTAATTTTTTTTAACAGCTGTATTTTTTGTTACAGAGTAGCAGAATTCGATATTGACAAAATATATGCGTTTCTGGTAAGCACGAGTGGCACTACCGGCAAAGTAAAGATTGCTGCCTTTAATCATAAACCCTTCATTTTCAAGATAACGAGACTATTAAAACAGTACAATTATGACAAACTGTAAGTATACATTTAATGTTTCATCCTTCTAACTCCTTTCTCTTAGAATGCAGAGTAACCAGGGAGAACGTAGAGAAATGACAATTCTTCTCTGCTTATATTCAATCAATACGTGCAATATTTTTCATCATAACCAGTGGCGTGACTACCCTTTTGGAGCCCCAATGCTAAAAAATATGGAAAGGCCCTTTGCCTATTATGAAAGCCCAAGCAATCGCATTGGAAGCATTAGCATAGCTACGCCACTGATCTTAACGTCATGCTTTGTCCTATCTCAGGGTTACTTTAGTCTCAGGTACTAGCAAACAACTACCGTTCAGAACCGCAGAACTTATATAACACCCAGTTTCCTCTATCAGGTGGTTTGCACTATTAGTTGTAAGCAATCTGTCTATGTAGTGTAGTGCTATTAATATCTTAATATAACATTCCGATGTGTGTATGTTCGTAATTCTTCTCCTCCTTAATGGCTAATTTGATAAAAAAAATCGTATACTTTATGGGATCACTAGGTCTTAGCTCTAGTTGGATCTGGTTCTGGTAGGTTAAGAAAATTTTAAATAAAACAATTAAACTATATCTTCTTCTTCTCCCTCCCCATTTCCGAATCACTTGGGGTCGGCGCAGTACATCTTCTGTACTGCTGATAGGATTTGGCAAAAGTTTTACGACCGGCCGCCTCACTCCTGCCTGACGTCAACCCTCCTTGGGAATAAAACAATTAAACTATATAGGATATACTATATAGGAATAGGACGTCTGTAGAGGGTCAGTTGGTTTCAAATAAAATAAATCTCAACTCAAATCCTCACTCATCCGAGATCAACTAATAAATCCCAAATAATGAATTAAACACGAGTCTTTCTTCGCATAGACCTGGAAAAAAAATATTAAACTTATCACCTGTGAATTGGATATCAAATTACTTTTTATCCGTGGGAGGACCGTTGATTGGCGACACCAAAGTACAAAGTTCGATTCCAGACAGCTACGAACATATTATCGATATTATTAACAAATACAAGGTAATACTTTCTTAGATTTACGCGACTGTTTGACATTATTAAATAAAACTATCTTTTCGGATTATTACGCGGATTTATTTTGATTTTTGGTTACATTTTTTGTAATGTAATTGGTGCAATTTTCATTTTGTTAATTGTGGGTAGGCTGTCTGTAACAACTATATCTTTAAGCCATGTAACACCTCAGTCTCTCCCGTGACCATGGATGCTGTAAAGCATTCGAAACGTCGGGAACCAAAAATCAAAATAAATCCGCGAAATAATCCGAAAAGATAGTTTTATTTAATAAATACAAGGTAAGTTAGAAAATAGTCGTAGCCTACCTTTTAAAGCCTAAAATTGATTTCTTTTGTTTATCCTGGAGTCTAAAATGCCTAGAATTACCTACCTACTGTTATAAATTTCGCTCTTACGTAACTTATGGCATGGAATGTATTTCAAATATTTAAGTGGACTGTGTCTCATTAGCACTATTTATTACACAGTTCCCTCTTCGATTTCCGGGTGAAGTAAATGTTTATGTACCGTAGGCGAAATGTAAAAGTGTAAAACAAGTGTGGAAGTGAAAATCTTTCGAGCCATTAAACTACCTGGAACCTACCTACTTATGTGTAACAAATATTTATTTACTTTTTAGCCAATGCAAGGGTTATTTGGACCGACGTTACTAACATATCTAGTAAGTCAAAAGGATAAAGTTGATCTTACGTGCTTCAAGAATATTAGTATAGCGGGCTCGAAAATTTATCCCGGTGTAATGGCAGAATTAAAGGTATGCTTAAATTATAATTTCAGTCTTTACTTTCAATGATAGACTAAAATTAGAAAAAGTATTTTCAGTTATGATCTTTATTGATTTCAATGACAAGTAAAGTTTCTATTACTTGATATCCATAATAATATTATAAATGTGAAAGTGTGTTTGTTTTTTTGTTTGTATGTCTTTCTTTCACGTCGAAACGGAGTGACGGCTTGGCGTGATTTTTTGTGTGGAGATAGTTGGAGGGCTAGAGAGTGACATAGGCTTATCGCCGGAGATTACGTCAATTTCACGGGAAAACACGTTATAATATACAACCAAAAAAAATATTTATTATCAGAATTACTTGAAACTTGGTATTAATGCTCTTCAATACAATTAAATAAATGTTTTAGCATTTTCCGAAATTCAACCCATAAGGGGGTAAAATAGGACATGAAAGTTTGTATGAAACCTACCTTTTTAGAGTTTTTTTGTAGTTTTAGCGCGAGCGAAGCCGCGGGTTCTGCTAGTATTAATATAAAAAAATGAACAAACTAATCACTGTTGCTTCTATTTGATTACGGATGATGTTGCACTTTTTATGAAGGTTGGTTATAACGTCATTATATGACCCTTGTACCGCTTTTTCTACTCGTACAACATATAGGTACAACAAATTAATAAATCATGAATAACAGGTAAATTGATCATCTCATCACACATGATAGTTAAGGAAACAATCTAAAAATACCTACAGTATATTTTTTATATATTTACATAAAATAATAAAAAAATCTATATTTATATAAAAAAATAGGTACGAGTATATTAAATCCAAATTAGGAAATGAAAATCAGTCATTATCCTCATACTTTATTGTTTCCAATAAGTATAATAACTATTTAATAACTTGTACATAATTTTTTTAACGTTGGGAAATGCATTTAGGTACAAAGTGTGGGACTCACCGGCAAAGCCAGTACTACCCATTAAAACCCAACGGGACCTCCCCTGTCTTAATGGGGCGTCGCAGGATCGCTTACGCATTCAACCACGACGCCCCGACGGCAGGTCTGCCGAAGCAGACCACAACAACCATGGGGTTGCTCCACGGTCCTCTCTGCTATCAGAGAAGTATCAGGAGCAACCCGCATAGCACACCGCCCATCGAAGTGGGCCATCCCAGTGTGTTTCTTGGCTTCGCGCCCGGCTGGATTGCCGGGCACTACTGAGCCAACCCCAATAAAATTACTTCATATCTAAAATGTAAATGGATTTAAAAATCATTTTGAACTCGCGTTTTTTTGATATGAACTTACTCAAAATATTGTGTAGTATATAATATGTATGTATACTCGTAAGTAGCAATATTTAAGGCGCAAATTAACATTTTGCATTATAACTAACTTTAAGACAATATTTACTATAGTAAAATAAAAATATTTATATTAAGTATATATTACACCTAAACGCGTTTGTTACATTACGAAAACATATAAATTGGGAAAAGGTACCTTTGATATTTCATTATTTTTTTAAATACTTCTGACAAATAATAATTTTTAGACTATTATTTTCAATTTCTAGACTCTACTAGCTAAAGATGCTATTGCCTTGGAAGCCTACGGACAAACTGAGATGATTGGATCCGTCTTAGCCCCAAACCCTACTGGACCCACTGGAAGCTGCGGCAAGCCCCTATCAATTTACGCCATTAAGGTATCAATACTAATAACTACTACTTATGTATTTTATTTAGATAAATAAATTACCTCGGTAATTATCATTATTACGGTTATAATATAAAATTTCATTTTTAAATTCAATGTATTCTTTAATTTAAAGTGTAATGAATATTTCTTAAAAAATATCATAATTTATAAGCGAGCTTTTCATATGATTACCAAACGTCCCTACAAAGATAATAAGCTTTTTTAGTAAATCAAAGTTCAAAACTGAACCCATGTTCAAACACAATTTTTTGACGTATTACATTATAAATTATAATATACGTATATCACAAAATAAATTCCATTTCGTGTTTACTAAGACATAAAACTTTTTTTTGATGAGAGCCGTATACCAAATACGTACATGAATTTGCGGGGTGTGTTACGTAAAACCAAATCTATCTACTCTACTGCTTCATTATTTTAATTTGGATTAATTAAAATGAAAACCTCATCAAAATCTCTGCAGTTGTCGTCGAGTAAGACTTGATAAAACAAACACATGTTCTAAAAATTTGACGACACGTTTGGCTCAGTTTGTAGTAACCCTACTTGGTGAGCCAGCGGTCGCGGGTTCGAGTCCCGCTGGGGACACTCATTTTTGCGACGAGCACAAATGTTTGTACTCCAGTCATGGGTATTTTTATATATATTTATAGGTATATTTATAATATATACGAGTATGTATCTAGAGTTATATAATATATGTAGTGTATCAACTATCTGGTATCCATAACACAAGCCCCATAGCTTACCATGGAACTAGATGATGTTGTGTGTTCTTGTCCCAACAAAAAAAAATTGTACATTTGTTACTACTACTACGTCCCAATATCATTATTATATCATTAATTTAAATAATTAAAAAAACATGAAAAAATAGACAAAAATAAATCACTTTGTCACTGTTAAAGTTTTATTTTGTGTACCTATAAAATATTAATCACGCTAATAAATGCGGTTTATAATTGTGTGCTCGTAAACCAAAAGTTAAGGATAGCTTAGTCATTCACAAATTGAGGCCTTACATTTATTTCTCAATGGAATACAAATTATTAGTTTACTAAGAAATATTAGAATATTAGTGTAGACAGTAGTAGCAAAGTAAGAATTCTAACGTGTTAGGCTTGTCAAATCAAACAAAATAAGCCCAAACTCAAAGTATCTACTATTAGCCGTTGAAGAGTTCCACCTATCCACCTTCTGGCCTTACCATCAGATCAGGTCAACAATACCGAACCACTGTACTATCAACGGAAATGGAAACACTTGCAAAGTTTCAAGTCAATATGACAATTAGAAGTAGCTTAAATTCATCATTAGCTATTTTCCCACCCTTAGGGGTGGTATTTTTTTGTGAAATTTAAATGGGACCAATCTGGAAGTATACACTTTCAAACAACACAAAAATTGTCCAAATCGGTTAATAAATGACGGAGTTCTGAGTTAACAAACATAAAAAAAATACAGTCGAATTGAGAACCTCCTCCTTTTTGAAGTCGGTTGATGACTATTTTAATTAAAAATGATACGTCAAAGCGATAGAACCATGACTAGCTGGTATGATGATAGCTGGTTATCCGCATCAACACATAGGACACTTTTTACTGCACTAAAATATCTCATCTCTTTGAAATCTATACTAAACGTCTAGAAAACACGACAATATGTTTTATATTTATTACCTTAATCTTGAATATTTCAGTTAGTTGACCCACAAACCGGCTTAGAAGTAACAGATCCGTATGTGAATGGTGAATTATGGACGAAAGGACCAAGGTTCACGGTAAGTGGCAAAACCTCCTTATATTTATTATTTTCTTCAAAATCGTTTAAATAACGCGGCACATTCATTTTATTTATAAGAGACTAGCGAATTACCCCCTCGCTTCGCTCGGTGTCAACCAGGATCCTATATACTTATATATATATATATATATATATATATACCAAATCCAAATCCATCTAGCCGTTTCGTTTCTAAGAGGTAACAAACATGCACACAGACATCCGCAATTATAAAATTAGTCGTAAAGTATACCTAATTCATGTAAAAAAAACGTGTGTGTTATGTACGCACGTAAAAAGTTATACTTCTTTGGCGTAACAGAACAAAAAGTAAAAGGAATGCAAGTAACTTCGCCATGTCGCTTTTAGCTAACTTCATCATGTCGCTTTTTGGCTGCCGGTGTGCGCGCGCATCGTCAAAAATTTACTCTCATAACTTTTTCCAAACGTGCCAAAAGAAGTATAACTTCAAAAATTATATTTTTCTACTAAAAATAAGATTTATTTGCTATACTGTAATAGTATAGGTAATTATAAAATTTTTGTATACTAACGTGTTAATTTGTTTTATACCTTCCGTGGTTTAACTCCTAAACTCGAAGCATGTTTACAATGTTATTTTTATGAAGTGAACTTTCATACAAAAGGAAAATGTTTATTACATATTACAGTGAATATTCAATAATAAGTGGTTATCGCAAATTATAATAGAATATTTTCCTGCAAGAAAACCAAGAAATAAATATTTGATAAAAAATAGATATTAATATTTGTTTTACCTACATACATCCTTAATTACTATTTCCATAATATATACAGTACTTTTTGCTTCGCGTTGTTTCCTTACTTAACGTTTTATTGCATCGAGTTCTTTAAAAAAATACGAGACTTATGATGGACACAATTAGGTACTTATCGACTAAAATGAAAGTCGCTGGTCCAACTTCCACAAGATGAAGGTAAACGACCAACTTATAGTTAAACCACAAAGCATGCCCATTTGGGAGTAAGTAAAAAAGAGATAAACTAAATAATTATTTACATCATTTCGGTTAATTTATTGTCATAATAATAACTTAATGGCAGGGATTTAAATGGCCCTGGGGCGATTAGGGAGTGAAGCTCTCCAAGAATATTGCAAAGAAATTTTAAGTTCTTTTGGATTTTTTCTTTTTAATTAACCGAATTTACGGAACGTAAAATGAGTTTAATATATTTCATAAAAAGATCGAATTGGGAACACTTTAAAAATTTCTTTTGAAAAAACTCAGACAGACAGACCTCCTCCTGGGCAGGAGAGTCGATTGTCCTCTTCTACATACATATTACATTTTTGGACAAAAATATGTATCAAGGAAAGCCATACCAAGTGACCCATTCTCGCATATACCTACATCCATACTAATATTATAAATGTAAAAGTGTGTTTGTTTGTTTGCCCTTCTTTTACGTCGAAACGGAGTGACAGATTGAGGTGATTTTTTGTGTGGCGATAGTTAGAGGGCTGGAGAGTGACATAGGCTACATTATAATACAATTCAAAAAAAGTATGATCAGAATTACTTGAAACTTGGTACTAACGCTCTTGAATAAAATTAAATAAATAAGTATTTTAGCATTTTTCGAAATTCATCCTATAAGGGAGTAAAATAGGGGATGAAAGTTTGTATACAACTACCTTTTTAGAGATTTTTTTTATAGTTTTAACGCGAGCGAAGCCACGGGTTCTGCTAGTATTTTATAAAGTAAGTTTTCAATAATAACATTTGATTACAGTTTTTTAATATTTTTAGGAATATTACAACGACCCTGAAGAAACTGCAAGAGCTTTCACCGATGATGGATTCTTTAAAACTGGAGATTTATTGTATCGCGATGAAAATGACAACTATTTCTATGTTGACAGAATTAAAGCACTTATCAAATATCAGAATTCACATGTAAGTACTAACAATAAAATATTTAGTTAGGTACTCAGACCAATAAAATAATTTTTTAATGGTCTGAGGTTAGCTATGATAATATTTTTATTAACACAAAAATAAGGGAAATAATATTTTTTGATCACAACTCGTTACTACTAAATAATGACAAATTTTACACAATTAATGAAAAATATTCCAGTATTTTTGAAAATATATTTTGTTAATATATTGCTACTAGGCATATTCCCGCGGCTCCGCCCGCAGTTACATTAGTACGTATCTTTATGAATTACAGCTTAATTATAGATTTTAATCTACGTGATACACTTATGTACAAACTATCTTACTGCAAAGCTTTATCAAAATTCGTTCAGTAGTTTTTACGTGAAAGAGTAACAAACACATTCATACATCCATGCGTCGTGTTTATAATATTAATGAATAATAGGATCGGATTGCTAGCACATACCTATATACATAATATATTAGTAGTTAAACAATGAACCGTTCTCGAGCTGCTTCGGTGGTAGGCATGTACGGCTGCACACCCGGAGGTCCTGGATTCGAATCCCGGGTCGGGCCAAGTTTAGTTATTGAGTCTTTCTGTATTGTAAGCCTCAGTAACAGCCTGGAGTTGGGAAGTTGGCGGTGTTTCACCCTCGTGCCTAAGAGAGCACGTAAAGCGTCAGTCCTGCGTCTTAACTCTCACCGGTCGTGTCGAGTAGTCGTCCCAGCGGAGTATGAGAGCGACAGGAATAGAGAGTGCACTTGTGTCATCAAACATCCTTTACTTCTATGCAGGGTATGTAGGGTAATCATGCAGGGTATAGTCTATCTATATCCCAAGTCTCATCTAAATTCGGTTGACGGTTTTCACGTGTTCCTATAATATTAATATTTTTTTCTAGGTCATACCAATAGAATTAGAAGAACTAATAAGTACATATCCAGGTATAAAACACGTATGTGTCATCGGCATAAGCGACCCTCTTGATGGCGAACGACCTCTCGCTTGCGTTGTGAAAGAGAACGGTTATAAAATTAGCGCACAAGATATACAGGAATTAGTTGCAAGTATGTAAACATTGGCGATAAGGAAATATTTTTGTTACTAAAAAAACTTTATTTTTTATTTTTAGCTTTATTACTAATAGAGGTTTTTTTTAAATATACTTTTATTAAGTACTTACATACATATATCGTTATTAAATTGCTTTTAGACTAGAATAAGTTATGTGGGTTTATAAAAAAAGCACGACCATCATCGTAGTCTATGTGTCTAAACAGCACAGCGCTTTTTAACCTATGCCATATTCGGTACCCCACGGTGAATATAATTATATTACTATACAGATTTAGACTCTCTCAGACTAAACCAGCCAGAGAATCAAAGAAGCCCAAAGAAAAAAATATCAACATTTGTGTAGACCACCTTTAGAATATTGACCTTGTTGAGTAGAGACCTTTACCTTTGCACAGAAAAAGTTTTCAGTAAAAATTATACAAAATAATATTTTTTTCGTAGGCAAACTGTCCAAAAACAAGCAGCTTCGTGGTGGAGTCATATTCCTCAACAACCTACCTTACACATCGTCGCAGAAAGTAGCACGAAACAAGCTTCAAGAAATCGTTCAAAACATGAAGAGAACATCTATATTATAAATATTACGAATGATTAACTGATGGTGTTAGACGTATTATGCCATACTGAATACGTAACTTTTTAGATGCTTTAACCAAAAATATAAGTATTTTTATAATTTACGATACAAAATTATCTGCTGGTACGCCTTGACATAATTACACCCAATGTCATAGAGGCATATAATATATTTTAAGAAACTGTAACAATAAATAGTATACAAATAGGTAGGTATCTGTTTACTTAAAATCGAAAATATCAAGTCATATTTATATTTTTGGTGTAACTATTTATATGATTGTATTATTGAAAACGTGTAAGAAAATAAAATAAAAACTATTGGTACCTATATATAAAAAAAATATATTTTTACTCATAAAATACATTTTCCCGAAGCGTACATTACCTGTCGTTGTTTAATATATGATAATTATATGTATATTAATTATTAATAAAGTCATTTTCGTCTTATACGTAAGAATAATTACTATTATACAAGTATGAAAAATAAATTTAATATTATGCTCTTTACCAAACTTTGATTACGGCCGTCAAACCTTAAAACTAGTTATTACCACGGTAATGTAATGCATATATTACCGTGTTATTACTATTATATACAGGAGATATTATAGACCACACATAAGTGCAAGCACAAGTATTCTTTCTGTTCGTTTCATCGTCCAGCGGGACCATCATGGCATCATCCAATACTCGCTCCTAGCGTAATACAATACAATACTGTCTCTATATATACCTAAAACTAGCTTTTCTATATTATTATGTATAACTGTTTGAGTTTCTATTACGATTCTAAAAATTATAGTTTTTTTTTTAATTTTAAAATGTTTTTTCAAAAATAGGGCTGCTGATAGTTCCAGAGATTAGCGCGTTCAACATAAAAGAAAAACAAATTCTTTAGTTTTATTCTGAGTTTTATTATATATACGGTAGTCGATTTTATACAAAATATACTATTAGTAAAATCTTATTGTACGAGTACAACCTTTGTATATTCTAAATTTTTTTTGGAGGAGTAAATTATAATTAACAAGCGCATTAAATATATTTTTGTAAACAGTGTTCCATATACTTTCTTTCATGAAATTATGGGGAAGAATTACAGTTTTAAATTAATTTTTAATCTAACTTTTGTTAAGTGCTCATGAAATAGAAATGGTTAGATCTTGGAATTCTATAAAAACTTTTTAACAAAAAAATAAAAACCGACTTCAAACAAAAGCACTAAAAAGTAAAAAATAACTGATTGGTAGTTTTCATTTACTATACATACCTAATCAAATATTTTCGAAGTCGGTGTGCTTTGCTTTGTATGGGCTATCACCGATTTCGAAAATGTTTGATTAGGTAAGTATTTAATAGGTAGGCTTTAGTTACTTAGCCTATCCACCTTCTGGCCTTGCCATCAGATCAGGTCAACAACACCAAACCACTGTACTATCAACGGAAATGGAAATATTTGCAAAGTTTCAAGTCAATATGACAATTAGAAGTAGGTTAAATTCATCATTAGTTGTTTTTCCACCCTTAGGGGTGGTATTTTTGTTTGAAATTTAAATGGGACCAATCTGGAAGTATACCCTTTCAAACAAAACAAAAATTGTCCAAATCGATTAATAAATGACGAAGTTCTGAGGTAACAAACATAAAAAAATACAGTCGAATTGAGAACCTCCTCCTTTTTGAAGTCGGTTGAAAATTCACTCTACATGTCAAGCAGTTATTTTAAGCAAACACCCCGAAGCATTTAGCTATCCCTAAAATTTTTCCCATGACCATGATTACTGTAAACTTAAAGCATTTGAAATCTCGGAAAAGAAAAATCAAAATAACTCGAAATATCCTAAAAGATAATTTTATTTAAAATGTCAAATATTCGCGGATATCGAAGAAAGAATTATCCCTTTTGGAAATTGAAACATTTTAATTGGGTTTTTAAAGATTATAGCTTACCCTTAACACAGTTTCTTTAAAGTACGTATTATACTATTTTTAGAACATAACTTTTCAGATCTTATAATAAAATAATTATTCTGTGGTGAAATTTAAAACGATTTCTTGAAGTTTCCCTCTCGCCAGTTTTCCTGTAGAGGTCATAGGTATTCTGTCTAGGAAAACTACGCCGCCATGTAAGGCTTTATTTTTCGATAATTTACCTGAAATATTACGTAAAATATAATAAATATATAGTTATTTTATAAAATTAAATAAATATTACTATTTTACTAACTCTAGGTAATCCTATAACGTATCATCTGCTAGATGATAATGAGTATAGTATTATAATTATGATCTTCATTTAAAGTGTACATTATTTCTTTATTAAAATACATTTTGATATGATAAAAACGTTTGTTCTGAAGAGGCAATAAAATACCTAGATTATTTAGTACCTTTTTTTTTAACGTTGGGAAATGCATTTACGCACGAGGTGTGGGACTCACCGGCAAAGCCAGTACTAGCCACTAAAACCTTCCCTCGTCTTAATGGGGCGTCGCAGGATCGCTTACGCATTCAATTACGACGCCCCGACGGCAGGTCTGCCGAAGCAGACCACACAACCATGGGGTCGGTCCAAAGTCCACTGTGCTATCAGATAAGTACCAGGAGCAACCCGCATGGTACACCGCCCACCGAAGTGGGCCACCTCCCTGTGCGTTTCTTGGCTTCGCGCCCGGCTGTATTGCCGGGCACTACTGAGCCCCCCCACCACGACAAGGTGAACGCACGTTGGGGGGGGAGGTGGCGCCTATATTCGTGGGCGGCGGAAAAACCCACGGTCAGAGGGCTATGCTCTGATGCCATATTCCCCACTTCCCTTATGGGGAATGTGAGGTGACCCCAGGAAATGTACCCAATACAAAGAGTCAAACCACATTTCGTTTTATGTAATTCATGATAAATTGCTAAATCTACAGATGGGTTACTTTTATACAAAAAGTTCTGAGCGGATTATTAAGACCTAGGTTCGAATCTTAGATTGACCTAAAATTAAGAGAATAGAGAGTGAATCCCTCTATGCCTTCACCTCCACCGGACTCACAATCAAATCGGACAACGTGACCGAAAATCTTTCAGGAGAACATCATTGTATCAATAATGTATAACCTGCAAGAAAAATAGATTTAGATTTATGAAAAATTACACTTACTCGTAACAAGATCCTTAATCTCTTGCGCAGTAACATGACTGTCTTTCTTTTTAACTATACATGCGACCGGTCTTTGTCCGTCCTCCGGGTGTTTAATACCGATCACACTAACTTCTTTTACAGACGGATGAGTTCCTATTACTTCTTCTATTTCTGATGCTATCACCTAAAAATCACCTTCTCTATCAATATAATTTACTTGTTGTATGTTTTAATATAGTCAATATTGTAAATCAAATTTATTTTTTTAATTAAAGTGTTTAGCTTTTTGTATTTTATTTGTATTGTAGATAGCTTAAATACGAGCTTTTCTGGGTTTTAAATTAATTTAACTTCATATTAAAAATCAATTTCATCCGAAAGCCTCCATCTTTCGACCCAGATTTGCTCTTTTAATATAATTACAGTATTTTTAAACATTTTCATAGTTATACCACATAAAAGTTAAGAACAAAGTTATTCCACTCATTAATAATTATAAAATAATATTGTTATTTGAAAATCATACATGCGAATTCCGGTATTTTATAAGTGTTTTTAAGCGGTCCACAAAATAGTAGTTGTCATCATCATCTCTGTACAAGAGATCTCCTGTTTTGAAGTAGCCATCTTCAGAAAATGATAATCGATTCTCTTCCGGATCGTTGTAATATCCCTGGGAAATATTGTAAGTAAATTTAAATATATGTACCTATGCAAATTTGCTAATCGCGCTCTATCTTAACCTTGAGCGAACCGACACAAATTCTTGTATTAATTATCTACGCAAAAATTCTGTGTGTTAGAAAATTGTATAAATCAACGACTAATCGCATATTTATACGAGTAAAAACATGAAACCTCTATAGTAAAAAAAAGATTCCGACGAATTGAGAACCTCCTCCTTTTTAGAAAGTCGGTTGATAATCTATGCTTATGAATTGTCCTCTCATTTCCAATATTTCACCTGTTGGACCTGTGCCCTCAAATGCTTTTATAGAATTGTACCTCTTTGAGGATCGAAAGAAGTTTTATACCTTTAATTTTGTCATAGCCACAAATATAATAAGTAATAACAAACTTCTACTGTCTATACTAACTTACCCTTGGTCTGGTTGATTTGGTTGGGAAAAGCGGAACAGCTATAGAATTTATCACCATTTTTATGTATAATCTATTTTATGTATGAGATTATGTCAATAAATAATTTATTATTATTACCTAATATCGTAATCATAGCCATAATCGAACTGCATCAATTCTGTCACATCAAAACGAGTGATGGATTGATGTGATATTTTGTGTAAAAATAGTTGGAAGGCTCGAAAATGTCATGGACAGGTTAGTTGTTTACCGCGGGGAAATATCTATTTCCCACGGGAAAACTGGGTATAATTATTATATAACCGTTTAAGGAATTATTGGAGGTACCTTATTATATAATGAAAATAGAATTTAAAATTTTTAAAGTTATAATAATAAAATAATGAGCAATTTCTTTATAAGCCTGTGTTATATTTTGTTACATGGCATTTTTATTCGATAAAACTTAAAAAAAAACCGACTTCCAGGCACTAAAATGTAAAAAATAACTAAACGGGGGTTTCATTTAGAATAGATACCTAATCAGATATTTTCGAAGTCGGTGCCAGCCGACGTTTAATAACATATTCGATTAAACAATTTGTTTAAATAATATATTTATTTTTGATTTTTTTTAAAACCGCTTCACCGATTTCGATAAAATTTATATGGGACCATCTGGGAAGTATACCCTTTCAAACAAAACAAACATTTTCCAAATCAGTTCAGGCGTCTTCGAGTAATCAGCGAACATACATAAAAAAAAGATTCCGACGAATTGAGAACCTCCTCGTTTTTTGAAAGTCGGTTAAAAACAACGTATTCTTACCGCAAATCGTAACAAACTCTTCGACCACAATTCTCCTGTTACATTCGGTTCCTTAATTTCTATACCAGTATCGGGATCAACTAGCTGGAAAATTAATATATTTTATTATCGATTTAAAAACATTTTAAATACTAGCAACATACCTTCGCTTCACTCGGGTGTATCCCTAGGTACGTTTTCAATAGATAAAAATAGTTATTGTGAGTGTACCTTAGGAGATACACACAAGCTATTGCGGACTTTTTTGTAATTCGTTTCGTCGTGTTTCGTTTTTAAGTGTTTTCAATTTTGGCGCTGAAACCCTATTTTTTCCGGAATAAAACATTCCCAATATGTAGCCCTACATATAAGGTATGTTTTGATTACGGCATTATTTATATTACAATCGGTTAAGCTCAGCGCTGGATTTGCACTAGGGACACTCGGGGCTATTACCCAGGGCGGCAAAATTCAGAGGGTGATAAAAAAAAAAAATTTAATCGAAAATTTTTGTATCTTCCAAAAAATGAATAATCAACAGAAAAAATATTAGTACACTTTTTCAAGATATTAATAATTAAAAGAAATTAAACTTTATCGAAACTTTATCAATTTTATGCAAAATTTTGATAATGGGGCGGCATTTTTTACAGTGCCCAAGGGCGGCGCTTTTTTTTGGCAGCCATTTTCCTAAAAATCGAACTTTTATACCAATATACGGCTTGAATCGATTTAGTTGCACGCGAGTGTATATAGTAATAATTATATTAGTGACAAATAGTTATTTGTCAATATATATAATAATTAGTTAAACAATAAAAAAGAAAAAGAAAAAGAAATATGTAATGCATATGTACATTACATAGATCCATTTGGATTACAATGGGATAGCAATTAAAAAAAGTCTAAACACCTTTATACTATACCCAGGTAAACATTTCCCGCAGCTGCCGGCTGGACTGAACGGACTCGCAATCAAAATAGGACCTAACATTTCTGTCTGGCCATAATTATCCAATATAAGCGCGTCTTTCGATAGTAATTTCTATAATAAAAAGTAAAAACGCTTTTATTTAGTGCATAGTCATAAAAATGGATTAAAAACTAATATGGAAAATGGATTAAAGCTAATATAAGGCTGGTTAACTTTTATGTAACCTTTATGTTTTATGTTTAAAGCCAATACAGATTTCTCAGAGATGAGATATTTTTCCACAGTAAAATGTATCCTAAATATTTACCCGGATAAGTAAGATAAGATCCAGTGGTTTTCTCGTGATACGTTCCCAGACAGACAGACAAAAATTCTAAAAACTATAGATTCGGCCTCTTTATCGATAATAATGTTTATTTCAATAAAATTTTCCAAAAAATATTTAATGTACAGATTCGGCTTAGTTACAATTTTATTATATGTAGGTATAGATATTTATATTCACCCTAAATTGCTCTAACTTGTCGGGATAGACCTTCGATCCTGCTAAACTTATGGTTTCAAAACTTGTGAGATCAACTTCTTCTTTACGACTCAGCAACATCGACATTAAACTGGGGCTCATTAGAGATGTTTGAGGCTGCAAAAAATTCGAAAAAAAAAAGTAATAAAAGGTCATTTGGGAATTATGCAAAACATATTATAGTGTAATCATTTACTCATTAAATTAAGGTAACCTCAAATCGTTATGCAATGCAGCAATAACATTTTAACAACAGCTATTATTTATTTCTTTTAAATAATATTATTTAGTTTAGTTATAATAAATATTTTTGTTTACGCAAAAAATAAAAATGCTTGATATTTTAATGTAAAAACTAAAACTATATAAATAAAATTGAAATGCTGTTCGTTAGTGAAAGCAATTCTTAAGAACGGTTGGACCGATTTGGCTATTTTTTCAATATTTGCAATAGTCCGAATAAGGTTTTAGAGAAATAGAAATTAGAAAAGTTTCCCGGAAAATTGGGAAAGATTCTGTAAAACTAGCAAAGTTCGGAATTTTTTTAGATAGATTTTATGTGATACTATAGGATTTTTAGGAGACGTTGTAGAAATACATATATTTTAAAATTTTATAATTACTTACTCTATACTTATTTATTATTTCAATAATGTGATCAAGATCATCTGGTTTCGATGTTTGAATTTTTGTATCTCCCATTACTGGCGCGAACATGCATATAAAATAGTTCGATATCCATTGTACCGGAGACAAATTCAACGTTCTCTTGTGTGTTCTACAAATATAATAAAAAAACGTGTGTGTATACTTATGAACACACGTAAGAAGTTATACTTCTTTGGCGTAGCAGAACAAAAATAGCTCAAGATTTCATCCCGTATGTCACAACTGTTTGTAAAAGAAATGATAAATTAATAAAAATAAATATATATTTTTTATCTCCACTGATATAAAACACGTGATTTATGAATATATGAGAAACTACTTTGCATAAAGTTATGAGTTTACATGGGAACCGGAACAGCTAACTTCATCATGTCACTTTCAGTTAACTTCATCATGTCGTTTTTGGCTGTCGATGTGCGCGCGCATCGTAAAAATTTTACTCTCATAATTCTTTCCAAACAAGCCAAAAGAAGTATTGCAATAAAACGTATTAATTTATTTAATAAGTAATTTTTCAATAGTTTTTAACATGTTATACATTTGTATACATTCAATTGTAAATCGATTTCAAAAACCCTTTTTAAAGAACGGGAAGGTAACCCACAGACATTTAACGTTTTTTCAAAATAGCGAATTACAATGTATTTAACATGTATGGGTAGAGAAAACCTCTTGCTGTCTGCAAAGTAAATATATAAAGCTTATACAAAAAACAAACAAAAGATATCAGCAGCCTGTAATAATACCATAAAGTAATTATGTACGTACTTTCGACATACCTATGTGAAGGTAAAAATCGCTGTATTTTTCCTATTCATAATATAATATATAATGCCTAAATATTATGAAGATCGAATTTCGTGATCTTAATAATATTTAGGCCAATTATTATAGTTCTACTAGCGAATCACACTCGCTCCGCTCGAGTTCACCCCTAGACTTAGTTACTTAAAAAATGGGGGGTGGGCGTAAGATGATGAAAATCTTTACGACCTATAACCTTCTCCTTCCTTCTCATACCTACCAAATATACAAAAAAAATCGTTAAAATCAGTAGAGCCGTTTTCGAGGATTGCGACCACAAACATCGTGACACGAGATATTTATATATTACATTTTTATTTTATATTATTATTATATATTAAAGTAAAAATACATATCTCTGTTTTAAAAATATATGGAGATTTAGCTAAGCTCAAATTAGAGGTTTATCTATAAAATATATATCATGCGATTATATAAGGAATATAAAAATGTAATACATTACAAAAAATAGATTAGACGGCTTTAGTTTTGATTTTTACTTACTTTTTATTGGCAACACTCTGTTTAAACATTCGCAGCAACTTTATCATAAATGGTTCATGCTTAATAATTGCAAGTTTCACTTTACCACTTGTGCCACTCGTGCTGATCAGAAAGGCGCATATATTTTCAATATCGATTTCTTGCGGTCTGCAAAGTAAATATATGAATTTTCACATACGCATTGAAGCCATTAAATAAAGAATTGAACGCTTATAAAAAATACTTTTTATCGATAAAATCATACCGGATTCAAAAGTGTTTTAAAATTATATTATTCCACCCTTGAAGAATGTACCTATATAAACAAGGTAGGAAAAAAATTACCTAATGAGGATTATCTTAAACTTGAACCATTTTGTAAGTTCAAATGTTATCTGTATAATTTAATATTATAATTTAAAAATTCCTCAATCCTACTAATATTTTAAACGCGAAAGTTTGTGTGGTTGGATGGATTGTTGTTACTCTTTCATGTAAAATCTACTAAACGTATTTGGATGTAACTTTACAATAATATAGCTTGTATTTCAGAGTAACATATAGGCTATAATATATAAAGATAAAATAATATATGTTGGGACATCTACACACAGCACCATCTAGTTCCATGGTAAGCTACGATACATATACTCGTATGTATCTTTTAAATACATACATATTATAAATCCCTAGCGGGACTCGAACCCGCGACCGCTGACACAGCAAGAAGTGTCACTACAATACGTATGTTAATGTTTTGGTCTAATTAAATATGTGACTCTTACTTGAAATCTTGCTCAGGTTCCTTCGTATCGTAAGTTTTAATGACATCTGATATCGAAGAGTCTCCATCAAATGAAACTATTTTCATCTGTAGCCCAAGATCCGATGCTGCCTTAGCATACGTTTCTTTGTATTCATTTTGACAAAAGGCTATTTTAGGTTTTGATAAGTCGAATAACTTATAAATTTCATCTAGAGAGAAAGAAATATAAACAAATCAATAAAAATGTCTCATCTGAATAAATTATAAATTAAAAATTCTATTGAGATACACTTTATGCCCTAAAGTTAAATATGATAAATCTATCTAATATATTTAAACGAGCAATTCTTATATGTATATTTATTTATTTACTTATACCGGCGATCTCGAAAACGACTAAACGATTTCGCTGAAATTTGGTATATGGTATGTGGGGGTTTTCGGGGGCGAAAAATCGATTTAGATTAGTCTAGTAAAACTAATTTTCCAGATTACTCCGGGAAAACGCGTGTTCGAGTTCGAAGTTTAGTTCGGTTATCTTTCGCATTATTCCACGCAAAATATGATCGCTAATTTCGTACGTACGCACAGGAGTCCGGGTTCGAATCCCGATCTTGATACAAAGATTTTACATTTGTATTTATTCAAGTTTTTAGTTCTTTTTAATCTGAAACATGCGATATAATAAAAAAAAACTCTGAGCGATGCTCGGTCACCCAGATACTAGTTAGAAAAGAAAAAAAGAAACCAAATTCTAGAAACTTCTTAACTGTCGTCTACTAGACGTGCTTGAATTTAATAATCTACATGCCATCATCAAAAAAGCTTAAAGGTACCAAATTATTATATTGTCATCTACATTATATCATACTAGCATGGACTTGTATTATCAAACTAACACAAAAACTAGATCGTTATTTTAATAGTAGGTTCAAATTGACATTCTAAACATGGTAAAATATATGTCTTTTTTATTTTTTTGAAAATAAGCTGTAGTTTTATATCAAAGACAACACGTATTGAATCAGCTCAGGATACAGATTAAAAAAAGAAAAAAATATACAATTGAATTGAGAACCTGCTCCTTTTTTGAAGTCGGATAAAAATGGTGCATTAACATAAAAAATAGGTATGGAATGGAACCTTTCTTTAACGCGTCCTATTTGAAAGTCTGTCTGTTAAAAAGTCCCTTATTGAACTCTGTTACACGATTAACGTCCCACTCCTGAGCACGGGTCTCCCTTCAATACGAGGAGGATCAGGCCGTAGCCCACCACGCTGGCCAAGTGCGGGTGGGCAGACTTCACATGTTTTTCAAAAACTTGCTAGGTTCTCTTAGACACGCAGGTTTCCTCACGATGTTTTCCTTCACCGTTAAGACAAGTGGCAATCATGTTGGAAAATGATTCGCACATGACAATAGCAGAGGTGCGAGACCCGGAATTTGAACCCGTTTCACTCGGTTTCCCAAGCGAGCACGTTCCCACTGGGCTACCACTGCCTACCACTACACTGCCTCTGTTTCAAGAATGCATAATTTATTAACCCCAGTCCCGACCCTAGTAAAGTAGATCTGTAAGTATCCATTAGAAGTATGTTTGTTTATATTTATCTTACATTTATGAAGGAAGATAAATATTGTCTATATATTGCAAATGTTACATTTTATCTTTTTCACACATAAACCGATAACTAATGTCGATGAAATTTGAAGGGTATATTTATCAACAATATCTATATCTATAGATACATGTAATAAAATTGTAGTTGAGCCGAATCTGTACATTAAATATTTTTTGGAAAATCTTATTGATACAGAGGCCGAATCTATAGTTTTTAGAATTTATGTCTGTCTGTGACCGCATCACCGAAAAACCACTTTAGGGATTTTAACGAAATTTGGTATGATGATGAATATTGCTGGTTATCCGGGTCAACATACAGGATACTTTTTATTGCGGGAATATATCTCATCTCTGAGAAATCTATACTAAACGTTAAAACGTAAGTAGGGACGAACCCGAGCGTAGCGACAGTGAGTCGCTAGTTATAACTATTACCATATCTATATATAATATTATAATCTATTAATTATCAATGTGAGCGAACCGCGGACGAAACTCTTCACTTTAAACAAGGCTATTTATACATAACATTAATACCTATACATGTATGTATTACGTATATACATATATTCTATTCACTTTTCATCTAAAATAAAATTACTTACCATATTTAAAATATGGATCAACCCCAACTATTGGTAAGCCATTAAAAATACTTGCGTAGAAGGGTATATGGATATCTAAATGATTTCTACCGCCAATAGCTACGGAGTCGCCAGGCTTAAAGCCCATTTCCCGAAGTGATCTTGCTAACTCAATAGATCTAGATAAGGTTGCACCATAAGTTTGCTCCTCTCCCGTTGCTGCATCTATCTGATGAACAAAAGATTAATAATTTGACCAAACAATGCTTTACTGTCTTATTATCTATCGTCGATTAGCAATGGGCGTTCAATGAACGGACTAGTTCAATCAACCGGTCGACGCGCGACGGTGCGTCGACGGTTCGACGGTTCACGTTTTTCGAATGGACTAGTTCATTTCATAGACTATGACAGACGTAAACAAGGAGTTCGTTTATCGTCCGTTTAAAACAGAATGTAAACTAAATTCAACTCTAATGTTCAATAACAGTGGTTTGACATTTGAATGCGAGCTTTAGAGTGGGATAGGCCTATTATAGTATCGTTATTGTCGTGGTAATTGTAGAAACAAAATGCCATAATTATAGTTGCAATTTTTTGCAAGTGATAATATTTTGATGAGCGCGTAAATTTTAAGATTATTAATTTATTCAGTATAAAATGTCATCATTAAGCATTAACCAAGATTAATCTAACCACGGCGGTCGCGACGAATCGTTCCGTCTCGCAACATAAACTAGTAAAGATAGAATAAACTGTCTACAGACTAGCGTCTACAACTACATTGAAGTTGGAAGCGGAATGTGAACTATATTCCACGATTTGAACTAGTCGATCGACTAGTCCACGAAAGAAAATGAACGGTCTAGTTTCGTTCACGCTAAATACGTCGACGACCCATCGCTATCGTCGATGTATTTCATAATGTTTGTGCTATTTAAAAAAAACCTTTCACCCATATGCGAGGTCTGAACTCGAAAAAAATTAATAGTGCTTATAATATTTAAATTGTAAGTAAGTACTCGTACATGTTACTAATTTGTACATCTAACAGTTTACAAGCTTTCTTTGGTCAGTGCTTGTACACTTGTCATAGGTGAACACGCTTTGAAGCTATCAGCAAGAGAATTGAATTGTACTTATATATGCAGCCCTTTTTAACGTCATATCGCTAACGCTGGGCCTCCCTTCAATACGAGGGGAATCAGGCCATAGCCCACAATGCTAGTCAAGTGCGAGTTGGCGGACTTCACATATCTTTTGAAAACTTGCTTGGTTCTCTTAGACATGCAGGTTTTCTCATCATCAGGTCAGAGAATGAACAATAATTCGCACATGAAAATATCAAACGTGCGAGACCCGGGATGAACCCGCTTCAATAGATTTTCCAACGAACGCGTTACCACTGGGCTACCAGTTATGACTGCCTTAAATGAATTGAATTGAATAATTTTGTGTGTGTGTTCACAGTATCATCGTGTGATCCTTAGGAAAAAAAATTGAAAGCTCCAGCTTCCAAAGACAAAATATTTTCAAAAGGAATTTCTTTGATAAATGGTTTCATCTAAGAATACATAAAAAAGTATTTTTGTTTATCAATGAGAAACTTACATATGTACATAATATATTACCACTATTCCAATTTAGAATTCTATTCCTACTTCTATGACCTTATTATTAACACGCGGTGAGCCTTGTAAAAACACATTTAGAGGTTAAATTACTTAATATTATAAATTTAATATATACTCGTAGAATTTGATTTATATATTTATTTGCACGTCAGAAAAGGCACGTAAAGCTGTTTGTTTGTCCTACTTTCAAGTCGTTTCGACATATTGGCGTGATTTTTTGTATGGAGATAGTCGGAGGGCTGGAAAGTGACATAGGGTACTTTTTACCGCGGAAGTTTACCTTATTCCCACGGGAAAAGCTTTATAATATAATCCAAGAAAATATATATGATTAGAATTACTTGAAACTTAGTATTAATGCTCTTCAATAAAATTAAATAAATACGTGTTTTAGCATTTTTCGAAATTCATTCTATAAGGGGGTAAAATAGGGGATGAAAATTCGTATGAAACTATTATTTTTAGAGATTTTTTTGTAGTTTTATCGCGAGCGAAGCCGCGGGTTCTGTATATATATTATATACACAAAAATAAAGTTGAAATGTTTACAAAACCACTAATCATTTATTTCTGAAAGGTCAACAATTGAATAAAACATTGTCTGTCATAAATAGTTAGTGGTAGATACTTATAAAAAATAATACAATTTATCTACAGTACAACTCCATTGTTAGAGATGTTTAAACTTTTACTTTAAAATATGCTATTTACAGACTTATCTAAGGTGAGGCGGTCCCTAAGATTTGCCTTTGCCTATTTTTAGAGGCAGTATAACAAGACTTATTTCGGCCTTGATAGATAATGATTACATCAGCACAAGAAACGATCGTTCTCGATTAATGCCAACAAAAATATGCTACGAGGAAAAAATGTTAAACAGTTATATAAGGCACATACTTTTAAAAACATTTATTATATAACTTCTTTCAAATTTTTTTCCTTTCACTTTTTTATGACACGATCTCACGACGATTTGCCCTTTTAGGTCTGTCCTGAAGAAAGTATAAAAATAGTAGTGTTTAAACATTTTTCTATGGAAGCTGGCATCAGCCACCGCTTTTAAGCACAGCCCTTTTTAACTTCAAATTTTAAATGAAACTATTATACGTACTTATATATGTATGTACATAGTATGTATAGTATATACAAGAAACTTTAAAAAAATAACAGCAGCTGTCAATAAATGTCACGATATACTTGGAGGTATTGACTGCTATGATGATAATAATTAAAAAAAAATTAATTACATGTTCACATGCGCTTGCTTGTATTCAAAGGATGATTCTAGATTGAATTATTAAGTATATTATTATAATTTAACTTTAAATTAATAAAAAAAACAGACATTATTATAATCTTGCTGCAAAGTATTGTTGTTGGGTTCATCTCAACAATTGTTATTAAATTAACTTATTTGGTTTTCCTGTAAATAAATTCTACTTAGCCCGGGCTTAGATAGTCCGGTTTATCATTGCTCAGAAAGCGCGTAAAGCACTAATATTTCTTTGATCGAGATGGTTTGTCCTGTTGCCCTATGATAGTGATCGCATAAAAAATATTATACTTGTGTATATAAACACACTTTTGTGCCTACTGTATCTAATATTTTTCATGTCTCTAGTCTCAGTGAGACCAGCCATTATAACCAAACATTACCATAACCATGAACCATTTTTTACGACTTTGGATTTGGTTTGCGAGCGAGGAATTTATAAAATAATTGTATACTTGAATATCATAATTATGTATAGTATAATTCTTTTATATACCTATCCAGTTTGTATAGCAATTAATAAATAAATAAATATGTTAGGACATTAACACAGAACCATCTAGTTCCATGGTAAGCCACGAGGCTTGTGTTATGGATACCAGGTTGATACACTACACATATATAACTTTAAATATATACATATTATAAATATAAACACCCATGAATGGAGTGCAAACATTCATGCTATCACACAGATGAATGCCCTCAGCGGGACTCGAACCCGCAACCGCTGGCACAGCAAGTAGGGTCACTACAAACTGAGCCAAACATGTCGTCAAATTATCTTGCAATTGTATACCACAATAAAAAACAATTCAAAGTTCAAAGTTCAAACTTCAAAGTTCAAAATATTTTATTCAGCATTAAATTATTACAATTTTTTACTGAATGTGATGAGTCTACTACGTCTACCAGTTCGGAAAGAAGAAGCCTCAGACCTGAGAAGAACTGCCGAAAGAAATTCGAAAATAAACTTTGTGAGAATTACTATAAAATTGCATTTTCATCTTAGGATTCAGACCATATTTTTCTAAATTGTCTTTTCTTAACATTACCGCCAAAATCATATGTTCTTCTAGTAATTCTGATCGTTTGAAATTTAACAATAATGAAATTATTATTAATCACTTTTTTATTGTCATAGTAAATAATAAATATGTTAAATTAATAAAAAATAAAAATAATTGCAATTATTATATTAATTAATTATTAATTCTCCATTGTTATCTATACATATAATAAAATTGTACATTGAAGATAATTGAAAAAACTATTACTTGGGGTCTTTAGTAACGCAAAAGAACCAAAACAATGGTATTTAAAAATTTTGTCTGTATTATTATTGGGATATTATTTGGGGTCTTTATTAACGCAAAAGAATCCAAAACAATGATATTTAAAAAAATTGTGTTTGTCTGTGCGTTTGTACGCGCTAATCTCAGAAACGGCTTAACCGATTTGGGTACTCACTAATGTCTTGTGGTAAACTTCACTTAACATCTAGTATTTGTTTTATTTCTATCGGTTCATAAATAAACAAGTTATATTAATTTAAAGAATCACCTAGGGACGAACCCGAGCGAAGCGAGGTTGACTCACTAGTTTATATGTACTTCTATACTAATATTATAAAGAGGTAAAGTTTGTGAGTTTGTGACATTGTAGGGGGTAATCTCTGAATCTACTGAACCGATTTAGATGAAATTTGGTAAGAAGATAGTTTGAGCCCCTGGGGAGCACATAGGATACTTTTTATCCCGGAAATCCTCCCTTAAAGGGGTGAAAATGGGGATTAAAGTTTGTATTATGAAACAGGCTACGGATGAACCCGAGCGAAACGAGGGTGAATCGCTAGTTAAAGATAAACATCAATATTCGTATAGATCGATTAGTTCGAATAAAAGATGGACGCGACGTAAAATACTTACGTCGATCTTTTATTCGAACATACTCTTCTTCTAATTATAGTCGACCGAAAATACAACTGACCTGGCCAACAATTTGTCGATGCCGCTTCATATAATCCAGTACCAAGTGTCCAATGTGGTAATTGGGCCCTATTTCCATGATGCCACACACTGTCTCGAAACCAAATTGAAATTTTAATCCAACAATTAAATCTTATAAAACGTGGTTTTGACTAAATGTCTTCTTTTTCTTTTTCTAATTGTTCAAAATATAATAATTATTAATATATACAATGGTTGATAAACACTATTATCTTATTTCGAAATAGTGATGTGCGACCACTCTGAAGCCTCGATTATGAATGCGTATTGTGAATGTCCGTGCACGGAGCTCAGATGATAAATGACTTAAGATAAATAAGGAAACTAGCAATGTAAAACTTCCATTATCAGTTAAAGTCAATGTAAAACCTCCATTATCAGGTAAAGTTTTGTCTGCAATCAAATTACAAATTTCGTATAAGCTGTAATAAGTATCGAGGATATTTTAATTATCCCTCCACGACCGCGGACACCCCGAGGTGTCAGTTAACAATAGATTTCTTAGAATTTTAATTAATTTCTTAGAAATTTACCTGGAGGGATTTAAAATACTTAGACAGTGTTCAGGCTCTTCAGGATGTGGAATGTTACTGTTAATTTCTAGAACAAATATAATCTAGATAATATTGGTATAATAGTTTTTACCGGTAAAGCAATTTTTAGAAGAGTGACCTTACAATATAAAAACAATAACTTGCGTATAGCATAAAGGAAAAAAGAAGATATAAGTGATTAGCCGAATATAAGATAACTTGTAGGTATGTAAAAACTAGCCAAGTCAATTCTTAAACTTCAATTTATTCTAAGCTATCTACTCTGTGTAAATAATGCGACTGTTCAAATTTAAGAAATTCTAGCTTGTAGTTTTGTAGCAGAAAAAAAAACAAGAAAATGTGTTTTAAATTTATTTTAGAATGTTGTATGTTCTAATAAAAAAATATCAGGATTATCTACAAAACTTGGCACCCATTTAGATCTTAATTCTATTGTCGGTGAAGTTGACACCACGCATATTCTTATTATTGAACTTGGCTCCCATTTTCACATTTAATAATTTATAGTTTAAACATTTAATCTTTTTTTTTCATAATTTTGCGACTATTCGTTAGTGGATAAGGCGGAATAGGAAAATGTTATTTAATCTGATCACCATGGAACTTTTTCTCCTGAAAAAGAAAAAAGTTTTTGCTATTACTATGATTGCTCTTGCTATTATATTTCAAAAGGCACTAGGTGTTAAGCTATTGCTACTATGTATTGGAAGGGGCAAGCAAGGTGTTAATAGAATTATTTTTTTTTTAAGTTTTATATACCTGTTACTGTTTTCGGATTTTTCCCTTTGTATGCACACGATTAACCATCTGGACACAAAATTTTTAACTTTCTATGTCATCTGGAAGTGGGTTAGGTTTTACTACTACAATATGTTAGTCAGTCAGTGATAAAAATGCTGATTTTTAGACGTTAATATCTCAATAACCGTTTGAGCTGTATTTATGAAATTGGGAATTATAGTTAATCTAAGCGGATTAAATAAATGAACCAAATTTCATGAGCTTATATTAAAAAGATTTTCAGTTATTATGAGGTGAAAAGTGGCTCTAAATGGTTCGTGTAAAATAACACACGGTGCTGCATCGCCAGTTCCTTTGGCTTGAACTTGACTGGACACGCGTGTCTTGATATCCCGCAGCTGTGGAAGACCTACTAAATGATTGCAAAATGTATAATATATTTATTTAGATAGTACCTATTTAGTTTTATGGGTTTTATAGTAGCTAAATTTATTCGGTCTTCAGGCTCTAATTTTTAAGATATCTCAAAGATTACAAAAAATATATATTATGTTATAGTCTACAGTAAGTAAAGCACGCCTTTTTTCATGATTGATAACAAGCTGAAACTTCACGAGTAGCTTCGTTTTGACGAGACGCCCATCTTTTCTTTCTACTAAAATTTAAGACTGACCATTATTATTACCAATTATTCAGTAAAATCATAAACTCAAAACATGAGTGCAATAACCTTGCTTAAAGTAGATAACTGGCAAACGTATCTACCAATATAAATACATTATATTGAAAAACTAAGTGAATGTCAAGTGGTCATTGCATTTGTTCTAATCGTGTTCTTATGATATTAATACAACGTGTAAATAATATTTCTGATAATTTGTTATCAATTCTTTCTTTATTTTTTCCGTCATTTAATTATTACATTAAATACTGTCAGGGACTCCATCTGCGTGTTTAATTTTCTATTTAGTAAACACTTAAAAACTCTATGCTCTGATTATGTTCTTCCAGCTGATATTCTAGCCAGCTGCCGGGCTATTCAGTTCTTCCTCCGAATATGTGTTCAAATTATCACCGTGTTAATGCTAATTTACAGCAATGAAGGCAAGAAACTCGCTTGTGAGACGGCCCACAATTTTTTTTAGTTTTATTTAAAAAAATCTCATCCTAAATTTATTTTAAACATATAGGTGCATAAGTAGTGTATATTTTTGTAATCGCCTCTTTAAACCCTGTATTTTGATAACCCACTCAATTGATTCGGACGAAAAAAATTATTTTTCAAGACACACAAATTGACGCCAAAAATCCGACATTTTGTTTTTTTTTAAACAGCATAAGGGCGCTTGGGTTTTTGAGACGAGTTTAACGATACCTTAATTGTCGCAATCCATTTCGCGTTTGAAAGATATGAGGTATTAGGTAATAAAAAAAATGTACAAGCATACATATAAACATACATAGGTACATACATACATACAAGATATGCTCGAAATACATAACCCTTCCTTGGCAGTGTAAAAATATGTTTCTCATAGGTAAACAATTATCAATTACCTTATTCGTCCGACTATCGTGTTACGGAACTCGAATCGTCGCATCAGCTTTGCTCTACAAACCTCGCACGGCGACGACAAGACAAGGTCAGGCGCAAGTGCAAGCGCAGCAGCCACCTACATTTCATCAATGCCATTGTCACAACTTCCTATAATATTGTAGTATAAAAGGCATTACTTGGCTGCATCTTCACTGATTTGATCTAACATCGATCGACAGTCACTTTAGTAGTAAGAAATTTTAGTTAATAAATTAGTTTTAAGTTAATTTGCATTTCTTTGCATCCCTGGCTGCCTCCAAAAATATAACTATCGTGTAAATAACATAAATAATATTTTTTTTAATTTAAATTTTAAATATATAATTAATCGTCTGAACGTCATACTAGAACCCAAACACCATTATATTCATATATAATCAAAAGGTATATTAAATGTTACGTAACTGTTTGGTTATAAAATATTAAATAACTCTTTACAATTAAGTTTTTATAAGAAACTCTTAATTGACGTCTACGTTGTAAGAATAGTTCTTTTGTTAGTTTTTCATTTATTATTTTACAAAGAAATCGTTAATGTATTTATTGTTAACTATATCTATAATATTAATATTATAAATGCGAAAGTTTGTGAGGATGTATGGATGCTTGTTACTCTTTCACGCAAAAACTACTAAATGGTTTTTAATGAAACTTTACAATAATATAAATAATAACACATAGGCTACTTTTTATCCCGAAAAAATATACGTATCGTATCGTATACGTATCATTAAAATTATCTTTATATCTTCCAAGCTTAGCAAAAATATAATAAATAAAAAGCAATATACCCGGAGCCGTTTCGTTTTAAACTTAATTCAACGAACAGATAAAGTCTAAAAACTTTCAGCTTCTAATTCATTTCAAACTAAATTAAAAACGATAGAAGTGAAAACTTAAAACTATAAACAGACAGTTGTTATTTTTGGATATTCAAATTGTTTGAATTTAAATTAAAATTTGCAAATTAAAACTGTTTACATTTATCTGGTTTTGACATCTATCGGCACTGAGTGTTAGCGTTAACACGTCACGTGACCATGTCAATGACAACTTTAATGGATTTACTCTTCATCCAAACCTGCTTAAAAAAGTTTTCACTTCAAAAAATAAAAGTTTTTATTTGAAATAAATAACACTTAACATTGAAAAACGCAGCAACTTATCGCAGTCACTATTTTATCGCTTCAAGGATAATGTGGGATGGTCAATAATGAAAAATATCATGTTTCAGAGAATATATTAAAAATTATATTAAAATGCTATATAAAGACCACCTTAATACTATTTAATCCATAACATAAAAACATAAAAGAGCTATCGTACAGCAGAACTAAAATAAATTAAAGCTTTCATGTACAATGGTAATTTTAATGTTACAATTAAAAAGACAATCATATTTTTCTCATAAAAAAAACGACTTGCATTTTTTTGTTTGACATATATGAATAGTTAAAATAATAAATATTAACTATATATATATTTAAATTTTATCAACAAATTGACATTGACACATTATTATTTTATTATTCTTGACATTTCAGATAATAATTACAAATCTTAAAATATTAAATCAGCAATTCTTGTATATATGTAAATTTATTTCGTGTATCTCGGTAACGGCTCTAACGATTTGGATCAAATTTTGTATTTAGATAAGGTTTCGCTTCTTAAGTTTATCCTATATAGGTGTATTTTCTGAAAGAAACACTATTTTCCCAAAATAAATCGCTCAGTTGCAAAGTTTATTCACAGGTAGGTACTTAATATTTAATATTTGAAAGGACAAATTAGTAAAAATCATTTGCAAAATCTTTTTCTATATTTGATTATTTTTATTTATTGCAAGCTAAAGCTGCAAATAGTTGCCACTACTCAAAAAATTGCTAGTCTGATTTTTAATTCCACGGAAATATGACAGCTGTCATTCTTTGACAATTCAGATATCATAAACCTTTTCTGCATTGATTTTTTTTTAAATATAATAACAAAATAATATGAAACAGAATAAGATCAAATAAACTATATTTATGACATTGTAAATAGTCTTTGTTTTGTGCATTCAATGCATGCTAAATATAATGTAAATTTTTAATGGTTAAATGAATAAAACAGAGTAAAACAAAATATTTTACAAAGGGGTGTTCCTAAAAAAGGCTTGCAACTTATGGATTATTGGACAGGGATTCCTGTAATAGAAAAATAATTTCCTTAATAATTATTGTAACTTCAATAATATGATAATAAAAAAAAATTACCATTTTAGAGTTAACAATTATTTTTTAAGTCTCAGTTTTTCTAATTGAAACCTTAAATTCAAGAATGGTTTATTTTTTTATTTTGCTAAAATGCTTTCCGTTTGTAGTGACAATGTTTCAAAGTTGACAACACTTCTGAAATGTCAGAATTCCGTCGATTTAAAAATCAGACTTTAGAGTAGATATTTACTACCCTGTTGTTGCATTTTTATACATTTAAATGTTTTTAAACCACGTTTTTTTATTCTCAAATATACGTCACGATATCTCATTATAATATCAAGTGACATTTTATGACAAAATAAAACTGTAGTAATAATAAAAATCATGTTTTAAATATTTTATAGGTAACAAAAACACAATCTATTATGAAAAATCCAAAATATCCCATAATTATATTTGATATGAATTTTTTCAACCTCATCTCAAATCAGAACAGTAATATTTGTTTCTAAATAACATTTATAAAAAATTACATTATTTGAAAGGCACAATTATTTAATTGTAACATCTTAATAATAATTAGAATTATATATAATTACATACATTTTATGCAATTAAAAAATTATACATCATAGATACATATTCCGTATATTAAAATTTAAAATCAACATTTTATATTGTATTAAAATTTAAGTGCCAAATAATAAAATTAAGTTTATCAGTGAATTAAAAAAAAAGTTTGTGACATATATTTTTTAATAACTTACTGATAAACTTAATAAAAATTTAAGAGTCACTTGCAGTTCTTTTTTTTCTTATTTGTCTTACTTATTTATGTTTAGCAAACATCAAATGACGCATAATTCAGTGTTTGCTATACATATGTGTAAGTTATTTAAATCAGATTTAATATTTAACACGACTCTTAGCCTTAGGAATGATATTTAATAGATAAATTCAGCTAAAGAATAAAGGTATATAATATTTATTATCAAGGCAAATTATCTTCATTATTGCATTATAAAATTTATTTTAATCTATAAGACAAGATTACAAAAGGTATTGTTTCAATGCAAAAAAAAACACAAGAGGTTTAAATACTTATGAGATTAAGTCCTGCCGTACTATTAGAACTTCTTTCTGCAAATCACCAAAACCAATTTTGCAGTTTGACATCACTTGTAAGCCTTCCATTCTGAAAAAGAAACAACAATAAGTAAAACATGGTAACCATTGTTATTGTCTGACAAATGATATATAATATTATATTTTTTCCTTCTTTTCTTTATATTGCGGCCACTTTTACATAGGTGAGAGGTATTTTATCATGCACAGAAAAAAATAGCTTTAATTTGATATATAAATGATGAACATACGCCATGAACGTTTTACCCGGTACAGAATAAAATTAGCTTTAATTTGATACATAAATGATGAACATACGCGATTAACGTATAAACGTCCCAAAATAAGACCCGCTTACACCTGGCTGCGAAGAGGTTGCGGCCAAATGCGCAACGGCAGCTATCACTTTTCAAGATCTCTACATATAGTTCTGTGAAGTGGAGTATAATTCATTGTTGTTAACAAAAGCATCGTTTTTTTTTTCAAAAAGTCAACTATTATTTAGTTAATTAAACATACTAGTGGGCACATTTGATAAGCACCCCGGGCAAAACTTATTGTCCCTTTTATTATTGTATATAAAAAATTGATTTCAATTAAATATGCTATGAACGTAGCAATCTTGCAGCGGGATCTTAGTCCAGAACTGATTTCTTTTAGTGATGCACACCACAATCAAGGTAGATACAGACTTAAAATTTCTTAATCCATGATAGGTATAATGATATTATATATAATACTTTTTTAGATTAACATGAATATTGGACATTTTACATAAAACTATCTTTTCAGATATTTAATTAATTTTTGGATTAATTATAATTGATGATAATTATCACTAAGACATTCAAATATCCCATAGTTTTATTTAAAATATCAATTTAATAGTTAAAAACAAATATACTAACTCAGTTTTCTTTCCTTCAGTGTCTACTTCACAGCGGATGCATTGTTCAGTGCAGTCCGATATAACAGTGCCGTCCAGCTTAACGTGAGACCCGGAATACATTTGTATGCCAACACCGCATTTCTTTATATGGCAATTTCGGAGTTCCAACTGTATTTAACATAAATTTAAAAAAAAAATGTTAAATTAAAAACTTTTTTAAATAAAATAATAAACAAATTTTATTTTCTATCTATAAAGATCTCTCACTCTCATCAATACACTCGCCACAAGATGGCACTACAACGCTTTAAATTTAAAACCGTTTACTATGACAATTATTATTTTTTTGAGAGTGATTCTGTTAAAATCAAAGGCAAATAAAACAACTTTAATAGTTATTAGCGAATCACCCTCGCTACGCTCGGATTCGTCTGTCTCTAGGTACAATTTAACGGTTATTATGGAATAGGTAGACTATATATTATATTGGGTAGTAACATGATGATATATAGCCTTCCTCAATAAATGGACTATGTAATGCAGAAAGAATTTTTCAAATTAGATTAGTAGTTCCTGAGATTAGTGCATTCAAACAAACAAACAAACAAACAAACAAACAAACAAGCAAACAAACAAACTGTCTCTTTATATTATTAGTGTAGATGTATGTATAATGTTTGTAACTATAAAATGTTTAGACAATTTTAAAAATTTTACAAAGACATAGAAGACTTTATAAAACATGATATAGGTTATTTTTATGTTAAATCAACGAGATTTCCTAGATATTTTAGTCTGAGAATTTTAAGAGAAATGTTAAATTTTGAAATCAGTATGTAAAAGTGTATATTTGTATAAACTTTCTATATATGAGTACTAACCTGGACTCCTTTATGTACCACAATTCCTGAGTAAAAATTCTCAAAGGTGCAATTTTCAATGAGAATTTTGGCTCCTGACCGCGCTACAATGCCTTGTGTGAAGTCGCTCTGTAATTTATGTCAATATTTACTTTAATAATTGTTGTAGTTGAAATTATCTAAAACTAAATATAATATTTATGTTATGCGCTTGTTTCTAAGAAAAAAACTTGTTTTAAAATCTGAGGCTTAACTGATATTAAAAAACAATATTTTCAATAATTATAAGCAAATAATAAATACGAATTTCGACGAAAGCAATTTCAACTCAAAGATAAATTTTTGACGATAATTTTGTTTTTTTTAAACTAAATATTATTTTACATTAAAAATACCTGAAAATTCTCAGAATCATCACGGAGCATACAATTATTTATATGCAAAGTACCAGCTTGCATCATTATAACAGTATTCACTTCAGTGCAATAGAGTGTAAGGTCTCGAAGCTTGCATTCCTCACTGAGCATGAAGAGACAGGACCTCATGTCGGAAGCCTTTAGGGTTGCACCTAAAAACATTATAATTTTAATAGCTTTTAATCATTCTTCCTTCTTTACAATTATTCTGTCTATCTCATATTATTATTACTATGAAAATGTGTAACTAAAAAAAATAAATTTTAACTCTTCTGATATTAAACTGCTTAAGAGTTACTTATGGTGATAGTTTTTAACTTGTATCTATTGTACTGCTTATTTGTTTTTTTTCTTATGAGAGATATTGCTTTTTTTCTTTTATTTCTTTTTTGTTACTTTTAGTAACTAATTATAACATTGTCTTAAATTTTTTTTTATAATTTATAAGTACTGTCAATTTTAACTTTTAAATGCTCTTTGTAACTATTTATGCATGTTGTGGTTATCTATTAGTATAACAGTTATACAATTGTGTATTTTTGTTAAGTTACTGTATATCATGTTGGTAATCCTAATTAATTAAATAAATAAATAAACTAATGAAAAATAAAATGAGATAAACTTGTATTTGATTTTATCCTCAACCCATAAAGGAAACTCATCTAATAGATCGACTATAGTTCAACGGTCATGATAAATTTTAGTAAAAATAGCACAAACACTTCATAAAAGATTAGGTTAAATGAAACCTAACTTGGTATTAAATTTTTATAATTTCAGTGTCTGAGGGGTACTCTGAACAAATCTTTGTTGGATTTTGAGCACTAGTTTATATTTCTTAGACATATATTTCTCTGCATGTTTCTTGATTTCATTATGTATATATTTATGTATTCAGCTCTTTTTAAAGTCCCGCTGCAGGACACAAGCCTTCAATATGCGGGGGATCAGGCCATTGTCCACCACGCTGACCAAGTGCCAGTTGGGAGACTTCACATGTCATAATATATTCATACACTTCTTACCATTAAAACTGCATAAAGATATTTGAGACAATGGCATCTCTGGCACCTCGTAGTGTTTGCTACACACTACCACTTCATCTGGCTCCATCGATAGGCCTTCTTCAGCTGACATCAATATTAAGAGAGTGTGTTCACTACTCAAATTTGATTGCAAAAATGTTGATATATTTGCAAATTCCGATACATCACCACCTTGCCAGAGTGCTACAACCTGAAATTTTAAATTAAATTTGATTACTAATACGATTTTGTATTAAAACCTTCAATATTGTGCACATATACAATGAAATATAAATTTTAAAGTATTATAACATAATAATAAACATTTTTTTATAGCTTTTATCACATTTTTTCTAAATACATCCTTATGTCTAATGCGACCTCTACACTATGTAGTACACCTGGGGAAGTAATCAAAATACTATTCCAGGCAAAACCTTCAGACTTAGACCACATGAGAAAATATGCCTTCAGGATAAAACTTCATACAATTATGCGGCAATAGGTACAGTATAGCATGCCTGGGTAATACTCACACCGCCCCTATATATAGTTATGTACCATTATAAAGTTATAGAAGAATTCACTTACATTCTTTTTATTTTTAATTTTCTGCCATTTATTTCTTGCTTTAGCTAAACATTGCTCTCTTATGAGTGGGTTTTCATATAAACTCCATTTAGACATTAGTATATCTAACTTCACATTCATCTCGGCACATACTGATATGTAGTTAGATGGTAAAAGTGAATCTGAAATATCAAAATACATATTGATTTCTTTGTAATATAAACAGAGAAAACTTAGTAAATAATAAAAATTTTGGGCTCCAAAAACCAATCTGTGACCATCGACATAGTTATCAACACAGAACAACTTTTCATTTTAACAATTTCTATTTTTATAATTTGTCTTAGACCTGTTTGGCTCTGTATTGACCCTACTTGCTATGCCAGCGGTTGCAGGTTCGAATCCCGCTGGGGGCATTCATTTGTGTGATGAGCATGAATGTTTGTACTCCAGACATAGATATATTCATAATATGTTTGTATTTAAAGTTAAACATGTACATATAATATGTTGTGTATCAACTATCTGGTGTCCTTAAAACAAGCCTTGTAGTTTAACATGGAAATAGATGGTGCTGTGTTGATGGTAATGTTCCAACATATTTAGTATTTATATTATTATTTATAATTTTTCAAAGTTAAGATATAAAAAATTAAGAACAAATTTAAAAAATAAATGTATTATATAAGAAATATTATACATACACAACTATTAGAAAAGCAAGCAACAAGACATATTCACTGCTAATAATTACACATATATCATAAACATTTTATTTAAAGCTTACCATCACCATCAGAAATATCCCCTTCACATAACGAAGTGTCCAACTCTTTAAGTTTCTCATGGGCATTTATAGCACTACTCCTTATCATTTTAATTGAACGAGACACATAATTTGGAATAGATCCATTTTGAAGGTCCATCCAAAGATTCATTCTGTCTTCTATTGTCTTAGGTAAAACTACTTTGTCATCATGATCATCCCAGGGCATCCACAGGTTCTGAATGAAAAATCTGAAATAGTGTTAATATTATAGTATACCTAGTTAATTAGTCTTAAATTCATTAATTTACTTAGTATCATCTATCATGCAACATGCCATAACACAAGAATTTTTAAATAACAAAAAAGTTATTTGAAAACTTTTTACTTAAAGTAGACAATAGAAAATGAAAGCTTCGGGTAATATTGAAATATTTCTATAAAATTGTGTTGTACATATAGGTGTTCAAATAAGATAACTGAAAAAAAGCATGCATTTTATATAATATATACCTTAGTAAATCAATAAACTCTGCTGTACTAGCTGCATTAACACATAGTTCTTGTTGTTTTACAGTAGGCCAAAGATCAATAAGAGGTATATCTACCACTCTTTCTGGTAAAGTTACAGATTCATGTTGAACACTAAGCACATCCACATTAGCAGTAAGCTCCTCAAAGTCAACTGATGTAACAGTTATATAGGCAATGCATGGAAATCTTACATCTAAAAGTGACAGAAGATATAAAAAACTTACTAAAAAGATCAAAATCTAGAAAAAATAAGCATCAAACCTTATAATGTATAAACAATAAACATTATGAACTTACCAAATTTTTTACAAAACTCTTTTGACAGTTTCCATAAAGCATCCCAACCAACTGGTTCTACTAACATTTCCGCTTGTAGACTCCACTGTTCCCTAGCTGTTCCCCGCCCAGTATTAAATATTCGGAGCAACCCTTCGAGGATTTCATTATCACTTCGTGCAAATGTATGCACTGCCAGCATCTTAAAAGGAAACTGCGTATAAACACTCTAACGTAATTAACGATCGTGTTGCTGTTATTTGAAAATATAGAGTATTATCGATAATTATTTGACGAAAATAGTTTCACAATTCTGACCAAGAAGTCGACAATTTGTCATCCTGTTTATTATAAAACATGTAACAATAATGTGCTGTAATATGTAATAAAATATCTAACTGGATAAAATTCAAATAAAATATGTTTATTACTATAGTTTTAATAAAATTAAGTTTACTAAATAAAAACTTCATAGTTTCTGACTCATGAACTCAAATATTGTAAATTATTTAAGCCACATGTATATATAGTAGTAACTCATAAACGTCCAACTTACCTTGAGAATAGTTTATTAAATTTAACGATTATAAATTGCTTCTTCGTTTAATTTTTCTAAAGAATTAAATAACAATACAACAGGAAAAAGCCTTCACAACGTCTTTTGATACCTACAACTTTGATTTGAAATTAAAAATATCGTTTTTCGCTTCTACGACGTAAGAAATATAATGTTGCCAGCATGGATGACAAATAAAAGTTGCCAGTAATATTAATATGTAACACAATTATAATTTATAGGGTGTGTGTGATGGTACGCACGAGTGACTTTTGTCATCATTACTGTTTTGTCGTTCTTGTCTTGGATAATGATAAATAAAGGTTCTTGTATGTTCTATCAATGTGTATGGAGGTGCGCGTTATGTATGTAGGTTTTTCGTCAGGAAACATATATTTTTAAACATTTGCCATTAATTATATATAAAATATGGTTCTTACAAGAGTCCTCTATTATGGCCTCACCATGATTTATCAATAACTGTTGTAATAGATAATTTTAGAAAAAACCATTATGAACAGCCAAAATCTAAATTATATGGCGCATCTAAACGTACAATTTATAAAATAATTCTAATCAAAAACATAGTTTTATATTTAACTCGGTCAATCAATACTGTTTGAATAATATTTCAATAATTATATACCTAGAACTTCTCACTTTTAAATTTTAATACATAATTTCATAGTAAACATTTGCATTTACAAATATTTAAAAATGTCTGAACGGATAAGTCTACTTCTTATGGCTTATGCTTACACAAGTACCTTCAATAACTAGGAAATGTGCACATTAAGGGAACGTGATCCTCGACTTTGACATTCATAAGCTGTCAGTCATCGCTACTTGCAGATAACTTAGCGGTTAGCTTAGCGGTTATATATTCTTTGCGCTAAGCAATGCAATGGTGCCAGGTGCAATATGAAATTTTGTTTTACAAAAAAAAAAAACTTACAATGTCACGGGCCGTTTTTAGGTAAATTATAATTACCCTTGGCACATTCAGTTAAATTGTGAAATGGTCACTGATTTCCTAGATTTTGATATTAGTCCTATTTAGATATCTTTTTTGATGTGCAGCCTGAACTATAGACTTAGTAAAAAAAGCCGTCATGAGGGCTGCTGACAGAAGTGAAAACTTAAAACTATAAAGAAACAGTTGTTATTTTTAGATTTTCAAATTGTTTGATATTCAATTAAAATTTGTAAATTAAAACTGTTTACATTTATCTAGTTTTGACATCTATCGGCACTCTATTAAAGTGTTAGCGTAAACACGTCACGTGACCATGTCAATGACGACTTACATGAATTTGCCTGTCATTCAAACCTGTCTATAGAAGTTTTAAATAAAAGAATAGGACTTGTAGACCGATCATTCATTTATAGTTTTAATTCCACAATAAAGTTACCAAATTTCAAAATTACCGCTCAATCTCATTCGTGTCTTCCTCACAAAACGTGACACTGGCAGAATGGACTACGTCTGTTAACGCAACTATAAGCCATATTAAAAAAAAAAGAGAATAGAAATGTAATATATGACGATACGTTTGGCTCTGTTTGTAGTGACCCTGCTTGCTGTGCCAGGGGTCGCGGATTCGAGTCCCGCTGGGGCATTCATTTGTGTTATATGCATGAATATTTGCACTCAGTCATGGGTGTTTATATTTATAATATGTATGTATTTAAAGTTATAAATGTCTAATGTATCAACTATCTTTTTTTTTTTAACGTTGGGAAATGCATTTACGCACGACGTGTGGGACTCACCGGCGTAATACAGCCAGTACTACCCACTAAAACCCAACAAAACCTTCCCCCGTCTTAATGGGGCGTCGCAGGATCGCTTACGCATTCAACTACGACGCCCCGACGGCAGGTCCGCCGAAGCAGACCACCACAACCATGGGGTTGCTCCACAATCCACTCTGCTATCAGAGAAGTACCAGGAGCAACCCGCATGGTACACTGCCCTAAGAGGGCCACCTCCCACCGCCCACCGAAATGGGCCACCTCCCTGTGCGTTTCTTGGCACGCCCGGTTGGGTTGCCGGGCACTACTGAGCCCCCCCACCACGACAAGGTGAACGCACGTTGGGGGGAATGTATCAACTATCTGGTATCCATAACACAAGCTTCGTAGCTTACCATGGAACTAGATGGTTCTGTAGCCTGTGAATTAAGGTCCCAACATATTTATTTATTTATTCTATACATATGAAAATCTTAACACTGGTTATAGACTTTCTTAGCTCTATGTCGAAATTACGGTTTTACTTTTAAATAAATTTTAATTATTCTATTCACTGATCGCCGTAAATCGACCAATCAAAGCGGATTGAGGCTTCCAACCACATCTTGGTATTGCTGACTAGATTAATTGCAATTTCGCTGAATGTGCTTAGGGAAATTATAATTTACCTAAAAATATCCCGTGATATTGAAAAAAGGAGATGATTGACAATACCTATCCGTATTTATAATTTAACGGATCCTGCACTTTCCCTGCGACATATACACTAATATGTTGTATATACTCGACTACATCACATGCGTGTTGGACTCTTTTTGGATGGGTGAAATCTTGTGAGACCGCATCACCGGTACGCACACCGTAGTGGAATCGCAGCGTCATATGTTTTGTTTAATAAATAAACTATATGGAAATACACAACAGACTAATGCTAATTACAAATTATGAAATTTCAATTATTCATACTAATATTAATTTAAAAACAAAAATCAAACACAATTATTACAAAGTTTTAAGTTTTTACTTCTGTCAGGCTCGGCAATCCTCATGACGTTATTTATTATTATCCCAAAAACAACATAAGCCCAAAGACATGGTCAATGGTCATCGTTTGGGAGTTTTAGCTAGTAATATACTGTTATATACTGTTTATATATTATCTATACGTATGTATAGATATTTTATTGCTCTTAACAGACGCTGGGGTGGGGGTGATGTAGGCTCACACAAAATTTGTGTTGATAACAAAGTGAAAAACATATTTTTTTTAAGTTTTCCAATGGGAATCTCTTCTGAGACAAAAACAGCTCCAAAAAAGGAAAATAATCTCAGATTTCTTATTGCAATTGCAATGTTTATGTTTAAGTGAAAAAAAATTGTTAATTAATTAATGCATAATTAATATAAAAATGCTGATAAAAGTTTTTTTAACAACGGATTATTGTTCATTTATCTGTAAGCCCCTGATTTTTTTCATTTACGCATACCACCTAATCCCCCAGGTGGTGATGTGGGGCTCACCGGCTAGAAGAGCCGGTACTACCCACTAAAACCCGACGTTCCCCTCCCCTCCGCCTTAATGGGACGCCGCAGGATTTTTAGATTTGAAAAATCTTAATTAGTTTTTGAAGTACTTCCAAAAAACTAACCCCTATTTTTTCTTTTTAGTTAATTGTTTATAACTTTTGCAATTTTTCCAAGCGTAACTTGATTTTTTTTTTTCAAAAATCACCTACATCCCATTCCCAATCGAATTACACCTCGTTCATATTTTTCCGAGACTGCTGAATAAAGTTGACCAAAAAGGCACTTGTAGACTAGACTAGACATCACACATTGATGTACAATATTTTAAACTATACGTAATTAAAGTTCATATTTACCTATTAGATATTCTTTTCTTAAAACATTATCGGCTGGCAGTGATGGCACTGACTTCGAAAATATCTGATTATATATCTATAGTAAATGAATGTTATGTTACCCCCTGTTCAGTTATGTTTTACTTTTTAGTACCTGGAATTCGGTTTTTTTTTAAGATTATAACATATTCGTTATGTTAGTATGCTGCCAAATTTTATATAAAGACTAACATACTAAAAACTCACTTTTATTAGTTACCCTAAATTTACTAGTATTTCAAACTCAAAGTATTTACTATTACTATCAACCCTCTTTTTATATGTTGGGAAATGCCTTTACGCATACCACCTGTAGACATACAGGTGATCATGTGGGACTCACTGGCTTAAAAAAGCCAGTACTACCCACTAAAACCCAACAAAACCCTTCCCCGTCTTAATGGGGCTTCGTCTTAATAATATTTTCGATGTCGGTGCCAACCGATGCAAAGCAAAGCAAATCTATTTCGATACGTATACATCACAAATTGATGTATAATATTTTAACTATAATTAGAGTTTCATACCTTGTCATATTTTACTATTAGGTATTCATATTATCTTAAAGCATTGTCGGCTGGCACCGGTTTCGAAAATATCTGCTAACCGAAAACCGAAACCGTTCACTTATTTTTTACTTTTTAGTGCCTGGAAGTCGTTTTTTTTTTAAGTTTTTATAACGTAGGTAAATATAGATAGTGTAGATAAAATGACCTAATGTCACGTTTGCATGTTATTCGGTAGGTACTAGGTACGTGCCACTGCAGATAAAGTAGTCTTAAAAGTCGCAATGGTGTACATACGTGATTTTTTTAAACATTTTTGACCGCCTTTCAAACAAGAACGAGGAAGGAGTCTATCATAATAGTTGTAATCGCATAGTTCATACGTCATATATTTTTTATGTATTATGTTCACCGATTTCTTGGAGATGGCTTGATCGCTTTTGCTAGTTTAAAATGTAATCCCATATAATTTTCTTTATTATAGAACGTACCGTTTTTAAGAAAGTCAGAAGAGACCACGTATCTTAACAAGTAGGTCTTTTTTATCTAATTCTCATTGTCATATTCATTTGAAACTTTGCATGTGTGTGTATGTATTCCCGATGACAGTACAATATTTTATTATCATCTCACAATGGAGCCAAGTGCTGAAGCCAGGGAAGCCGGGAAATTTTCAAAGGGCTATCTTTAGGGGTGGGTTTTCTTCCCGTTAGCTATATGCGATTTCTATCAGAACAAAACCGATATAAATATAATTGTAACATGGGTAGCCAAACTCTCTAAAAGTAATTTTGGTCGAATCTTGAAATTCGACCTTATGCGTCTCAGATCCAGAAGTATGTATATACCTACATTGTGAGATATTACGAAACCTGCTGCGCATGTGTATACTTGCTATAATCGTTCATTATGCAATCCTCGTAATAGTCGGAAAATTGGCCTATTTTACGTAATTGGACCAAGGATGTCAATATCGACAAAGATTACTATCGTTAGTGTCACTATAATAAATACATTTATGAAATAAACACTACTTTGTTGTTAAATCTATATACATATATAAAATGCTTTGTCCTGACTGATGGATCAACGCACAACCTTAACCGCTGGTCGTAGAAACATATTGAAGGACGTAGGTATTCCTCCAATAGTGTAGGCATCCGATAAGAAAGGATTTTTAGAAATTCATCCCCTAAGGGGATAAAATAGGAGATGCAAGATTGTTTGAAAATCTGTCATTCTTAATGTAAAATGTACAGAATGTGGTATTTACTATAAGATAAAAAATAAAAAATATATTTATTAGATTTTTTCAAAATTCGTCCCATAAAGGGTTAAAAGAGGATAATAAATTTATATGATTTATTTGGGAAAAATTGTTTATGATTAGAATTACTTGAAACTTGGTAATGCTCTTCAATATAATAAAATACGTGTTTTCGAAAAATGTTAACAATAAAGGGGGAAAATAGGGGATGAAAGTTTGTATGAAATTCTGTAATTTTTTATGAGAAATGCGCGGAATGTGATATTGACCTTTAACATGAAAAAAACGTGTATTAGATTTTTTCTAAAAATAGAAGTAGTGGAGCTTTCTAAATACTATAAACGAAAATTCATTTACAGATTTTTGATTGTTTTATTGTGTAAAGTCTAAAGTCGTATAAAGTTATAGGTACTAACCAAAAAAAATTATGTTATCAAGTGGAGGGAGAATATACTCCCTCTACTCAATTTTTTACTCGACACACGAATTTTATTATCAAACTTTAGTAACACTTTTTTTGTATTAAAGACGCAACAACTCGTCTTCCAGGAAAACTTTATTACTTAAATTGCTTCTCTTATCAACCAGGATACAACTTCCACTTACAACATAGATACAAAATCTTAGCCACGTTCAAAGACTAAAATTATATAATATGACTAACATATTTATTGTATAGGTACTACCGTCCTGTCCGAGCTTCGGTGCATTATTTCGATACAGGTTGCTAGCAATCTAATAATTAAAAGGTTGCCCACATCTCTGCCCGCGGAAAATTTTTATTTCTATACTAGCGGCTGACCCTCGCTTCACTCGGGTTCGCCTTTAGAAAAGCACAAACAGAGCTGTTCCACAGGAACCGTTCATTTTTCCGGGATAAAAAGTAACCTGTTGTTTTTCCGGTAATATAAGGTACATGCCACATTTTACTAAATTAAGTGCCTAAGTTGTTGTGTACTAAGCTGTATAAGTTACTATAGCTTTTTAACTATCCCACGGGAACTCTTTAATTTTTCAAGATGAGAAGTATCTAAAATATTGACCAAGGTTATAGGTAAGGTACCATCATGCTAAATTTTATTTAAATCGGTCTTACAGTTTCGGAGATTAGCCCGTGAACAGACAAACAGATAGAGAAACAAAAAAAATGAAAAAAATCTGGATTTGTTCTATTTCTCTTCTTACATTCCCCTGACTCGGTTTTTAGCCTTTTCTTTTTCTATGTACAGACATTTGACTTCTACAGTTTTATTATTCTATCGATGTACGATAATTATTGTATTCAGCCCTTTATAACGTTCACCTTTTAATACGAGGGCGAAATTTCAGGCCCACAGAACGCTTTTACTCAGAGACCAGGCCATAGTCTACTGATAAGTGTAGGTTGGTGGGCTTCACAGATCTGGGGAAACTTTTTAGGTCCTCTCAGACACGAAAGTTTCTCAAGATGTTTTACTTTACCGTGAGACAAGTGGTAATCATATTGGAAATGATTCGCAAATGAAAATATCAGATGTGCTCACTCGGTTTCCCAAGTGAGCGCTTTACCACAAACTACTGGGCTATCACTGCCTGTAGGATAATTATTATACTTTGCTTATTGTGTGTTCGCTCATCAAACCCTTTAATGCCCATATCATAATGGTTACTATACATATAGAAATGGTAAATCGCCATTTTGTAACGTCCGCCATATTGAATTAAAAGGTGCGCAAGGTAGGTTGTGCAGAAAAACGTAAAGTTTTTGAGTTAAAGCTTGTATACATTTCACTCCTCATAAAATTTCCATACCGATGCCTTATATGAAATTCAATACTTAAGGAGTAAACTCCAAAAAATTCTAAATCGGTTAATAAATGACGGAGTTCTAATTTCTAAGCCCCTAAAGTAAAAACCATAAAAAATACAACCGAATTGAGAACCTTCTCCTATTTTTGAAGTCGGTTGATAATAAAGGTTGACGGTAAGGTTGGGTTCAGTACACTACGCAATACGTGAATTTAATACGGCATGTTACCTAAACCATGGTAATATTACATAATATTACCGTTTTTTTAACGTTGGGAAATGCATTTAGGTACGTACGAGGTGTGGGACTCACCGGCAAGCCAGTACTACCCACTAAAAACCAACAAAACCTTCCCCCGTCTTAATGGGGCGTCGCAGGATCGCTTACGCATTCAACTACGACTACGACGCCCCATCGGCAGGTCTGCCGAAGCAGATCACAACAACCATGGGGTTGCTCCAAGGTCCACTCTGCTATCAGAGAAGTACTAGGAGTAACCCGCATGGTACACCGCCCCCCAAAGAGGGTCACCTCCCACCGCCCACCGAAGTGGGCCACCTCCCTGTGCGTTTCTTGGCTTTGCGCCCGGCTAAATTTCCGGCTACTACTGAGCCCCCCACCACGACAAGATGAACGCACGTTGGGGGAGGATTACATAACATTACCGTGCCTTAACATTACTAACCCTCAACAATACTATTAAATTAGCAGTCATTGTTAATCTTTACAAGCATTAATGCACACATATTAGTTTCCTTAAATTTATTTTATAGTGTTTTACAGTGTGCTACAATTTTAAAAGATAAAAAAGTTTCTGACCTTAGTGATAATATAGTAATAAAATAATAAGTAAATAAAAGTAAGTTTTGACTTTTGATAGCTAAGATGTTTTTGAATAAAGTGTTTTATTTTTGAAACAAAGATAATTTATATTATGTCAATTTACGTTTTAAAATTTATAATTTAAATTTTTGTATACACATTAAGTAATTCACAAAAATCGTTCGTTGTACAATATTTTTCACAAATTGTCTCTTTCATTAAATTTTATCTTAGCATTTTTTTAAATAGGTATTAAAAAAAAAATATTTTTTTTTAAATTGTTTTAAGTTCCACCTACTATTTTTAAAATACCAGAAAAACCAAAAATCTAGTTAATATAAATTGATATGTTTTAAATTAAGAACAATATTAAAAACGAGATTTTAGGTTAGGAAGATTTTATGTCACCAAAGAAACGATAAAAAAATATACCTATTTTCGTTAATACATATTTGTAATTAGAGGTCGCTAGAAAACATTTTAAGTACACTAATTTTCAAGATAACACGTTCATAGCGGCACTGATTTATCTGTACTTTCCATTCCTACGGTACGGAACGTTTTAGACCTTGTACTAAAACTATTATTGTGGCGGTACAAGGCCTATTAGGCCCCGTAAGGTTTTAAAAAATAAAATCCTTTTTTGGCTTATATATAAAATAGTTTATGGATATTTGTTTTGATCATTTTCAGTAACGAATTGATTGATCTACATTTGAAGGCGTAAGTAACAGCTTAGTTTGTTTAGAGTCTATAGGTAAAAGAAATTACAAGGGCTCATTCACCATCAGTTTTAAAATATAACTGTGATTCTATTTTGTCTTTTTAGTAACTATGGCAATAGTTTTTGAATTATTATCGAATCTGATATTTGTACTACTTCCCATATTATTATACTGGGTATATTGGAGATATACGCGCCGACGACTACTACAATTGGCTTCGTTAGTGCCTGGGCCCCCTGCGTTGCCTGTCCTAGGCAATGCTTTGCTATTTATAGCCCAACCCGAAGGTAAAATATATCATTAAAAGTATTTAGACTTTCCGTAATTTCCAACTAAGTACTAACAAGATTGAAACTAAATTAAACATAAATATCTTAATTAATAATTATTTCCGATAAAATATTTTTAAACTACATAGGTATATAAGGATAACATTTTTAATTCCATTTTACAGAACAATTAAATAAAATTGCGGCACTATTGAACACATATGGACAATACGTTAAATTTTGGCTCGGACCGGATCTAAACATTTGCGTGAAAAATCCATCGGATATAAGGGTACGTGTAGAAAGTTTTAAAATACCTAAATTATTTAAATTACTTTTGTTTCATGAATGCGGGAAATTCGTCCTAGCAATTTTCTATAGCAATTTGAAGGTATACGATTTTCAAAGAATGATGCATCGTGTATGTTTATATATTATATGTACTAGCAGAACCCGCGGCTTCGCTCGCGCTAAAACTACAAAACAATTTCTAAAAAAGTAGTTTCATACAAACTTTCATACTCCCTTACAGGATGAACATCGGAAAATGCTAAAACACGTATTTATTTAATTTTATTGAAGAGCATTAATACCAAGTTTCAAGTAATTCTGATCATGAATATATTTTTGCATTGTAATATAACGTGTTTTCCCGTAGGAATTAGATAATCTCCCTCGGTAAAAAGGCGTGATTTTTTGTATGGAGATAGTTGGAAGGCTGGAGAAAGACATATGGCCGATTTCACCAACGTCACCTAAGTTTAAGGGATCCCCTAAGCATGGTTAGGGGGCTGTTAGGGGACAGTTACTGTTTCACCGACAGTTAGGAGTCACCTAAATGTTAAAATGCCACCTAAATATAGGTACTAGAAATACTGGCTCTGACGATGGTAAAACGAAATTTAATTTAAGGGCTAGTTTAGGGGAACTTTTAAGCTAGGGATCCCATACGTAGGTGGCTGCTTATGGGATGTTGGTGAAATCTACTTTTTCCGAAGGATATAATCTACGTTTTTCCCAGGGTCTCAAACTATATTCTTACCAAATCTCATCTTAATCGGTTTAGTACATCCAGAGATTACCCCCTAAAGCGTCACAAACTCATAAACCCATAAACTCACAAACTTTATAATATTAGTATATTGTTTAGATTCTCTAGCAGAAAATCAAAGAACTAACTCGATTTATAGTCACTTAGGTACTAATTAATATGACTTTATTATACAAGATATAAAATTATAGGTCAAAGTATCCGCAGACAATAAATGTAGTAAAGTAATTTAAGTAATTTTATTACTGAAATAATAATGTGTTTAATCACCGATATTTGCGAAATACCCTACAAAATATACAGTTTATAAAATGGCTGATGGATCAAAGGTGTCCAAAGACCTCAATACTTATCGTATTAACTCCCATTTTATATCATAGACAACTTCAGTACTTACTTTCATTATAGCCTTTGACTTTCAGTGTTTAAAAAATAAATTAGGTATGAATAAATGAAAAATTTATTTCGACCATGTATATATTTCTTTCTATGACATAACCATTTATTTATAATAAAGGAAACATATTTAAATTACAAATATGCTTAATTATATATCCATGTACTAAATAACTAACGTAATTATTACTGTACGCGCGGAATTGTGGTAAGAAGCCAAGCCGCATTCCGCATAATGAATGGCAATACCGATATTACTCGTATAATGTATACTACATGTTAATTGTTGTAATGAATTTTGTTTTTAGTTTCTTCTCACAAGCAATAAGGTAAATATGAAAGGACCTGTGTATGAATTTATGGCATCTTTCATTGGTCGAGGGATTCTAACAGGAGGTATGTATGAGGAATTTTCTTACCTTTTCATGTAGATGTAGTTAGAGATCTCTGATTTACACTTGTTAAATCTCTACTAACTAAAACTTTATACCGTGATTCTTTGTTCTTAGATATGGCTTAAAAGTCACAAAGTATAGTAGAAAATCATTATTATGATCTTATTGATATATGAAGCTTTAAAATCGGAATCTTTGAGAAATACGTAAATGGTAAAAGCTAATTTGAAGGAAGTAAAAAATAATTGTAAAAGTTACGGTTAGAAAAATTACATAATACAATCATAGAATCAGATCCAATAGTAGACCGCTATAACGATGTAATATGAATCGTCAAAATCGGTTAAGCCGTTTAAAAATTACGAGGAAACATAAATGGAGGTCAAAAACATAACCATTCTTTGGCTTCGCCGCAAACGGCAAAAAACTAATTTCATTACATTTTATTTCACTCAAAAAGCGTAAGAGCAAGAGAAAATATTTAAAATATGTAGAGCAGATTTTATATTTGGAACTATTATTTATATATTTGTTTATTTTATACACTTTGCTTTTACCCTCTTTTATTAGCATAAGCACAGGTAATTTTAAGTAAAAGCTTTTAACCACCTCTGTTCATATCATAATTGCATTTATTATTAACTAGCGATTCACCCTCGCTTCGCTCGGGTTCGTCCCGTCTCATACGTATTAATTTTTTGAGCGGAATCCTAATTCTTTTTCTAAAATAAAAGTAGCCTAAGTTATTCCTTTTAACATCAGCTATCTACCAGTGAAAATCCCGTCAAAATCAGTCCAGTCATTTCGGAGATTAGCTGGAACAGACAGACAGACAAAAAATAAAAATTCTGTTTTTCTTATAATTTCATATGCATTTAGTAACAAGTTGTTATCTTGACATTACGAACAGACACCTCAATTTTATTTATCTGTATAGATGATTATTGTTTACTAAAAATTATATATTATGCTTTCAAACTCAGGCATCTGGTAAATAGAGTCGATGCAAATCGCAAAAAATTGGCCCATTTATTACAGTATAAATTATTTTTTAGGTCCGTCATGGCGTCTGTACAGAAAAATAGCCACGCCGTCATACAATAAGAAATCAGTTATGATCTTTTCTGAAGTTTTTAATAGAGAAGCAGACGAATTAGTAAATACTTTAAGGAACAAAAATCCGGAGAAAATATTTGATGTTTATTATGATGTGGTCCACCAAACGACACAATGTGTCTGTCGTAAGTACCTATATCTGTAACTAGCGACTCACCCTCGCTTCGCTCGGGTTCGGCTCTAGGTTGTTTCCCCATACAAACTTTCATCCCCATTTCACCCCCTCAAGGGATGATTTCCGGGATAAAACTATCCTTTGTCCTTCCCAGGATCTCGAACTATCTTCTTACCAAATTTCACCTAAATCGGTTCTGTAAATCCAGAGAATACCCCCTACAACGTCACAAACTCACAAACTTTACCTCTATATAATATTGAGCTACTGGCATTGCTTATAAAAACATAGGTACACATTTTCTAACAAAATCTCTTCCAAAAGTGGCGTCGACATGTGACGTTAATAAGACTAATGAATAAGATTCAAACATCGAAAGTTCTAGGTACTTATCTAAACAAGAAATTCGAAGTTACGCACACCATAATATAAAATACTTTTTTAAACGAAACAAAAAAGCGCACGATTTTGAATTGTGCTCTTCTTTTAAAATAATTTTACGTAATCTGTACAGAATGTATGTTTGTATATACTCACAAAAATAATAGTTGTTGAAATTTCGTCTTTTTGTGCGTCTGTTAGTTTGTCTGTTTGTTTTTTATATTGTTTTCCACACAAAAAAGACTGTACCAATTTTTTTTTGTTTATTTTTACTTTCAGAAACACTTATGGGACTTACAAAAGAAGAATCGCAAAACATCAAACACTTGGATGAAGTTGTTCTGAAAACCCAAAGGTATTTAAAAAAAAATTATCTTTTACTTATGCTTTACGCTTGCTTTCGCTACTAGAATTATTTTAAATCTAATAATATTGTATACTAATATTATAAATGTGAAAATAACTCTGTCTATTACTTTATCACGCTCAAATTGCCAAACAGATTTTGATAAAATTTGGCAACGACATAGATTGCATCCTGAGACCGAAATCTGGATATAAACTACCCTTGATCCCCGCCCCGCTTTTCACCAGAGCGCATTTTCTTTGGTTTCTCAGGACTGAGATTTTTTTGTCAAACAATAAATGTTGTTAAACATATATTTATTTAAAATAATTAGTAATCTATACGTAGTAACATATATGACGCTAAAATAAAAAAAATTATACAATTTGACTTGCAGTTGTTAGCCCTAATTGAATAGCCATTTATCTAAAAACAACTTCTATGTGTTTTTTTGAAAAAGTTTGTCAAATTTTTGGTCTTCACAGTTTATATGGAGTAATATTTTCAAAAATGACAAAATGGTGGTTACATATTCCCTTCATCTACTGGCTAACAGATATTAGGAAACAAGAAATATATTTTAGAAAAATTCTAAATGAAATGACAACAGATATATTAGACAAAAGAAAAAAAGCATTATATGGGAATGGTTTTAAAGCAAATAACGATTCGATGGGAATCGTTGACAGATTCATATTAGAAGGTTTAAATGATGCAGAAATTAAACTGCAAACTTTTACTCTTTTTACGACGGTAAGTTAATATATACACTTTATCTATACATATACGAGTAATAAATGGTTTTGTTGGGTTTTAGTGGGTAGTACTGGCTTTGCCGGTGAGTCCCACACCTCGTGCGTAAATGCATTTCCCAACGTTATAAAAAAAAGTACGAAATCTGTACATAAAATATATATTTTAAAAACAATGACTAACGTATTATCTACAGAATATAGACCCCAAAACAATAGTTATTAAGATTTGTCTGTATCTCTGTTTGTATGTGCGTGTGTCACGCAAAAAGCACTGAACTGATTTTAACTAAATTTTGTGTTGTGATTACTTATTACTCAGGTCAACATTTAGGACACCTTTTACTACAATATTTTTTTATTCACACGGGAAAACACAATAACTGGTTCTATCGAGGTGTCCTTAGAAATTTACATGTCTAACACTGGCTAAACCTTAAGAGATAAACAATGTACTAGAAAATTGTAGGTCTTAAAAAAGCCTACAGATAAATCTGCAATAGCATAAGTTTTTCTCGTAAGGTACACTCGCAATAACTATTTATATCTATTTAAATCGTACCTAAGGACGCATCCGTAAGTCTAGTTTAAAATAAACATCAAATCTACGAGTATAAAGCGTTTAACTTCTGATACATATGTGCTTTCTGATATTAATACTTAATTGGTAATTTATGTTCAAACGAAAAAAAGTATAAATATTTATATTTACAGAGTCAAGAAGCTTCAGCAAAAATTACCTCTACAGTTTTACTATTTATGGCACATCTTCCCGAATGGCAGGTACTTTTAAGTTTTTCAAATTTCTAATTTAACTCTTTAAAGCATTAAATAATAATTATATTTTATGAAACACAATAAATATATATATATTGAAATTGTATTTGTAACTAATTATATCAACTCCGATTGTTGTTCGGTGTTTAATACTGCAAGGTACTACTATGAAATTTCTGTTTCCTTCCAAATTCTTATTTATTTTTATGGGACCTGGTAGTAACTATGAGATACACTTTTGAGACTTTAAAAAACTAACTAGTTTTCCCTTGACCATGTTTGTTGTAAAACATTCGAAACGTCACAAATCCAAATCTATATAATATTAATACGCCAAAAGAGCTTTTGTTTCGCGGAGAGGAGTATAAGCTTTGGTGTACTTAAACTGGAACATATTTTGAACTACGGGTCTCATTTGAAAACATATTTTGCGTTTCACAATCTAACTTTGACAAAGGTTAGACAATAATTTTAAATGAAACTGTCTTTTCGGATTTTTTCGCGAATTTATTTAGATTTTTGGTTCCCGACGTTTCGAATGCTTTACAGCATCCATGGTCACGGGAGAGACTGAGGTGTTACATGTCTTGAAGGTATAGTTGTCAAGTGCCACATCCCTCTACAAGATGCAGGAGTTTACAAGCTTGATTGTGATTGTGGGCTCTTTTATGTTGGACAAACAAAGAGATCCATTAGAACCCGGGTCAAAGAACACATAGCTGATGTGAAGCACCGTCGCAATACAACATCTGCTGTCTGCAAACATAGCCAGGACCGCCCAAGCCATTATATTCGCTTCGATAGACCTCAAATCCTGGCGAAAGAAAACCGATATCGCCCTAGAATGATTCGAGAAGCCATAGAAATTAAAAAACATCCAAATTTCAATAGGGAAGAAGGCTGGGTACTACCATCGTCATGGGATCCTGTTATTAATATAATAAAATCAAATCTATACTAATATTATAAAGAGGTAAAGTTTGTGATCTTGTGAGTTTGTGAGTTTGTGAGTTTGTGACGTTGTAGGGGGTAATCTCTGGATCTACTGAACCAATTTTCAAAATTCTTTTACCAATAGAAAGCCACGTTCTTTCTGAGTGTCATAGGCTATATATTAACCCGAAAAATGAAAAGACTTTTTCATGGTAGTCGGATTTGCAAAGTAAGTCGGAGAAAAAACGGTCGAACAAAAACGTTTCTTACGAACGCTGCCTTAACGATGAGAGATATATGATTATGTTCTAGAGAAAAGTTGTAGAGCTTAATAATGCCTACAAAAAAGTCAGCGACAGCATATGTCTAACTTTTATATTTAAGTCACAAAAAGTAGTTTTTTATATTAAAAAAATAATTTAAATGGGTAGGTCATGTTTATTGGTCATATTATCAACAATTATGAATTTTTATCAAAATAAATAAATTTATCGTCTAAAATGTTTAAAACAAAAGACTTTTCCCTTTTACTGCATATAATTTGGACAAATGGTTAAAGAGATAATACAACATATTCGTAGGTATGGACGTACCCGAGCGAGCTGTTTGTCTGTTTTTCTGTTTGTACAGGCTAATCTCCGAAACGATTGAACTGATTTAAATGAAATTTTGCATGGTAATACCTAATATCCCCCCCCCCCCCCGGTCAACATCTAAGATACTTTTCATTCCAGAAAATTAAAGAGGTTCCGTGGAATAGTTAAAAAACTATAGTAACTTATACAGCTTAGTACACAACAACTTACGCACCTAATTTAGTAAAATTTGGCATGCTGATATGATATATTGCCGGTCAAACAACAGGTTACTTTTCATCCCGGAAAAATGAATGGTTACCGTGGGATAGATCTGTTTGTGCTTTTCTAGAGGTGAACCCGAGCGAAGCGAGGGTGAGCCGCTAGTAATAAATATAAACATAACAGACAGGTAGATGTAGTAAGTTCTTACTGTGTAGATCAAAAATGAAATTATATATGTAGCAATATACTCTATGATGACAGCTTATCAGATTAATATTTTTCATTTTTCATTTGTAAAAGTATATAGTAATAGTGTTGCTTAGTAAGTTGTTTTTAAATAATAGCAAACTAAATTAAAATTATTATCCTTAATTAATTTTAACTTTTTTAAATTACACATAGAACAATTATATGGCCTAAGTAATTAATACTATATTTTATATTTTTCTTTATGGTTATAAATATAATAATGGCAACACTAAATATAGATTACTAATTAATATTTTTTTAAATTGTAATAATTATAAAAATAATAGCAAAAATTAAATAAATAATATTCCATATTCAATTATAATTAAAATTATAAAAATGTTTAAAGTTAAAAAATATTGTAATGTAATTGGTGCAATTTTCATTTTGTTAATTGTGGGTAGGCTGTCTGTAACAACTATACCTTCAAGACATGTAACACCTCAGTCTCTCCCGTGACCATGGATGCTGTAAAGCATTCGAAACGTCGGGAACTAAAAATCAAAATAAATTCGCGAAAAAACCCGAAAAGATAGTTTTATTTAAAATGTCAAGTATTCGCGTAAATCTAAGAAAGTATTATGTTAGATAATAACTTTCAAAAATGGGACGATAACAAATTAAAATAAATTTGAGGAAATATCAGAAAAAAATAGTTATAATTTTATTTAAAATTCTAATGAGCATACCTAGTTTAAATATAAAAAGTTTAATGATTTGATATATTGATTACTGAATCCAGAAATCGGTAAAGAAGGCCATAACAAAGCAAAAATTTAAAAATGATCTAATAACTTGTTTATATTTCTTTTATATACAACAGTATGCAAAAAATAATTCAGGTAGATTTTAATATTCATTAGAAAAGAGAAAAAAATAAGAGCACGATAAAAAATCTTTCATAAAATAATTAATAAATATGTAGTTTTAGGGTTCCGTACCCGAAGGGTGTCAACAGAACCTTTACCAACCGTCCGTCTGTCAGAGGGCTGTATCTCTTGAACTGTAATAGATAGAGAGTAGAAATTGTCACAGAATATGTTTTTCTATTACCGCTATAACAACAAATAATAAAAAAAAAATAATAGAAGAAATATTTTTTTACCGTTCGCAATCGATCATCGAAGTTAATATACTAAATACATAGAGTAAAAGACATATTAATAAATAGTACATGTAAGATGGTACGGAACCTTTCTTTATTTTTGACAAAGGTTCTACCCCATTTCAAATAATCATACTCATTAAAATCCACTTGTTAAGTTAATTTGCAAAGCAAAGGTTAATTGTGCCTTTGAGTTATTAGAATGTAAACTGCATCCTTATCAAGCGCACAATTACAGTACACTTAATATAGCAGATAAATTGTATTTGTTACAAGCCATTGAAGTATTAAATATTAAAATGACTTGCAGTCATATTTTCCCTTTTTTGTATTATGTCTATTCTAAGTTATTTTTACTAAGCTTGATTTTGCTGCAAACTTTTGTCTTAGTACGAAAAGTCTAATTGTATCAGCCATCGTATATCGTATATACATATTATAGATATTAAAATGAGCAATTCTTGTATATTTTATATTTTCATGTACATCGGAAACGGCCTTAAAGATTTTATCAAATTTTGTATTTAGATAAGAATTTTCTTTTATAAATTTATCTATATAGGTGTCTTTTCTGAAAGAATGGATTTTTATGACTAATATTTATTGGAGCCTTTTTCTATCTTACTGACATTGTCATATAGCGGCGTCTCGTAAATTTTTGTGGTAGATACTTGCATTGTCGCCAATGGATGACAGCCTACTGAACGAGCGCCTACGCCGAATGAAGTTTGGTCGCTCAGGTACTAAAAGATTTAAATGTACTGTTCCCCATTTTCTTTCAGGAAAAGGTTTACAACGAAATCACAGAAGTAGTTGGCTTCCACGATGACATCACTGAGGATCATTTAAAGAAATTACAAAACCTAGATTTAGTATATAAAGAAGCTCTACGCTACATGTCCATTGCCGCGCTAATACAACGAACTGTCGAAGAAGAAATCACTATCAATGATGGTAGGCAAAATGCAATATTCAACTTCGAGTATATCCCTGATTTTTTCTATGAAAATATCAATTTACCCTGACTTGAGTTGTAAATTAACTAAAATTCGTATACATATTTTATTTAGCTAAATTACTTACTGGTTTTCCGGTTTTCTAAGAGAATATAACGAACCACTGACCGTACGATGGTCGGTTCTCAGTAGTTTTTTTAGAGTACTGAATGGTCTGCAATTGCAGTAATAATTTAAAAACACTTTATGATATTACTAATAAGCACACAAACAAGCATAAATACATTTTATATACATATGTAATGTATTCAGCCCGTTTTGACGTCCCACTGCTGAGCACGGGCCTCCCTACAGTACGATCAGGTTATAGTCCATCAAGCTGGCCAAGTGCGGTTGGCGGATTCCACATGTCTTTTGAAAACTTACAAGGTTCTCTCGAACATGCAGGTTTCCTCGCGATGTTTACTTTTACCGTAACGACAAGTAGCAATCATGTTGGAAAATGATTTCCACATGAAAATATCAGAGGTGCGAGACACGGGATTTGAACCCGCTTCACTCGGTTTCCCAAGCAAGTGCCTTACCACTTGGCTACCACTGTCTATATATGTATAAAGATGTTAATTGTTTTAGGATTAGGATAGAAGGACGCTATAAGAATGAAAAATATATTTTTTTCTAGGAAAAATAACTCTTCCAGCGGGTACTTCGTTGGTCATTCCAATACACGAACTGCATCGAGATCCACAGTACTGGGACGAACCGTATAAGATTAAGCCAGAGAGGTTTCTGCCAGAAAATATGAACAATCGAGATCCAAATGCTTTTGTACCTTTTAGTCTAGGAAGCATGGATTGTTTAGGTAAGTTTTTTTTGGATTTCATTTACTCTATCACGCTTTTTTGGTAGATTAATAAAAATTTATAAATATCTTTAAAATAAATATTTTTAAAATATACACACATTTTAGTTTATTGTTGACCCATTTGTATGGCAAAAACATATTATATAAAAGAGATTGGAGGAATAGAACCCATAACCTTTTTTCTTTAACAGAATGAGATGCTTCAGCAACTGCACTTTCTTATAAAAACTTTTAATTAAAACACACAAATATCAATTTTAGTTTTCTCGGATCTGATATAAATTCAATGGGAATATTTCAAGGCGAACACTTTAAAATGACCATGTACAGCAGGACAGTAGATGGCCATAGGAACTCCTCAACTGCGACAATATTAACTGTATAAGTAAATAATATATTTTTTATAAACCTTTTTTTATATTCAACAGGTCGTGTTTACGCTACCGCATTAATCAAAACTTTAGTCGTAAAAGTGATACGAGAACTACATTTAGAAGCAGATGGAAAAATAGAAGATTTGGAACTTCACATCGCAATTTCTGTGAAATTTTCCAAAGGGTACAATTTACGAGTACGACCTAGAAGAACAGAAAATACTTAGCACAATTTCTTTTAATATATTATATTTTGTATTATCTATTTAGTTATTTGTAATATGGACATACATAGTTAATAAAGATTATCTACATAACGTAGTAAAAAATGTTTCTTATTTACCTTTTTAAGCTTTCTAATTAGACAGGTAATGGTTGGACTCTAAATTACATAACAAACTCTTTATACTCTACAGATGAGCTTTCAATATTTTGCGTGCAAAATAAGTATTTTCAATTATATTGTCAGAGACGAGAGGTATGAGATTTTTTTTGGAAATATAAGAACTCTATTACAAATCTTTAAACATGTAGAGATCGAAAAGCCATTGTGAGGATCCAAGTGCCCTTATAATAATAATTTTTTTGAAACGATTTATAAAGAAGAATGCACAATATATTATCCTAATAACATTATGAGAAATCGTGTCAAACATTACTTTGAACCACTATAATTACGGTATTAATTTGAGTTTGACGCTAAAACATTTTTAGCTAACAAATTTTATCTACATGTGTCGTTTATCACTATTTTATGCATACCAACGTATATGATGTATATTATAATACTAGCATTTCCCGCGACTCCACCCGCGTTCAGATGACCAAAAACCAAATTCTTAGGTTTTACATATTAGTATACTCTTACTTTGCAGTTTTTGTATTTTTTTTCAGAAATGAGAAATTTTCCCGCGGTAAAAAGTATCCTACATGTTGACCCGGATAACCATACTAAATTTCATCAAAATCCCTCCAGTGGTTTTCCTGTGATGCGGTAACAGACAGACAAACAAAAACTCTAAAAACTATAAATTCGGCCTCTGTATCGATAATAATGTTTATTTGAATAAGATTTTCCAAAAAATTTCTAATGTACAGATTCGGCTTAGTTACAATTTTATTTTATGTATAGATAGATGTATCTTATAAAAAATAATGCCAAAATATATGTGTTTTGCTAACTGGGATGTGCTTGTTTAAATATAAATGAAAGTTTGCAAAACTCCAAATTATTGCTTCATTGGTAGATCAACCAGGTTATAGAGAAAATTCTGTAACGCCTTAGATACTACCGGTTTTTAAAGAGTTAGTTGGGATAAACAAAGAGTGGTTCAACTAGAGTTGAGGAAGTAGAGCATCAATCTTGTTATTTAAGTTTGCAAAGAGTTTTAAAGTACGATGCGAGGCAAACATGTTAAATAATGACTTTTTTTCTTGAGAATACCAAGAACATTACACACAACACATTTTAAATTTATTACTTGTTACAAATTCTAGTATGTTAGTCATTTACAGGTGTCTATAGTACTGATCAACAAATTACATGTTACATGTATATAAAAAGAAAAATAAAATAAATAAAAAAAAGCCATTATTTAATCAACAATTATTATTTCTATTCTATAATAGTATAGTATCCCTATTATTTTTCAGTTTCATAAACACTATAAAAATTACACTAATAAGGAAAATTACTCCAGTTCAAGTAGCTGTCTAACCTTCAAGATACGATTTCATCTTCTGAGTTAATAAATATGTATGTCGCGTAAGTAAATGGCGTTATAGCCTTAAACGGGGTCATGAAATATAATAGCTGGAATATGTAGCAAGAAGAGGATAACACGGTACAAAAATACGGCGAAGTGTCAATATGTTATCTTAATAAACATTTTTATAACAGTATAAATAAAACAAACATACATAACTATTTATGATCAATTGAAAACTTAAATATAAGAACTTTGCAAAAGATAGTAATTCAAAAGAATTTCGTCTTAATAATATTATAAATAGGCAGTGGTAACGCGCTCACTTGAGAAACCTATTGAAGCGAGTTCAAATCCCGGGTCTCGCACCTCTGATATTTTCATGTGATGTCATTTCCAACATGATTACCACTTGTCTTACGGTGAAGGAAAACATCGTGAGGAACAACACGCACTTGGCCAGCGTTGTGGACTAGAGCGTGATCCCCCTCGTATTGTATGGAGGCCCGTACCCAGCAGTGGGACGTTAAAAAAGGCTGAATACATACATATATACAATATTATAAATGTGAAAGTTTAGATGTTTGGATGAATGTTTGTTACTTAATCATGACTCACGCCAGAACGGCTAAACGGATCTGGATGAAATTTGGCACAAAAATAGATTATAGTCTGAAATGGTCTGCTATTATTAGCACATAGGCTAGGCGGCTTTTTATCCCGGAAAAATGAAATAAGGGGTTGGATTGATTTAGTATTTACTTTATGTAGGCTACGACTTAGTTTAGGTAGATATATAGTTCCCCCCCAACGTGCGTTCACCTTGTCGTGGTGGGGGGGCTCAGTAGTAGTAGCGAAGCTAAGAAACGCACAGGGAGGTTGCCCACTTCGGTGGGCGGTGGGAGGTGGCCCTCTTCGGGGGGTGGTGTACCTTGCGGGTTGCTCCTGGTACTTCTCTGATAGCAGAGTGGACCTTGGAGCAACCCCATGGTCGTTGTGGTCTGCTTTGGCGGACCTGCCGTCGGGGCGTCGTAGTTGAATGCGTAAGCGATCCTGCGACGCCCCATTAAGACGGGGGAAGGTTTTGTTGGGTTTTAGTGGGTAGTACTGGCTGTCTTACGCTGGTGAGTCCCACACGTCGTGCGTAAATGCATTTCCCAACGTTAAAAAAAAAAGGTAGATATATAGTAAATTTAGTAATTTATTTATAATATACATAGCTTCATCACCGATTTACAAAAGTTACATTTAAAGTAAAAATTCAATTCAAAGTCTATTGGAATAATATGTATTTTATAAATAATATAATAATAATAATAATATTCTTTATTGTACACCAAAATAAATATAAAATAAAAAAAAACAATACAAAGAAAGATGCACAGCAGGCGGCCTTATCGCTGGAAGCGATCTCTTCCAGGCAACCTTGAGGTGGAGGAGTAAATGTTCATAAAAACGGTAGGCGGTGTACTTGCTTTAACACGTTTACTATATATAAATACTTATAGATAAATAGATACATACATACATACATACATACATACATACATACATACATACATACATACATACATACATACATACATACATACATACATATATACATACATACATACATACATATATACATACATACATTCATACATACTTATATGCGTTAAATTTACACACACACATAAAAAAGAAAAAATCAATCAAAAAATAAATAGGACTAGATACTAGAACATAATAGAGGAAATAATAATAACGATGATATTAGGAGAAAGGACTAAGGGAAAGACTTAAAGAGACATATAATAATCTTTTAATAACTTTTTAAATTTATCTAAGCTTTTAGCAGATCTAATGCTTAAAGGAATAGAATTCCACAATCGAGCAGCTTTTACTGTAAAAGAATTTGTGAAGAAACAGGAAGAGTGAGTAGGAATTTTAAGAAGGAAATTTTGAGCAGAGCGAAGTGAACGAGCATGGGAATCATCCAGAAACTCAAAACGCTCTTTCAGATAAATAGGAGTTGAAGGGTTAAACAGCACGCAGTAGAGAAGATGAAGAATATGAGTATTCCTGCGGAATCGGATTGGGAGCCACTTGAGCTTTTTACGAAATTGAGAAACATGGTCATATTTTCTAAGGCCGAAAATAAACCGTATACAAAGATTTTGGAGTCGCTCAAGTTTATTCAAGTGCTCCTCTTTGATGTCGAGATAACAAATGTCAGCATAATCAAGAATCGGTAGTAGGAGTGAATTTGCTAGCGCAATTTTGGTAGGAATCGGAAGGAAATTTCGCAATCTGCGAAGAGAAGCAATCGCATCAAACATCTTCCGGCTCAGTTCACTCACTTGCGGATCCCATGACAGGTGTTGATCAATAAGTAAACCCAGATTTTTAACTTTTTCCTGAAAAGGAATCTGAACACCATCTAGCAATATTTCTGGTATTTGTATAGTTTTAATTTTTGACAACATCCTTTGACTGCCAATAATAATTGCCTGCGATTTCGTTGCGTTTAAGTTAAGGCCGTACGATTTACCCCATGTAGCTATAGAGGAGAGGTCTTTGTTAATATTTTCTATTGTTTGTGGTAAATCAGCCACAGATGTCACGGCATAAATTTGCAAATCGTCTGCATATAGGTGGTAGTGAGAAGAAATTTGGAGACAAATAGTATTAATAAAAACTGAAAATAAGAGAGGAGACAACACGCCACCTTGTGGAACACCGGCAGTAACTTTGCACCAATCGGAGTAAGAATCTTCAATCCGAACTCGTTGCCGGCGATCGCACAAGTAAGAACGAAACCAGTCAACGACCTCAGGAGATATGTTTAGAGAAGATATAATGGCGAGCAAGATGTCAAAGTCCACCGTATTAAAAGCATTACTAAAATCTAGTAGAACCATCACAGTAAGTCTAATACGTAAAACGTAATAGTTTTTTATATGAATATTTGGCCATAATAAACAGTTATGCAGACTAGCTTAATCATACTCTCTATCTTATAGTTTAAAATTCCGAACTACGAGTGGTGGTCCCCTAACACTTTTTCCAGACGAAATATATTTTTTTAAAGCATAAAACACGACTCAGGGGGGCTGTCACCAAAAATTTGCGACAGGCTATGTTATATTTAATAAATAAAAAATAATTGAATGGTTTTTAAAAGTAAAGAACTTTTTTCTTAGACGACTTAGTATTATGTTAGTATTATGTCTATTTTGATAACTTGGCGTTGAAGTATAAGTAGAATTGTTAATGTTTTTTATTAAAATGACATATTTAATGGTCGTGTCATGGAAAGTGCCTCGGTGGTGTAGTGGCTAGCATGTACGGCTGCACACTCGGAGGTCCTGGGTTCCAGTCCCGGATCGGGCTAAGTTTAGTTATTGAGTCTTTCTGTATAGTAAGTCTCAGTAATAGCCCGAAGTTGGGAAGTTGTCGGTGTTTCACCCCCGTGCCTCGGAGAGCACGTAAAGCCGTCGGTCCTGCGCCTTAACTCTCACCGGTCGTGTCGAGTGGTCGTCCCACCGGAGTATGAGAGTGATAGGAATAGAGAGTGCACTTGTGTCTGCGCGTACACTTGTGCACTATAATATCTCCTGCGCAGTTGGCTAGTCTCAATAAGATTGGCCGCCGTGGCTAGAATCGGCTAGGAGAACATCATAGAATCATACTATTTCACTACTATATATTTATTTCAATTTCTTTTCTTTAACGATTATATAACTCTATCTCTCCTAAGTCCATAGATTAGCTAAGTTTAACATAAGAGCAAGATGTTCTAGGTGCATCCAATATCTAAACCGTAATAAACTGTTTAAAATTTTTAAAAGCATACTCATAAAATACTAAAAAATGTAGAATACATAACCATATCGTTATGAAATACTTAAAAAACTTAATCTGTACCGAGTTATACGCATACTCACAACAGAAGTACAAGAGAGCAGTGCGTATATAATACTACATATTATTTAATATTCAACAGTACGCCTTAAGAGTTACAAGTGATTTGTCGCCGTTTTAATACATTATGGTTCCGGTATGTAAGCTCTTGGTTACGCGTAATTTTAGTAAATAATTAATCAATTTTTATGAACTACTTCTTCTGTATCTAAAAATATAATAAAATTGTAACTAAGCCGAATCTGTACATTAAATATTTTTTGGAAAATCTTATTGAAATAAACATTATTATCGTACAGAGGCCGAATCTATAGTTTTTTGAATGAAATTTGATATGGTGATAGCTGGTTATCCGGGTCAACATATAGGATACTTTTTACCGCGGGAAAATGTCTCATTTCTGAGAAAAAATACAAAAACTGGATTATAAGAGTATAACTAATATGTAAAACCTAAGAATTTGGTTTTTGGTCATCTTAACGTGGGCGGAGCCGCGGGCAATGCTAGTTTTCTATAAAAACCGAAAGAAAATCAAACGATCTATCAGCGCACGGAGGAAATATTCGATATATATGATGTATACTACCTCTTTACCGCGATCCTCCCGTTTATTTAATAATAAATATGTTGGGACATAAATTAATATATACTATATATTAATACACAAAAACATCTAGTTCCATGGTAAAATACAAGGCTTGTGTTATGGATACCAGGTAGGTATTACACTACACATATATAATTTTAAATACATACTATAAAATATACACTCATGACTGGAGTACAAACATTCATGCTCATCACACAAATGAATGCCCCCAGCGGAACTCGAACCCGCGACCGCTAGCACAGCAAGTAGGGTCACTACATACTGAGCCAAACATGTCGTGTTTCATTTATGCTATTTAATCCCACGGTTGATAAGGTCGTAGAGTATTGTTAGAAAACCTATACCTAACCGTTTTCAATAATATAATAAGCTGTAAATTGTAATATTTTTTTGTCTGACTGGTTCCAACTTTACGCGTTCAAGCAAATAAAAGAAAAGAAACTCTAGTTTTATGTTTTAGTGTACAATACGCCCATTCTAACTAATCATTTACATCTTATTACAGTTACTGATTTGGCAGGTAGTGCCAATTATTCTCTTGGGTGGTGTATGGCTGTACTGGAGACACAAAAACAAAAGACTCCTCCACATGGCTAAGAATATTCCCGGTCCACCGCCTCTACCATTCGTTGGAAACGCTTTGAAGTTTATGTGCCAACCAGAAGGCAAGAAATGCTTTTTACATATATTTAGTAATATTTTATCAGTATTGTTATACTTTATATATGATTACCGACTCACCCTCGCTTCGCTCGGGTTCGTCCCTAGGTTGCTTCCCAATACAAACTTTCATCCCCATTTTCACCCCCTTTAGGGATGATTTCCAAAGTAAAAAGTATCCTATGTCCTTTCCAGGGTCTCAAACTATCTTTTTACCAAACATAAAAATCAGTTCAGCAGATCCAGAGATTACCCCCTACTAGGTCACAAACTCACAACCTCACAAACTTTACTTACCTCTTTATAATATTACTAGCGGCTCACCCTCGCTTCGCTCGGGTTCACCTCTAGAAAAGTACAAACAGATCTATCCCACGGAAACCGTTTATTTTTCCGGGATAAAAATAAGTAACCTGTTGTTCGACCGGCAATATAAGGTATCAGCATGCCTATATTACTCAATTAGGTGCATAAGTTGTTGTGTACTGAGCTGTAGTTACTATTATATATACATAGTAAGTTACTATAGTTTTTTAACTATCCCACGGGAACCCTTTAATTTTCCGGAATGAAAAGTACCAAATTTTATTTAAATAGGTTCAATAGTATCGGAGATTAGCCCGTACAAACAGACAAACAGGCAGAGAAAGAAAAAAATTGAAAAAAATCTGGATTTGTTCTATTTCTCTCCTTACGGGATGTAAGAAGAGAACTGACTCGTTTTTCAGCATTTTTTTCTACCATCTATGTACAGACATTCGACCTCTACAGTTTTATTATTCATATATGTATATTCAGATAGAATAAATAACGTATAATAAAACAGTACTATATAATAATGAAAATGGTTATAGCGAGTGTACCTTAGGAGATATAGACATATAGGTACTATGTAGAATTTTTCTATAGACCTTTGTAAGACTTACAATTTTCTTGTACAATGTTTGATGAGCCAATGTTAGCCATATAAATTTCTAAGGACAATTCGATAGAACCAGTTATTGTGTTTTCCCGTGGGAATGAATAATTTGCCTGTCGTAAAAGGTAACTAAATGTTAACCCGAGCACTAAGTTTTAACACTATACAAAATTAAGTTAAAATCGGTTGATTACTTTTTGCGTGAAACGCGCACATCGATTTGACTAAGTTTTATTATAGGTATAGATAAGAATAAATATTGCGAGTGTAACTTAGGATATAGACATATACTATTCAGAATTTTTCTGTAGGAGTTTTCAAGACCTACAATTTTTTAGTATATTGTTTTGATGTATGAGCGGAAGGTTTCTAGGGAGGACTCGATAAAACCAGTTATTGTATTTTCCCGTGGGAAAGATTTTCTTTAAGTAAAAGGTATCTAGGCAGTGGTATCCCAGTGGTAACGCGCTCGCTTGAGAAACCGAGTGAAGCAAGTTCAAATCCCGGGTCTCGCACCTCTGATATTTTCATGTGCGAATCATTTCTAACACAATTACCACTTGCCTTAACGGTGAAGGAAATCCTGCATGTCTGACAGAACCTAGCAAGTTTTCGAAAGACATGTGAAGTCCACCAACCCGCACTTGGCCAGCGTGGTGGACTATGGCCTGATCCACCTCGTGCCCAGCATTGGTACGTTAAAAAGGGCTGAATACAACATACATACATACATACAAAAGGTACCCTAAATGTTGATTCGATTAATAAGTTATCATACAGGCAAACAGTCAAACAGACAATTTTTTAATAACTATTGTTTTGGGGTTTATGTTGTGTACATAATACGTTACAAATAAACAAAAACATCTATCCCACGGGAAAAGTTCATTTTTCCGGGATAAAAAGTAACCTATTTATTATTATGATGTATGAACTATATTATTGTAAAGTTTCATCAAAATCCAATCAGTAGTTTTTATGTACTAAGCTGTATAAGTTACTATAGTTTTTTGACGATCCCACAGAAACTCTTTAATTTTCCGGGATGAAAAGTAGCTGATTTGTTTTTGTCATGTATGAACTATATTATTAAAAAGTTTCATTAAAATCCAATCAGTAGTTTTTGTGTACTAAGCTGTATAAGTTGTGATAGTTTTTTAACTATCCCACGGGAACTCTTTAATTTTCCGGGATGAAAAGTATCTAATATGTTGCCCGGGGATATAAGGTACCACCATGCAAAATTTTATTTAAATAGGTCCAATAGCTCCAGAGATTAGCCCGTACAAAGAGAAAAACAGACAAACAGCTCGCTCGGGCTCGTCCATACCTACGAATATGTTGTATTATCTCTTGAACCATTTGTCCAAATTATATGCAGTAAAAGGGAAAAGTCTTTTGTTTTAAACATTTTAGACGATTAATTTGCTTATTTTGATAAGAATTCATAATTGTTGATAATATGACCAATAAACATGACCTACCGATTTAAATTGTTTTTTTAATATAAAAAACTACTTTTTGTGACTTAAATATAAAAGTTAGACATATGCTGTCGCTGACTTTTTTGTAGGCATTATTAAGCTCTACAACTTTTCTCTAGAACATAATCATATATCTTTCATCGTTAAGGCAGCGTTCGTAAGAAACGTTTTCGTTCGACCGTTTTTTCTCCGACTTACTTTGCAAATCCAACTACCACGAAAAAGCCTTTACATTTTTCGGGTTAATATATAGCCTATGACACTCAGAAAGAACGTGGCTTTCTAGTGGTAAAAGAATTTTGAAAATCGGTTCAGTAGATCCATAGATTACCCCCTACAACATCACAAACTCACAAACTCACAAGATCACAAACTTTACCTCTTTATAATATTAGTATAGATAGTATAGAAAACAATAATTACTATTTACTATTTATAACTACAACTTAGTGTTTGAACTTTGAGTCTCTGTAGTGCAAGTAAGATAGTGAGCGAGTAAAAGTCAATCTTATTTATATTATTAACTATAATATGTTGTCAGCGGCTTCGTACTTCTATTGCATCTATCTACTTCGTTACTTTACGGCAGTCCTTTGTTCGAATCCCGGGTCGGAATATTCAGTAACAGCCTGGAGACGGAAAATTGGCATTATTTCATCTCCATGCCTCGCATGAGCACGTAACGTGGTCAATCCTGATCATGATTTCTGAGAATTCTGACTGGTCGTATCGAATCGTCGTCCAACAGACATCTATCTATACATATAATAAAATTCTAACTGAGTCAAATCTGTAAGTTTAATATTTTTTGGAAAATCTTATTGAAATTATCGATACAGAGGCCGAATATATAGTTTTTAGAATTTTTGTCTGTCAGTCTGTTACCGCATCACAGAAAAACTGCTGGAGGGATCTTGATGAAATTTGGTATGGTCATAGCTGATTATCCGGGTCAACATATAGGATACTTTTTACCGCGGAAAAATATCTCATTTTTGAGAAAAAAATGAAAAACTGTAATGTAAGAGTATACTAATATGTAAAACCTAAGAATTTGGTTTTTGGTCATCTGAACGCGGGCGAAGCCGCGGACGGTGCTAGTTTAGAATAAAAGGATTAGTGCACCTTTGTGCACGAGTTTACGCACACAAATAAAAATACTTATAATGATGTGAATAAATATTTATTATTATATAAAATTTCCGTTAAATTAACCTTAAATGGGAAGTTAATGAATGAGGAACATCATGTTATCAGGAGTGAAGCTAGTTATGATTACAGATTACTAACAAATATGAATGTAGGTCATAAATGTCACAGGAGTTAAGTTGTTAGTTGAAATAATTGGATTGTTAAACCTTTGACTTCACATAATTGATATTCTCCTATATATTATCCTTCAATTAGCTTTATAGCAGGAAAAATGAAACATTAATTAAACATTTAATAGCTTAATTATCTACTATGTCAACTATAATTATAAATATAATTAAGTATAATTCAGTCCTTGTTACCTCTCACTGCTGGGCGATGGGCATAGGTCTCCCCACAGAAATCTTAATAATTAAAATTTCTGTGGGTCTCCCCGATTTCATTACGAAAGAGGTTGAGGACTCAGGTCAACCGCCACCACACTGGGCAAATCGATATCTTTGCAAAAACTACTTAGTTCGCGATACACTCAGATATGCAAGTTTATCACGTTTTTTTTACCGTACTAGCAACTGCTAATAATGCTGACTAAATGAACAGGTAGAGATATTATATAGTAATTTTTTTAGAAAAGGAATTTTTTAGGATATTTTTGCGGTTTTATTTTGATTACAGACGCTGTCACAGTCAAACCCGCGAAAAAAATTGAAATAATTTTTATTTAACATATGAAATATTGGCGTGAATCTAAAAAAGTATAAGCGATATTTACCTCTGGGTGTTTATTATCCGTCTATAATAAAAATGCACTAAACTTATTAAGTGTAACGAACAAAGTGTGTTGTAATATTTAGGGAAGCACGTACCTACACCTAGTCCCTACCCCTAGATATGGTAACAAAAACTACCATAATCTTTCACTTTACCTTAAACATAATTTCTAACATTGTTACAGAGATGATAAAAGTTATAAAAGTTTTGATAACAGAATATGGAGATGTACTTAGATTCTGGCTTGCAACAGATTTAAATATAGTTGTGAGTAATCCTGAAGATATTAAGGTAAGTAATCTATAGGTATCTACATATAATAAAATTCTAACACAGTCGAATCTGTACATTTAAAAGAACAATATTTATGAACGGTCACCACCATACGTATCCAAAGATAAGTAATAATAATTCTAAATCATTTACATAAAACCATAACTCAAATAATGTATTCAAAATCTATATTTTATAGTTCTGGTAACACCATTAAATTAATAATTATATCCTATTTATTATGAATATATGGCAAACTATGTCCGGGAACAATCATAATAGTATATAAATAGATTAATTTATTATTCACGATTAAATAACAAAATGTTCATTTTATAATATGTGTTTTACTCACGATATGTTCTACAACTTACATAACGGCTTACCCTCGCTTCGCTAGAGTGCGTCCCTACAGCCTAGTTCGCATTAAGCTAGTATTTTAGTCTAGTAGCGAGTAATTTAGTAACTAAACGTGTCTGAACACTAAAAATTTAGTCGATTAGTTTAGTAAGTAATTTAGTCGAGTCAATCCATTATATTCTATTTTTTTGGGCGAGTAGCAGCCCCCACCACGCGTCCGAGCTCACTGGTTCACCGGCTAAACAAGTACGAACCTGTCGAATTAGTCGAGTTCATTAGTTGCCGCTATAATGTCGTTTCGCTGGAGCGAAGAAATGACGTTTAAATTTGTTTCGAAATATGTTGAACACGAATGCTTGAGGAATATTAGGTCCTTGCATTATAAAAAAAAGCACAACATTCCAACAACATGAAACATTCCGCATACTTAGATTTGGAAAAAATTATGAATTCTTTTTATTAATCACACAAATTTCCTCATCCACCTCTTCTAAAATAGCCGTTACAATCAGCTTAATCAGTTTATTTACTTTATTGCATTGTAGGCTGTTCATCTTGCAAAACACCACTCACTTGTAAACTGTACTCGACCAAAGTGCGAACGATTTTTGGTGAGTAGCGAGTAATTTAGCTACTAAATTACTCGCTACTAGACTAAAATACTAGCTTAATGCGAACTAGGCTTAAGTGTCCTTTTGCCATACATTTTATTATTTTATTTCAAACCGTTTAGGCAGGATATGGCGATAAAGCAAAATATTTCAGTTCGTTATAGAATAAAAGTTGATGTATGTATGTATGCCTAGATAAACAGAATAACAATTGTGGATAAACTTTCTATTTCACGACATATTCTTGTATATTTTCGAAACAGTATTTCTTTGTATTTATTCATTTTTTTCAGCTTCTTCTAACTAATAATAAAACAAGTGTCAAAGGACCTCAATATAGATATATGGCAGATGTCCTGGGTGGCGGGATATTGAGCGGATCAGGTAGTAGATTATCTACAATACCTAATATTGAATACCGTTCAAGACTTTTAAAAAACTGATACTAGTAAAATGTTTTTAGTTTCTGAATAAAAAATTTACTTCTTTTCATAGTTAAAACTTGAAGAATAGATTTGTAAGATATATTAAATTGCATAATCTTGTTTGGTTATTTTAAATTTTATAGTAGGTACTATATATGTATAGTAAGTAGGTAGTACATTATATTACGAAAATTTTAAGATTAATCGACTTCAGTAAAAAAAATAAGTTTTTTCAATTTATCTGTTTTACTTACACCGTTACACCACAAAACACCTCACACAACTACATTTCACCTCAAAGGGTAAAATATAATTGTTTTAAGCCGCATATTATAAGTTTTTTTTCTATCAAAAAATGCCTGACACCCTTGGAAGGCATTCTGCTCATATATTTTGGTTAAGACCCCTCATAATATTAGAATTCTGACGTGCCTGACATCCGTTTCTGATGAGTTCCCTATGCCGCTGATCGGACTTCAGATTTTTTTCTGATCAGAACGTCGGAAAACGTGCTCTCAACACATTTTGTACTAGACCCTGCACATTTATCAGAAATTCGTATCAGTTGTCAAGCGGACGACGCAAACTAAACCCATTGTTATATTCGCTGGAGAGAAGTTTCTGATGGGTGTACGGGGTGGTCCAGCTGACGTCAGAAATTTTCTGACAGAAAAATCTATAATATGCGGCCAGCGTTAAGCTGACTTCACGGTCAAATAACTTTTAGTTTTTTTTTTAGAGTTAGAAAGATATTTTACTGTGTTTTTCTATCTTATCTACATATCTGCCTTTACAGGTACGCCGTGGCGAAAGCATCGGAAAATTGCAACACCAAACTACGGAAAACGTGCAATTGAAAGTTATAGTGATATATTCAATAATGAGGCAAATTTGCTGCTTAAAAAATTTCAAAAACTAAGTAACGGACAAGAAATAGATATTTATAAGCCTATCGTTCAAACTACTACTTGGACTGTTTGTCGTAAGTAAGAATTTCTTCTTAAAATTAAATAAATTGAAAACGCCATATTTTTCTTATCCATTTAGAGTATAGACATACGTAATTAGCGTCACCTATATATTTCATTGAAGTCCATACAGCTATTTCAACATGAAAGAGTAACAAACATACACACAAACAGACACAAACGTACAAACTTTGGCATTTATAATAGTGATGATGACGTCCTCCCGCCCAATTTTGGCCATGGCGGCCAATCTCAGTGAGACTGCGCAGGAGATATTATAGTGCACAAATGTTCGTGCAGAAACCAGACTCCTGTTCCTTCTTTTTATGATGGTAGTTTTTTCTAAAACAATAGTGATAATACACGATACGTATGTATAATAGTAATCTACTATAAGGTTTCTACAAGACAAAGTCAATTGGAATTAATGATATAATTTTTCTAAAATATATAATCGTGATGCCTATTACAAATCTACCTCAGTGAATTTTAAAGTCGATATTTTGTCGTGATTTCTATGATGCTTATTCTTTTTAAAAGAAATTATGATAATTTCTACAATATGAGTAAAATATGTTAAAATTGTTCCGAGTTTAATTAAATTACACTATTCTTAAGTTCTATAATATATCGATACAAAATTGTATTATTTCAGAGACTCTTATGGGCTTAACTAAAGAAGAAACAATGGAGCTACCACATTTACAGTATCTTATAGACTCGAGCCCTGGGTAAATATTTTTTTCAATACCAACTACCTACTACTATTGTTGAACGGTACAAGTTAAGGAACTGCAGCGTCAACTTTGACGTCACGTTTGGCTCAATTTGTACTTACTACTTGCCTTGCCAGCGGTCGCGGGTTCGAGTCCCGCTGGGGGCATTCATTTGTGTGATGATCACGAATGCTTGTACTCAAGTCATGGGTGTTTATATTTATAATATGTATATTACTTAAAGTTATATATGTGTAGTTTATCAACTATCTGGTATCCATAATACAAGCCTCGTAGCTTACCATGGAACTAAATGGTGCTGTGTTTTAATGTCTCAACATATTCACATATATCTAACGGCAAGTTACAGCAAAGCTTACTCCATACAAAAATATTTATATCAGTCAATATTTCAGAGCAATCTATGAAACTCTTTAGCAGATATTTTTGGAGGTGTCCCTTTAAAAAAAAATATGTATATCTATATAGTAGGTACTATTAACAATCTTCTTAAGGCACTTGTAACCTTATCTATGATACTTGCTATTTTATCTTATTAGCACAGAATCCCAAGCTTATTAATTTCATGCTATATCCCGGTGCAAGAATTCAAAACTCAACTTTCCAGTTTCCACCATCATCAAAAAAGAAAAAAATATTAAAGTCTTGTAAGAAAATGTTATAAATTTTTTTAACTAATGGCCGTATCCACCATGGCGTTCTGTTTTAGCCAAAAAAAAAAAAGATTAATTGTAATATAACTAACATCCATCCTATGCAAAAATAGCACACACCACCTCGTGCGCATTAATAAAAGTATTTATGCCTAATCTATAATATTATAAAGAGGCAGAGTTTGTTTGTTTGTTTAATAGAATGCGCTAATCTCATGAACTGAAATTTGAAGTGAAAAATTCTTTTTGCATTAGATACACCGCTAATGAGGAATATATATTATAAAGTCTATCTATTCCATACTAACCGTCAAAACGTACCTAGCTCTAGTACAAATATATTTTTATTATACTTCCATTTGAATTTTACAGAATGTATGACATAGTGTTTGAGAGAATGACAAAATGGTATCTTCAATTAGATCCCGTATTTTGGTTAACGAAATCAAACAAGGAACTTAAATGCTTTATGAAACGTATGGATGAATTTAGTGCTGCTATAATAAAACAAAAAGTTAAGAAATTAGCTAATATAAAGGAAAATCTAGACATACTTACTCCAGAAGAGGATTCTTCAAAAAATACTCAATTAAGTGTCATAGATAGATTCATATTGTCACACGAATTAGATTCAAAAGAATTATTACGAGAAACATTTACGGTTTTTACGTCTGTAAGTGTTTTTATAATTATAAATTACTTATTTAACAAAAAGTTAAAACTATGTTTAAATCCTAAGCAATTAAATTACTGCATGTAGTGTCTACCTATAGTGTACTAGCGGACCCGACAGACGTTGTCCTGTCTACACGTCTTTAATTTGAAAATTTCAAACTTTTTTTAATAATTTTTTTGAAGAAAATTATTATTCAAATTGTGAATCTAAACCATTCCCAGATCCCCTTGAACACACACAAAAAATTTCATCAAAATTGGTCCAGTCGTTTAGGAGGAGTTCAGTCACATACACACGCACACAAGAAATATATATATTAAGATAGGACACCTACATCATAATCTAATTGTAAGATTTACACAAGTTAAAACTTAGAAAGTGAATAAAAGCAGTCATAAATATATATTATTTTCAGAGTCAAGAGGCATCAGCAAAAATAACGTCATTTCTGCTAATGATGATGGCTTATCATCCAACTTGTCAGGTAAGTACCTATTTATTTAATATTTTTTTTAATATTTTATTTGACAACATAATTTGTAGATATTTCATTAACTAACTGTACCCACGACTACATTCGCGAAATTCTCAAAGAGAAGAAAGATGTTTGGATAAATTTCTGTTCTTATGAGAGAAATAACCTAGCATGATACCAGTTTTTTTTTATTAATCCTCCAGTGTTGGAACAATCTTTTGCGTTCATGCAACGTTAACTAACATAACTTGAGCAAGATTCATATTATATATTTTAATTCTATCCTAGCTGTTTTAACGTGTCGTATTCAGAAACAGTCAAAATTAAAAAGAAATTGGTATTTCTATCGTTGATAACCTATTTAAATTTTGAATAATTAAAATCAGTGTGCAACGTGTTGTTATTATAATTCGAGTACCAATACTAATAGATTAAACTAGTACGAAACGCCAATTTTACATTCAAAAATTAATAAGACAAATGATAAATATTTCTCGATTAAGTATAAGTCATACATATAGTTAATTATAAAGACATGATTTTTTTAAATATACTTATTTTACAGGAAAAGCTATACGCCGAAATAATAAATGTACTTGATGATAACAATACACAAGTTACAGATGAACATCTAAAACAAATGCCGTATTTGGAAATGGCGTTTAAAGAAGTACTTAGACTATTTCCTATAGGGGGCATGTTGCAAAGGACAATAAACGAAGATATTTCTATCAGTAAATATAAATTTTCCATACACAGATATTTAGATAAAAATAACATATTTTAAAATGAAATAATCATCAAAAAAATACATACAGACGAACATAGAACCTCCTCTTTTTTGGAAGTCGGTTAAAAATATATTTTTTTTATTAATATTCACTATTATTTGTGAAGTTGAAAAAATTATGAAATTTATCCTAATAGTTACATATAATAATAAAGTGTTCAATGAATGAATGAATGAATTTGCAGTTGGTTTGGCTGAGCATCGAACAAAAAAGTACTTTTTGATCGATTAGGCTAAGGCTCACAAACTACTGTACGGATTTTCATAAGGTTTTCACTAATAAAAATAGGAGTTAACTGAGACTGTGACTGAAAGATTTAATGCTATAATTTACGGTCATGTATGACATGTATGATGAGTTGTATTAGTTTCCGTCATATTATAAAATAATGTGAAGAACTACTAGAGATGCTATTATGTCATTAGTACCTAATATCTAATTTGAAATGAAGCTCAGTTTTTTTTTATTTCAGGTTCGTGTACCCTTCCAGCAGGATCTTCTTTAGTTATACCCATATACCATATCCACCGAGATCCTAGGTTCTGGAAAAATCCAGATGCTTTTGACCCTGAACGATTTAATCCTGAAAATTGCAAAAACCGCCCTACTTATTGTTACGTTCCTTTCAGTTTAGGACCAATGGATTGTTTAGGTGAAATATTGTTTATTACTTTTTCTTTTACTTTCATTTATATACAAATCCACGGTTTACACGTTTTTTCCAAGTCATGAACTTTCATATATTTCATGTAATATTTGCCACTATTGTCACTTGACAGGGCTACGCTTTGTATAACCCAGATAAAAAAAATACAAATAGGTATACTAATGTGCAAAAAATATAGATAATAATACTTTATAAATAAATGCATTCATATTATCCTCCAAAGATGGATACATAAAATATTGTAACAATCTAATCAACATCCTTTTTTTTTATTGATAGTAAGAAGCATATTGTATAACGAGAGGCTAATAGTTTAGTGGCTAAAATGTACGGTCACAGATGCGGAGGCCCTATGTTCAAGTCCTGGGTTCGAGTCCTAGGTCGGGATATCGTTCAAGTAAAGGTAATAAACTTTTCCGTCAAAAAATCTCGTATCGTAGAAGTCGGGGGTTAAAAAGTTGACGGTGTAACACTTTCGAGTTTCGGGCCACACTGTCTCGTCCACGGATACTAGTCTCAGTAGATCGACCACCACGGTCGAAGTCGGCCAAGAGGATAATATTGTTATTATTGCAACGATGTTATTTGTCTAACATTAAATTATTTAGAAATGTCAACAAAGTACTTACACTTAACAGTTTTCTGGCATATAAATTTTACTTAAAAAAAATATTGCAATCATTTATTTTACAAAAATAATTGAGTTCGTTATTTGCTATTTTCAGGAAGATATTTTGGGACTAAATTAATAAAGACCGTAGTCATCAAGATTCTGCGAAGGTTTAAATTATCTACACCAAGATTATACAAAGATCTTCGAATAGCAATATCGATATCTGCAACATCTTTGGACGGATACCATGCTATTTTAATCCCAAGACATTGATGTTTTAAATAGCACTATATTTTTAAAGATATATTTTTTCTTTTCAGTTAAATTATCTTCAATTTTGATGTATAATTTGACTATGATTCGTTCATGGCAAGTTTAGGCAAATATATTTATTATTTTGACATTATTATTTTTCTCGATGTTATTTTGGTATTTCACTTTTTTTGGTATTATACTTGTTTAAAGATAGATGATAGAATTACTTATATTTTTATAAAATCCTTTAAGATCACAATAATAGAAACACAAATTGTTTTCAATTTTTTTAAGTATAGCAACCCCAATTATTAGAATTATTTACTAATATTTATTATATTTTTCTTACAAATAGCAAAGTAATGATTTTGTAAATAACCATCTGTAATAAGTAATAACTTTATATATGTAGCAATATACTCTATGGTAATAACTGTATAATAACGTTGATGTGATGAGACGTCAAAACGCAAAGCTGCTTTCATAGAGTATATTGCTACATATATAAAGCTGCTGTCCTGAAAGCATCCGAAACGTCAGGAATCAAAAAATCTGAAAAAATAGTTTTACAATGTTAAGATTATAGTTATATATACAGAGTAATTAAACTATCCTTTGTGAGATGCAAAATTGTCAATTTTCATTATTCTATTTTAATAAATACTCATACTCAAATATTCATATTTTTTTATATGTAGATACATATAATATTCAATTTCAATAATATATGTACATTTAATTAACTAATCTAAGACAACAAGTGTTGCTGATATCTAGAATTATAAAACAATGTAATTTTTAATTTTAGTTATGTCTAATAAAATGTATGATTTTTGTAAAAAATAATTATTGTAACGCGGGGTTTTTACAAACAACGGTGATCGCGGGGTATCGTGTCAGAACATGTACGATCCTGTAGGGCCGTGTTTTCGTGCGATCGTATAAGTTAGGCGCCCGCGCCCCCCGTCTCCCGCGAACGCGTGAGCGACGGCGTGGCTCGACCAGGCAGAGAGCCGCGAGCAAAGAGTATAGTTATAAACTGGCCGCGAGCGCCAAACGCGTAAACATCCGTATCATAACGATCCTCCACGACTCTCATTTTCGCGCAGTTGTAAGATTTTATGTAATTTTTTTGTGTAACTTCCATAACCATAAGTTTTTCTTGTCAAACCTCAAGTGAAATAAATATATTTTAATAGACTTGTGTTGAGTACCTATTAAATTATTTATACTAGTCTATTTTTTCATGTCATTTCTCAAAATAATTAATGTACTTGGAGTTATTTTATTTATAACATCGGAGCTCGGGATACCCTGAGATTTTTTTAAGGAAATTGGTTGCATCGCAATATACTTATATATTTTAATATTGTTTGTCCGACAAAACATTCATTGTTATTTAAAACACAGTGATAGACACGAAATAAACACTAGAAATAAGGATAAACTGGGTAATCGAACTCGAACTCGACACGAGAAGAAGAAGAAGAAGTTTTTCTTGTCAAACCTCAAGTGAAATAAATATATTTTAATAGACTTGTGTTGAGTACCTATTAAATTATTTATACTAGTCTATTTTTTTATGTCATTTCTCAAAATAATTAATGTACTTGGAGTTATTTTATTTATAACATCGGAGCTCGGGATACCCTGAGATTTTTTTAAGGAAATTGGTTGCATCGCAATATACTTATATATTTTAATATTGTTTGTCCGACAAAACATTCATTGTTATTTAAAACACAGTGAAAGACACGAAATAAACACTAGAAATAAGGATAAACTGGGTAACGCCTAGCTTTCTTTCGCCTTCAAAAAGTGAATAGATCGTATATGGGCCAAGGTGTACGCATGTATAATAGAATTCCACCATCCATGATGAGCTCATCAATGAGCTTGCGATTTAAACAATTTAAGTCTGAAATTAAAAATAATACTGTCACGGAATACTTCGTAGATATCAAATGTGGAACTAATATCTAGTTGGGTCATAGGACGTAGGATAAGTAGATAATTATTGTATTACAATATTGTACACAATTATTATTTTAAAAGAGCGACTGTTGAGTTTCTCGCCGGTTCTTCTCAGCAGAACTGCTTTACTTAGTTGCCAAGCCGGTGGTAGATTCCTCACGGACTGACTACACTGACATTTTAAATAAATTTAAAATGTAAAATTGACGATTCAAAAGTGTTTGTAAAAGTCTATTTGAATAAAGTTTGATTTGATTATAAATTTAATCACGACTAGCGGTACGTTTTACCTTTTTTTAGCGGGACCCTAATTCTTTTTCTAAAATAAACGTGGCCTAAGTTACTACTTATAACATCTACTATCTGCCAGTAAAAGTCCTGTCAATATCGGTCCAGCCGTTTCATAGATTAGCCGGAACAAACAGACGGACAAACAGACAAAAATGTAAAAAATTGTTTTTCTTATAAGTACCATATATTTCAAAGGCAATCAGTAAGTAGCTTTTTTGATATTACAAACAGTCACTTCAGGTTTATTTTTCTGCATAGATAATATTTTAACCATTCACATTTTTAAATACTCTCAAGCCAAAATTGGATTACTATTAAACGCGTAAATTTGTACTACTTTACACTTAAACGGCTTGACGGATTTGAATGAAATTTTGTACACAAAGTATTAATATCCTAGAGTAATATATGGGCCACTTTTGGACATCTTAAGACGCACCCAAGCGAAGCAAGGGTAATATGAATGTCATAATGGAAAGAGACAAAAGCTCTATGGTAACACGAAACAAAAATATTTCAAATAATTTAGCACATATTTTGGTATGTCAGTAAGCACTCCACTTTTTGACTTTAAGTTCGGATACTGTAAAAATAAAGCTCCTGGCAACACTTAAAATAAAATTGACGTCTTTTTGACAATATGCCATAATGACAATGACATTTAAAGAATTGAATTGTAAATTGTAATTCGTGTTTCGTTTCATACAATTATAACGTTTTAAATTCGTATTTCGTTTGTGTGTGGTAGTCGTTCATGTGTTGTTTATGAGGTTATTCTTGAGTAGTTGACCTACTTTAGTTAAAAGCATATTTGAAGTAGTAATAAAAATCTCTCCTTTCTTTTATGATCTAAATTTAATCGAAAACTTAAATGGCGTCCTTTTCTAGATTTCATAAAATTGCTTTATTAAGTTTAGGTGCGGTTAGTGGAGGCCTGGCATACTATCATATCGGTAAATCTGAGAAAAACTTTGATGTTAAAAACTCTTGGACTACAAATTATACACCAACAGTAAAGTGGGAAAAAAATTGGGACCAGTAAGCTATTTTTTTTTCTTGTTAACCCATTTTATCAATGGGAAATAGATAAGTGCCAAATTTTTTTAAATATTTTCGTTATAAGAATAACATATTTAATGATATAAGAAGATGATGTTATAAGAAGAAGATAATGATATTCTTAAAATAATATCTTAACATAATATTTCTTTTATAGTAGTAAATTATTAGGACCTTATCATAAATTGTTTACACTAAGAATAATCATTATCAAGTCACTTACTAATGTTTTATGTATTAAGTTCATGTTGAATACAATTTATTTTACTCTTAAAAAATATATTAACCCAATATACAACTTATACAATGTTTTTACAATATACATTATTATTGTTGTTACTGAAAAATAGATGAGGAATTTCAGATTATGTCATGATATTAGAGGATGCAATATTCAATGCTTTTAGCCGTGAACCAGAGTCAATAGTGAAACCTACAAAAGCAGGTAAACCTGAAGATGAAAATAGGTATAATGAACAAATTGAAAAAGCCAAAGGTAAAGCAGTACGACATTTGTTTCTTATAAGACATGGACAGTATAACTTGGATGGTGCTACTGATAAGGAGAGAGTTTTGACAGAATTGGGTAATTCTTTTTATAATGTATAACATCAATTTTTGCTTCTTTTTTGCTTAATATTCTTAAACATAGAGTATGAAAAAAAAGAAAATTATATAAATATTTTATTTTAATTAAAAAGTATAAAAATATTAATATTAAAATGATTGTAAAATCATATTTACAATAATATTATTAATATACTTGTTATTAACAATCAAATAAGTATTTAAGACAAATTTATTTAATTTCAGGTAGACAGCAAGCAGACTTAACGGGCAAAAGACTTGCTAGCTTAGATATAAAATGGGATCTTCTTGTCAGATCAACTATGACAAGAGCTCAAGAAACTGCATCAATAATAGCAAAACATTTGCCTAAAGATATAGAAGTTAAAGATTGTCAGTTAATAGAGGAAGGAGCACCAATACCACCAGAGCCACCTGTTGGCCATTGGAGACCAGAACCTAAAGTAAGTTTTTAAACAGAAAGGTACACCATCTTAAAATCAATGTATGCCTCCAAAAGGGTACACACTTTCATGAAATGTAAATGTAACCATCATGACATTAAATCATTATGATTAAAAAATAACTATAATTAAAATTGTATCAGGATTGACAAAGATCAGGGTATGAAATTATCAAGATAAATATATCTTTTGATAATTATCGCGATAATTATCAGATAATTATCCGATAATTATCAAACAGATATAAACTTAGCAATCCTTTTGTAGGTATTGGTATTTGACTACTTGCCTATCATAATTTACGTTAGAATAAATTATACATTTTTAACAATCAAGGTACTCTTTTTTTATTATTATTTTTTCATTATTTTGACATATAAAAACAGAATAAACTTAACCCACTATATAGACACTATTTAATTTATATTATTATATTAAAGGTCTCTATAATTAAATTAAAGGTCTCTGCCCACTATACCTCTCTGTCTCATACCATGACCATGCTAGGACCATAACAGGACCGTGTCAGGCAAAAAAATATTCTTTGTATAGAAAAGTATGAGACTATGCCCACTAGACCGTTCTATCGCCAACCAAGACCTTTCCGTCACCAACCAACACCGTCGCATGCCGTGCATGGAAAGTTAACAATAGTTGTCAGCAAGAATATTTTGCCAGAGAAGTACCAGGAGCAACCCGCATGGTACACCGCCCACCGAAGAGGGCCACCTCCCACCGCGCACCGAAGTGGGCCACCTCCCTGTGCGTTTCTTGGCTTCGCGCCCGGCTGAATTGCCGGGCACTACTGATCCCTCCACCAAGACAGTGAACGCACGTTCACGGGGGGGTGTCGCTTGTCTTCTAGTATTATTTTCTTTCTTCCTCGTCTAAAACAATGCCTATCATTGTCAATTTTCTATCGGACAAGTTTCTAATAGCCATCGTATAGGTATAGGAAATAATTTTCGTAACAAAAATATTCACTCGCTCTTTCTGACGTGGCTGTCTTCCGCGAAAACACAGGTGAACTACTACGACTGAGAAAACTTGAACTATGTATACGGATATGACACGCGGATGATACGCAAATGATACGTTCTAGTGGGCGACATGGACCACTTTTAGTCCGTGTCGCTTGTTTCCGTGCCTGATACGTTCATAGCACGGTCATGGTATGAGACGGTGTAATGGGCAGACTACTTAATGAGTGGAATATCATCCTCATCCTCCTCAACTGCATTAACTCAGTTTGCTGATTGAGTTTTTTTGAGCTGATTAAGAGAGTTCAGTTAGCTGATCGACAATTTGAAGAGTTAGAAATTAAATATTTTCAATTATATTTATCAATGATAATTATCAACCCATATTTATCATGATAATTATCAATGATAATTATCGTTTCGAACCCTGACAAAGATATAAAATGTAACATAAACAAAAAAACCTTCAAATTAAGAACTTACTCCTGTTTTGATTAATGCCTCTGTTGATGTGTGTTTTAACACTATTGTAAATTCACTAATTAATTATGGCTAATACTTAATATAATTATAAGATTATAACATAACTAGCGGCTTCGCTCGTGTTCACCTCTAGAATTTCAAAAACAAATTATTCTATGGGAACTGTACATTTTTCCGGGATAAAAGCCAATGTGCCATTCCAGACTATAATCTATCTATGTGCCAAATTTCATCAAGATCCGTTCAGCCGTTCTGGCGTGATTGAGTAACAAACATCCGTCCAAACATCTAAATTTTTACATTTATAATATTCGTATAAACGTAACAAGGTAGGTTTGTTTTAGTGTACCTTAAATTAATGTAGTGATTTATCCTTTTATTATATAAGTATAATAATATAATTATATCTTATAAGTTGTAGTTAGTAGTTAGAACTTTTGTAATTGACCAGTTTCGCGCTTTCAATTGTAGAACTACTGATATTTGTGTTAGTCCATTTGATGATTATTTACCTTACCACAATATTGACAAAATTTAATGTTTTATTTTGCATGAATTTATAATTATTCCTAGATTTGACACCAACTTAAAATATCTAGACCTTGTTTATACTAATGACCCCATTGTGTCTATTTCCTTATTGTTGCTAATATAAGCCTCATTGTTAGGCAATTAATCAAGACATTTCTATCAAAAATAATGTATTTATATTGCACATGGTTAAAAAAAAAAAAAAAAGTAAAATTAAAAACAACATATATTCATAAATGGCAACACTGGTCAATTAACGTGGTATGGTTTGGCATGTGTAGCAGTTCTTCCAGGACAGCGCGCGGATTGAGGCTGCCTTCAGACGCTATTTCTATAGAGCACCTCCGGAACAGACTAAGGACACATACACACTGTTGGTGTGTCACGCCAATGTCATAAGGTTCTTTGTGTGCAAGTTAGTATTGTTGTATTTTTTTATTTTACTTAAAATAGTTTTTGTTAGTTTTTTGTGCTCTTGTTACTGTATCTACCATATGATTTAAGGATTGTTTGTACATGTGTGTTTGAAAAAAAAGTGATTTTGAAAATTATGATAAACATACCAAATTCGCCTAAGGAAAACTTTGATAATATTGATTCTGTAAAAGTTGAACTTCAATTAATATAATTTTCATAATTTTCTCAAGACCTGCATATTTATTTATTTACTTAAATGAATTTACATTAAGATTTAAGACTATTCTTACTAGAAAATGTATATTTTTACTATACTACCATATATGTCTAAGTCAATGCTAAGTCAATAAATGAAGTCTTAAATTATACATCGTATAGAAATATGGACTAATATTTTCTAATAAATTCTATTTTAGCCATTTCATGTATAGTTTATTAGCAAAACTAAATTTCTTTCTATTACCCAATACATAACTCAGCGGTATCGTGAGGCACTGTTGAATACTAACAGAAAAAGGCTAATAGATACCTTACCATACAAAAAGGCAAAAAAGTTAAAGTCAATATCATAAAATTCCAGAGCACTCCAATTCCCACCCGAGGGCTGGCTCCGAATAGCACTAAGTCACGGCTCGATTACATGGATTTCGATTTTACCAAGCGGGAACGTGGTCCTCCGGTCCCTAAGCGACACGGGACACATGGAGCCCAAGTATATTACCAGCCGGTAAACTTACCAGGTGCTTTGTAGTTACTAGTTACGAGTAGTATTAGATTATTATTTTTGAAGTGAAACTTCTTTAGAATCATTGTGATTTGAAACTCAGTGAAACGGAAATGCATCACTAAAAAGAGATAAATATATAGGATTAAGCCGGCGACAGAATGAAATAGAATACATTGCCATGGTAAGCGTTAATACTTTCTTAGATTTACGCGAATATTTGACATTTTAAATAAAACTATCTTTTCGGATTTTGTCGCGGATTCATTTGCAATTTTGTTTCCCGACGTTTCGAATGCTTTACAGCATCCATGGTCACGGGAGAGACTGGAGGTGTTACATGTCTTGAATGTATAGTTGTTACAGACAGCCTACCCACAATTAACAAACCTTAATTTTATAACAAATTGAATGATATAGAATGGTCATACCAAAACATCTCAAAACTAGAGGTTCTTTAATAAAAAATAGCATGGAGCAAAGTTTTGGTGACAACCCCCTTGGGTCGTGTTTGTTAATATGTTTTGTAGTTTAAAAAATATATTTCGCCTGAAAAAATGAATGAGGGGCCCAGCACATACGTTGGGATCTTAGACTATCATATTAAGTGACAAATATTCATCATTATTCATTAAGTAATAAATTCGATTTGTTAGCTCTAAAATATGTATTTTTTACCATTATAAGTTACTAGCATTGCCCGCGGCTCCGCCCGCGTTCAGATGACCAAAAACTAAATTCTTAGGTGTTACATATTAGTATACTCTTACATTGCAGTTTTTGTATTTTTCCTCAGAAATAAGATATTTTCCCGCGGTAAAAAGTATCCTAGGATCGCGCGCTACATCGCCCGGTTTATATAGCTTGAGCAGGCGGTCGAGCGATGCGGGGCAGAGGGGATGGACTCGCCGTAGGCATCTCAATGCTCGCCAAGCATTAAAAATGTTTCGCTACTAATTACTTCTAACAACGATATCTCAAAAACTATTCATCTGATTGATTTAGTGTAAAGAGCAATTTTAATCTGCATTAAATGACTAAGCTAACTAAAATATTCATTTGGATAAGGATTAATACCGAACTAAAGAAAATAACTTTGAAAATAACGTAATGTTTTTAATTAAAAATGTTAACATAAAAGTGGTTATTGTAAGTCAACCGTAAGAGATAGAGATATGCTATCGCGGACTTTTTTGTAGCATTTTTATAGATTTTGAATTCTCTAGTACATTACTTAACTGTATCTTTGCTAGTTTACGCGGCGTTCGCGTGGAAAGTTCCCATTTGGCGAGATTTTTTGCGACCTCTTCAACATTTGTCGCCGTATTTCAGCTAATTTACATAAAAGCATAATAAATTATATACCTAAACCTTCCTCAAGAATTACTCTTTCTATTGTTGAAAACCGTATAAAAATCCGTTCAGTAGTTTTCGAGTTTATCGCGTACAGACAGACAGGAGGACAGACAGGAGGACAGAAAGACGCGGCCGGGGGACTTATTTTTATAATAAGTATAGATAACACTTATCGTCCCATGTAAACTAACTAATTTTGCAGTGACAGAGAATCGTTAGTGATATTTTTTAGGATATCGATTTTTTGTACCGATTTTAGATTTCCGTTTACACTACCTAGGACAATTGTCAAAAACTCATTCTTAGATAAGATAGACTATATAGGTCTCTTATTCTAGTCCATTGTCACAGTACAAGAATTAACATTGATCGTAAACATTTTATTGTTAAATGCTTTGTGTATTTTTTTACATACTTAATAATTTTGTTTTAGAAAAATATTTTTGAAAGCCGGATTTAAATAAACACAAATAGCACAACTCTCCTTTGGGCTTCGCCGCAGTCGGGTAATAAAGTTTGGTCTAGTTCTTATGATTTAAATTTCGGATGTCAAAAATGACAAAAAACAGGTGGTTTCAAAGAGTTTGTTTTGTGTGATATTTAAATAAATACGCATAGGCGCAATTTATGAAATAGGAAATCATATTTATTGGTAAATCCAAATTCCTTTTTCGGTTTTGATAATTTCAAACATACTTATTTTATTTTGTCGCTATATTGGCTTGTTAGATACATACATACGTATTATTACTAATAAACAATAGTGCTGCCTCATATAGTAATAAAAAGTCAGTGCTTACGATTTGTTTTAAAGTTTCTAATTTTAATTACCAAGCCATTATGAAAATATAATTTGGTGATTATTTTATCTTATATCAATTTTGAAGATTATAATTATATTATCAAGATGAATTCGAAGTATAACATGATAATAATACAATTAAATTCGTTCTATTTAATAAAATATTTGTTATAATGCATTTACCAGGAACAAGTATCCGAGTGACGAAACAGTTACCGGAAGCTGTTGATAAATCAAGAAGTATTAAATAATTTTAAGATAATTGTGAAATTATAATTAATTGTATTTTAATCCTTGTAGAATGAGTCAATGTGTATTTCAATAAAAGCATTATTTTAAATATATTTTTTAGAAGAAATAGTTTACACCAGTGACCTATACTATATGTATTTGTGTAGTTATTTCACACGGATAATTTAAATAATTACCACAAAGATAAAAAGTAACATGTCTTACCCATTATTATTGCATTGTTAGGACATTTAATAAAAAATATCAATAATAGCGTAATCAGGCAGTGGTAGCCCAGTGGTAACGCGCTCGCTTGGGTAACCGAGTGAAGCGCGTTCGAACCCCGGGTCTTGAATCATTTTCAACATGATTACCACTTGTCTTACGGTGAAGGAAAACATCGTGAGGAAACCTGCATATCTGAGAGTATCTAGTAAGTTTTCGAAAGTCCACCAATCCGCACTTCGCCAGTTCTGATCCTCTTTGTATTGAAGGAATGGGATTTTAATTGGAATTAAAAGGGGCTTAATACATACATACATAACGGATTGTTAAGTTTTAGCAGTTGCATTTTTCATACACTTATTTCAACGGCATAGATAATTGATTATTATAATTAATATAATCAATTTTATTGTTATACTTACTAATATAATGTTATTTTGTCCTTCAATATCAGAAAATTACGATTGTATTCAAATTCTTTCCTGCATTTTGTTCCTTCTAGAAGTACCTCCTAGACTAGAAAATATAAAGTTTATAATTTATTACAAATGCTTATTAGACTCAGACGAATCTAATAAACATTTGTGCGACATATTTCAATCTATATATTAGGTTTTTAACACAAAACCGCGTAACTAATTTGCAATAACCTCAAATATGGTATTTACATAATTTAACAAAATTCATCATGTTATTATATTGTCGCCATTTATTGTATCTATCCACAATTGCATTGACAATTTCAAGCTTAAATGATATTCGTATTTTACAGTAAATAACTACTAACTAAATGTACTATAAATATAAGATATAATATTCTGTTCCTAATGCAATCATATCAAACGTAAATCGTATTAAAAATCAATTATGGGGTATAAAATCTTGAAGTATAGCGATTGGAAAATATATGAAAATTAATGAAAATTACGATGAAAGCTCGTTACACGATTTTTAATAAGAAATGAATGTTATAATATAGTCGGGTTTTTATATCCTTCTACGCGATCTCTAGTATAAACTTAGGTCTCTTCGATTGTAGGATATTTGTATCCTGCAAATGTACGCGGTTAATGAACCCTTGTTTTCTATTATGCACTATTATCTATGCTTATTGTTCAAGATATTTGCCAGTCACTATACTTTTAAGCGATTATCATACATTGATATACAAAAACTAAAGATACACAGTTAGTGTCTAAGTGTCCTTAAAAAAAAGCGCACAATTTTCAAATCTTTTGTTGATTGCTTTTCGGATTTTGGTTTGACTTAACGTCACATGTCGACGCCACTTTTTTAAGAGATATTTGTTAGAAAATGTGTATTTTTATAATAATTACACTACGGGACTTACCGCGTAAATTCGTAAGTGGCTATATATGTACCTTGTTCCCGAAGTTTCCACTGGATTGCACCAGCCGTGGTCACATTATTATAGAATTATGGGACGCGATAATTTAAAAAGTTAAAAATGTGTATCTATGTTTTTATATATCAGTGCGATTATAATATACTTATATAAATATAAGTAGAAGAAAAGCAATCGGAAGTTTAATGTCGTATATTGTGTTCCAAACTACGTCTAAACTGCCAGTAATTGCCTTTTTAATATACATATAGCATTTCCTATACAAGTTGTATCAAAGTTGGTATGTTTTAGGGAACTTGTTATGTGAACAAGTGGTTAAGATTCGTCGGCTCCTGTACTACATTAGGTGTTTTATATCGTCATTGTTATATGTTACCTTTAATCAATGTATCTCGATGTATAATTTAAGTGTAAATATTTTGATATGTTAATAAAAAAATATTATCAATACTTTGTTTGATTTAATCATTAATTTAAACAGACCTTCATTGAGTTATTTCAAATAATAAAAATCTGAAGCTACAAAAAGGAATATAATACTATCTATTACTTATTAGTACGGTTTTATTATTTTCATTTAGGTATATATGGAGATCATAGAAATTCAAATTTTGGAAGTCGATTTTACCTACTTCTAGTTATCCTTTCTATTTTACAACTTCGTAAGTAGGTACTTAAAATGCGCATAACAATACAATCATTTGATTCCATAGAGTTAATCTGATGATGAAGCTAAGAGGTAGAGTAATGCTTCATTCGCCACTAGTATAGTTTTATGATATTAGTGAAAGATACTATAGTAATTCGTGTTAAGAAAATATTGAGTCTACCGGATTAGCCACGCCCTCCGACCAATTAGGTTGCGTAAAGTTATAAAGTCAAGTTCACAACGACTAATTGAAGGCAGACTTAAATATATTATTAATGTCTTTATTTTGATGAGATATTTATGTTCATTAATTATTATCTCAATCAAAATAAAGAAATTATCATTATATTCATCATATTTCTTAATTTTGATTTAAGATAATTAAGTTTATTAATTATCTCAAATCAAAATAAAGTCATTATCATCTCAAATCAAGATTCGAGATAAGTAAGATAATTAAGTTGATTTTTATACATTAAACTTAATCTTTTGAAATATATTTAAAATTAATTTTTACACTGTAAATACACCTTTACCTGCCGTCACTATTTTTTTAATGCGAATGGACTATAGCAAAGGTTAGGACATTAGTTAGAAAGTTAGACCTTAGAATTTGAAAGCACAAAATTATTAATGGGAACTTATCTAAAAATGAAAAACAAAATTTGAATATCCATAAATATTTATTTTATTGGTCTTTTAAATAGTTAAACAATTATATTCTTAAAACGTTACTATATATAGTAATTTGGTTTATTTAAAATCGAAGAGACTTGCTTTTTTAACTTAAAATGATTTATTGTAAAATCTTAAAATACTTATTACTAAAATTGGTGTTACAATGATAAAATACAATTATACACAAAAAGAGAGAGAGTTTTTAAGAATACATATGATTCACCGTCTACATAACTACAATTTTGCTTTAATATCTAGCCGTACCACAAAATTTTTAAATTGGAACCAATGTACTAATAATTTTGTATTAAATTTTAAGAATTAGTATATAATTATTTTGTAAAAAGATATGTAGTGTTGAATGTCCTGATATAGATATAATAGTCAGTAGGTACTAGGATCTAATTTCGAAAAGTTAATATAACATTATGAATGATTCAAAGTGCGTTAAATCTAAAGTCAAATATGAACAACCTTTCATTTTAATATAATAAATAAAAGTAAGTACGTGTACAAACATATATTCAAGCCTTGTTTAGGGCCAATTTTTATATAAACATTGAAAATCATAATATTATTGATGATGATGATGTTCTCCTAGCCGATTCCGGCCACGGCGGCCAATCTCAATGAGATTAGCCAACTGCGCAGGAGATATTATAGTGCTCAAGTGTACGCGCAGACTCAAGTGCACTCTTTATTCCTATCACTCTCATACTCCGGTGGGACGACCACTCGACACGACCGGTGAGAGTTAAGGCGCAGGACCGACGGCTTTACGTGCTCTCCGAGGCACGGGGGTGAAACACCGCCAACTTCCCAACTCCGGGCTGTTACTGAGACTTACTATACAGGAAGATTCAATAACTAAACTTGGCCCGACCCGGGACTCGAACCCAGGACCTCCGGGTGTACAGCCGTACATGCTAGCCACTACACCACCGAGGCAGTATAATATTATTATAAATGGTTTATTATTTGGAAAATATCTCAGTTCTTCAGAAGTACCACGGTTATTATGATTATAACAATGTATATATATATTAAACCTAAATATATAATAGGTATTTATTATAATATAGAAATTTTATGTTCAAGTTATGAATGTATGCATCTACAGTGGAAATAGTTTTTTTTAATAGAACAAGTGGTTTAGATATTTCACATTATTTTAGATTAATATTTATATTTATAAATATATGAAAGTTACGAAATTAAGTTCAAATTCTAAGGTTGTTATCACAACCACGTCACAACAAGTATATTTAAAAGGTTATTTAATGATCATTTATGGAGACTAAAAATGTCAACAAAATTATAGAAATATTATTTAAAAAAAAACATAGGAATACAAAATTAATAATTTTCACGTGAAAATAATTTTTAGACCTAATGAAAGCTACCTATACCTACCTGATGGCGTTAAAAAGTCTAAAAAATCGGCACATCCATCCATGGTGGCATTTGGCCGATATTGATCAAATTAGGTACCTTCTGAAATTGTTTTATTTTTAAATTTCGAGTCGTAAATTAACATATCCCACATTATATGCACTTAAAAAAATTACTGTCGGTAGTTTCATTTTTTTACTTAAATAATTATATCTTTCCTCTTACCAAGGTTACGTGGACTACGTAGTATGTGCATATTATGTTTTTTAAATAAACAAAAGAAATATTATATTTACACAGTTATATATATTTATACATATAATAAAACAGTAACTTAGCGAAATCTGTACATGAATTATTTTTTAAAACAATGAATGTAATTTATTATTTATTATGTACATAATATAGACCCCAAAACAATAGTTATTAAAATTTATGTCTGTTTGGGTGTACACTTCTCACACAAAATTAATAAATATATAGTTTATTCCTATTCCATACTAACCGTTAAAACGTACCCAGGGACGAACCCAAGCGAGGTTGAGTCCCTAGCCTTTTTTAAAAATAAATTATTTACCAATTTACAGTTCTACCTAACGCATCATTGCCTCAATTGCACCGACTTCAAGTTTACGAACACTTATATTCAAAGTTAGTAACCATATGGTTACCAACTTTGAATTGTCTCAACTAATTGAGAGTCGGTAATTATTAAGACATAAAAAAATGTTTTTAAGTTGATCTATACAGATAAATAAAATTAAAGTGTCTGTTTGTAATGTCAAAATAATAGCTTTTTACTAAATAAATAATATGGAATTATATATGGTATTTATAAGAAAAACACAATTTTTAAAATTTTTGTCTGTCTGTCTGTTTGTTCTAATCTCCGCAACGTCTGTGCCGACTTTAACGGAACTTTCACTGGAAGGTAGTTGTGTTATAAGGAGTAACTTAGGCTACTTTTATTTCAGTAAAAGAATTACAATCGATTTGCATAACTAATTCAATAGGATTCCTCAAGGGTGGTTCCCCAAAGCATTTTAATAAATTTTATCACTGAGACGAATTATTTCATGGTTTAATATAATGTTCAGATGCTTAAAAGTTCATGATAGAGATACGATGCATTCAAAAAATAATAATAATAAACAAAATACTTAATTTTCACGAGTAAAGATGCAAATATATCATAGATCACTTATCATGTGTTCTATCATTGATAGATCTATCGTGTGTTATTGTGACCTATAAGTAAATAGTAAATACTATTGATATTTGATACTTTGATAAATACTAGAAACTTTTTACCATTTTCCATAAGAATGCTCAATAGTTTTTTGACAGTTTTAAACTTTTAAAATTACAGCAAAAGTTAGTTTAATTAGCAGCAACTGGTCGAGATAAAAGAATATCGGTTCCATCGGTTGGATCTTCATCATCTTCATCGTCACAAGCATCTTCTGGTTCTCCAAGTGCTCGAACGAATTCTAAAAGATAGAACACCATGCCAATTTCTTATTAAGAGATATAAGTGAACGTCCACTTTACTGTATCGTAATTATGTAGGTATATTAAATAACAGGTTCTTACTTATTAAATTAAAAATACCTACCATCTATTAGGTTAGTTTCAATTTAGCCTGGAAAAACACGAGATAAGCTAAGTTATCGTGTAAAAATCTATGTAAAACTCACCTAGAAAATCAATACGTCCGTCGCCATCAGAATCCACTTCCTTAATCATGTCTTCAACTAGAATACAAAAAATGTTTCACAAATATATTTTCTTTAATATAACAATATAGGTAGTATTCCTAAACGATGCTTGAACCATTTTAAAAATAAGTAGTCGGATTATAATTTTTATTACTTCTATACTCACTTTCTTCTTCCGAGAGATCTTCTCCTAGACATTGCAGAACAGCTCTTAGATCAGACGCACAAATATATCCTCGGTTGTGTTTATCAAACACTCGAAACGCATCACGTAACTCCCGCTCTTCTTGTTCAGCGGAACTGGAGCCTCCGCCGGCTCCTGACATCGACTTTGACAGTATGTTTACGAACTCTTCAAAGCTAACGTTCCCATCACCTGAGGAGAAATAAGTACTTTGTTTACCTACAATATACACATGTATATATTTTAGGTATATATTTTTTGTATGTTATCTTATATACTAAAAAGCAAACGAGCGGATAAAGCAGTCTATCTGATGATGTCACCATCACCCAGCCTCCGTCATTTAATGTGACTTAGAGGGACTTTGCTAATGCAAGCAACATATCAGACCAGTATGGAATTTGTATACACACTTTTTTATAACCCAAAATTATATATGACACTAGCGGCTCACCCTCGCTTCGCTCGGGTTCGGCTCTAGGAAACACTAATAAAGATCTATTAGTTCCCACGGGAACCGTTCATTTTTCCGGGATGAAAAGTAACCTGTTGTTTGACCGGAAATATAAGGTATCAGAATGTTAAATTTTACTAAATTAGGTGCATAAGACGTTGTGTACTAAGCTGTATAAGATACTATAGTTTTTTAACTATCCCACGGGAAACTTTTTAATTTTATGGGATGAAAAGTATCTAAGATGTTGCCCGGGGATATAAGGTACTACCATGCAAAATTGTATTTAAATCGGTCCAATAGATTCGAAGATTAGCCCGTACAAACAGACAAACAGACAGAGAAACAAAAAAATTGAAAAAATCTGGATTTGTTCTATTTGTCTTCTTACATCCCCCTGACTCGGTTTTTAGCATTTTTTTGCTATGTACAGACATTCGACCTCTACTGTTTTATTATAGTATAGAATAGATAACCGTCATCCATAGATATGGCCACGTTACGGTCAAGACAAACGCCTCTTCGCGAGGCAATCAAAATCGAGACCTTAGCACTGTAGTAAATGCGCTGGTTTCTTCTTTAATAGACTTCTCATCAAATTACGATCAAAATTTTATTTATCGTAAAAAAAATGATTCCACCGGTCCAAAAAAAGATTACATTGTCCTTTAATATTAACAACAAAATCAATTTTGAACAAATTTAGTGTACAATTATATAATTTGTGATGAATACCATCACTATCAACTTCCTGCAGCATATCCTGAAGCTCTTCAACCCGTGCGAATTGGCCAAGACTTCGCATAACGCGGCCAAGTTCCTCCTTTGTGATAGTGCCATCTCCATCTTTATCGAAAAGCCGGAATGCTTCACGGAACTCTGTGAAGTTAGAAATTTAATAAATAATTAATAAAAAAGAAATAAGCCCTTATTTAATACTTTCCATACTTTTTTTCCTAAAAACTAGTCTATTTGCGCAAAATTGTGAGAGTTGAGACGAATGGCATATTAGAGCATATTGTGAATTTATTAGAGATTAACAGACTATTATATATATCCTGCTTAGCCTGATTACAATTAGTATAAATTACAACAGAATATTGAGCAATTTTAACTAAAATACAGTTAATTGCGGGGCAAATCTTGATGTGGCCAAAGTAGTTCGACACTTTTTTACTAAACGTTATGGATAATAATGATGTTATCCATCCATCCAACTAAAAGTTATGGATATTTGCTTTATAATATTACTAGCATTGCCCGCGGCTCCGCCCGCGTTCAGATGACCAAAAACTAAATTCTTAGGTGTTACATATTAGTATACTCTTACATTGCAGTTTTTGTATTTTTCCTCAGAAATAAGATATTTTCCCGCGGTAAAAAGTATCCTAGGATCGCGCGCTACATCGCCCGGTTTATATAGCTTGAGCAGGCGGTCGAGCGATGCGGGGCAGAGGGGATGGACTCGCCGTAGGCATCTCAATGCTCGCCAAGCATTAAAAATGTTTCGCTACTAATTACTTCTAACAACGATATCTCAAAAACTATTCATCTGATTGATTTAGTGTAAAGAGCAATTTTAATCTGCATTAAATGACTAAGCTAACTAAAATATTCATTTGGATAAGGATTAATACCGAACTAAAGAAAATAACTTTGAAAATAACGTAATGTTTTTAATTAAAAATGTTAACATAAAAGTGGTTATTGTAAGTCAACCGTAAGAGATAGAGATATGCTATCGCGGACTTTTTTGTAGCATTTTTATAGATTTTGAATTCTCTAGTACATTACTTAACTGTATCTTTGCTAGTTTACGCGGCGTTCGCGTGGAAAGTTCCCATTTGGCGAGATTTTTTGCGACCTCTTCAACATTTGTCGCCGTATTTCAGCTAATTTACATAAAAGCATAATAAATTATATACCTAAACCTTCCTCAAGAATTACTCTTTCTATTGTTGAAAACCGTATAAAAATCCGTTCAGTAGTTTTCGAGTTTATCGCGTACAGACAGACAGGAGGACAGACAGGAGGACAGAAAGACGCGGCCGGGGGACTTATTTTTATAATAAGTATAGATAGATAAATGTATCTAAATGGCTAATTATTTCAATTACATGCATAAGCTAAATAGCGCATACTGCCTCATGCCACGCATCGTTCACAGAGATTATAAACACAAACCATATGACAGACATATATAGACAGAAATATATAACCACTAATTCTTACCTATAGACAAAATAATAAATTGACCATGTTTTATAAATAACTAGCGAGTTACCATCGCTTCGGGTTCGTCCGTAGACAAAAACAAATCTATCCACGGAAACCGTACATTTTTCCGGGATATAAAGTTACCTATTTGCTAACAGCTTCAGACTATAGTCTATCTCTGTGATAAATTTCATCCAGATCCGTTTAGTCGTTCTGGCGTGAAAGAGTAACAAACATCCATCCATTCACCATCACAAACATTCATTTTATATTAGGTATTAGTATGGATATTTTATTTTAAAAAGATTTATTCAATTCACCTTTCATTTGCGTACGCGTGATGCCAGTGGTCTCATCCACAATAGATGCTTTTCTGTCGAATGCAGTATTAGCTACTGGTTTTAAGAAGGCCTGCCGCTGAGTTGAGGATATCGTTCGTTCCGATAACTGACTGTTAATAAAACATCAATATAAATATAAGAAAGTCATTGTATTGTTACTATTTTTAACATAGGTATATTGTGACCGGCTTCGCTCGTATGCTTAGTGAGACGAGATAAAAGGTAGGTGTGTTCCATGATGCAATCTATGTCATTGCCAAATTTCATCGAAATTTGTTCAGCAGTTTAAGCTTAAAGAGATAACAGACAGATATATTCGCATTTGGACGCTGACCACTTATTTGAACTCTTGCAAGGAATAATATGGTAACTTAAGAGATATTGTAGTCATTTTTAATAAAACTATCTTTTCGGATTTTTTCGCAAATTTATTTTGATTTTTGGTTCCCGACGTTTCGAATGCTTTACAGCGATCATGATTACGGGAGAGATTGAGGTGTTAGATGTCTCTAAGGTATTAGGTATATAGTTGTTACAGACAGCCTACCCACAATTAACAAAATGAATTCAAAAAATTGAAAAATGGCACCAAAGTAATTTCAAAATTTTAATATTAATTAATTTATATTCAATTATAAAACTAATTAAAATTATAAATATGTTTAAAGATAAAATATTGTTAGGTACTTGGCGTCGACCGAAAAATCAAAAAAGTATTATTTAGATCTTACAAATACTCTCATTTAAAAAAAATAAGCCGTAGGTTTAAATAATATTCATTTAAAGTCACCGGTAATTGAAAAATCGGCAATTAAGTAATGCCTTACACTCCGTTCTATAAGTATTTATTAACTAGCGGCTCATCCTCGCTTCGCTCGGGTTCACCTCTTGAAAATCACAAACAGATCTATCCTACGGGAACCGTTCATTTTTCCGGGATGAAAAGTATCCTGTTGTTTGACCGGCAAAATAAGGTATCAGCATTCAGCATGCCAAATTTTACTAAATTAGGTGCGTAAGTTGTTGTGTACTAAGCTGTATAAGTTACTATAGTTTTTTGACTATCCCACGGAAACTCTTTAATTTTCCGGGATGAAAAGTATCTAAGATGTCGCCCGGGGATATAAGGTACCACCATGCAAAATTTCATTTAAATCGGTCCTATAGATTCGGAGATAATCCCGTACAAACAGGAAAACAGACAAACAGCTCGCTCGGGTTCGTCCATACCTTCGAATATGTTGTATTATCTCTTTAACCATTTGTCCAAATTATATGCAGTAAAAGGGAAAAGTCTTTTGTTTTAAACATTTTAGACGATAAATTTACTTATTTTGATAAGAATTCATAATTGTTGATAATATGACCAATAAACCTACCGATTTAAATTATTTTTTTAATATAAAAAACTACTTTTTGTGACTTAAATATAAAAGTTAGACATAGACTTTTTTGTAGACATTATTAAACTCTACAACTTTTCTCTAGAACATAATCATATATCTCTTATCATTAAGGCAGCGTTTGAAAGAAACGTTTTCGTTCGACCGTTTTTTCTCCGACTTACTTTGCAAATCCGACTACCACGAAAAAGCCTTTTTATTTTTCTGGTTAATATATAGCCTATGACACTCAGAAAGAACGTGGCTTACTATTGGTAAAAGAATTTTGAAAATCGGTTCAGTAGATCCAGAGATTACCCCCTACAACGTCACAAACTCACAAACTCACAAGATCACAAACTTTACCTCTTTATAATATTAGTATAGATATATTACATATTTAGTAACATTATAAATAAGATACAATTCGAGAATCAACACCATCTGTCGTCTAAAATAGAACGATTGGAATTATCTGAATTAGTGTGTTCCAATTTCTTTATATCAATACTCGTAAGGAAAGAATCCTGAGTTAAGTTGGCGGTGATACACCCATTAGAAGGCTTGGATGTTAAACAGTTATCCTGCGCCTAATGTCTCACCGATAGTGTCAAAATGCTGTCCCACCAGATTTTTAAGAGCAAAAAGAGGCTACCGTGGTAAACGTCTTTTAGAGAATAATATTATTGTATTGGTAGATACTAGATACTTTATATTTGAAATTTGGAAGGTAGTTGTAGCACTTAAAATTAAATTTTTGAATAGATCTTTAAAAAAATAAATATTTCTAAACAACTACTGTTAAAGAAATTAACATTATATAATGCTCACTCTTTTCTTTAAAATTTTATTCCATATGATATTGTGTTTATTAAAACCTTAGCGAAGCAAGGGCGAGTCGCTAGTTAATTATAATTTATTTAACTAATCAATAGTGTTCTATACAAAATATATTGACATTCCAGACGCAGAGCATGACTAACGGTTTCAATATTCTGTGATCCAATTTCTTTTATGGAACAAACTTCGCATGAATAAATTATCTGTAATCCCTAAGCAAGATTGCCCTTTTCTTTATGTTGTTCATAGATTGTTTTGTTGTTATGCTTAAAAAACTAAAGAAACCCTAGTTAAATGTAACTGGTTTTTCTTTTATTTTTCTAAATATATAAAACAATAAATATATTATCTAGTAACAAATATTTGAACTTGCAGATTTTAAAAATGTTTAGTGTTCCGAACCTAAAAATCTTTTTAACAAAAAAAATAAAAACAGACTTCAAAAAACGCAATAAAAAATAAAAAATAACTAATTGGTAGTTTTCATTTACTATACCTACATACCTAATCAAATATTTTCGAAGTCGGTGTGCTTTGCTCTGTATCGGCTGGCTTTGTGGGTGCTGTATGTTTTTATTTTTTTTAAAAGCGCTCATACGTTTATACTTGAATCTCATTTATAGTAGCTTTTTTACTAATATCCCCTTTTATTCCTTAGAAAGTAAGTCTTCCAAAATTTCTTATTATAGACTTATAGGGTAGGTACGTTCATGGGAATTTAAATTAATTTTATTTTTTTATATATATAAATACCTACTAGCGTACACCTAGTGATTGTAATTTAAAGAAAACATAATAAATGAATACAATTTCTATACAACTTAACTGTCCGCAAAATAGACAATAGTTAAACAATCGAAATGTTCATATATGACTCATGGGACAAGGAAATGGTTAAAAAATCAATTTCCAAAAATATTTATGAATACCTACACTAAATTCGTCAAAGTTACTTAACAAAAAAAAGTAAAGCAGTTGACAAACAGAGGAGTGAAATAAACTGAATATATTTTGTCTTTGCCTATTTATTATTATATAGATTTTATAAAATGGATAAATAAATAAAAAACTTTTTATTAAAAAAATAAGTGAGGTGCACCGAATTCATTAAACATACGGTACACTTTTTTAACTTATTATATGGGATCACTACAGGTATAATTATATAGATCGGTTCACTAAAAATACAACTGCATTGAGTACCTCGTCCTTCTAAAGTCGGTCAAAAATATCAAAGAAATTAAACTAACAGTAATCGGCGGATAGAATATGAACAATCCCGCGTTAATCAACATGTCAAGTCAATGAAGAGAGTGGGTAATTCCCACTTGAGGACATTTGTATGCGTGAAGCACTTATTTGTTCCGGTGGGTTGTGTTGAGGGCGCCCCTTTGTTCACTTTCGCAGTTATAGCATAGGTCTGATTTTTAGTTACTAAAAATAATGTCATGGTATTAGAATTATATAATATACTAGCATTGCTCGCGGCTTCGCCCGCGTTCAGATGACCAAAAACCAAATTCTTAGGTTTTACATATTAGTATACTCTTACATTGCAGTTTTTGTATTTTTCCTCAGAAATGAGACATTTTCCCGCGGTAAAAAGTATACTATATGTTGACCCCAAATTTCGTCAAAATCCTTCGAGTGGGTTTTCTGTGATGCGGTAACAGACAGATAGACAGACAGACAGACAAAAATTCTAAAAACTATAGATTCGGCCTCTGTATCGATAATAAAGTCTATTGCAATAAAATTTTCCAAAAAATATTTAATTATATGTATACAATGTATGTATGTATGTAATACAATTTTATTATATGTATAGATATTAGATATATCTTTTTTTTAATATGAATTCCAGGACATATAGGAAAAGTAGTATAATACGATAGCCATTTAGATCATCTCTTTGTTTTAGTTTTTCGTAACTTTAATTCGTAGTAGATGTTGTAAGTGACCAATCAAAATGAAACTAGATTGACATAGATATAATATCAAGATGATTACCAATTACTAATAGGGTGAAGGAAACCAACGTGAGAAAACCTGCATTCCTCAGAGATCTATTTTTCTAAAGATGTGTTAAGTCAAAAACACATTTGACGAGCTTGGTTGACTATTGCTCATCCCGCATGAAATCTCGCAATGAGGGAGGCCCAACAAAAGGGCTATTAAAAAACGCGGATTTTTTAAAATTAATATTAGTTATTATTGAACTGTAGACATAACTTACCTCTCAGAAGGACTGAGGGCAAAGCTAACAGATGGCGGTCCTCTGCTATCCGGGCGGTTCTCATCTGGAGGCCCTGGTTCAGTATTGCTTGTTTGTCGAGTCTATACATCATAAATTACTAAATTACAAGTATATAGTCAGCTTTAAAGTAATGTATGTATATATAAATTAAGGCTTAAAAATCGTTCCACAGTGTTAAAAGAACCATGACGGTATGAAAATGGACATGAACGGGAAAGAGCCTCTCTCAAAATGAATTACATCAGATATGTGTACTATAGATAGTCCATAAATAAACGGATTGTTATAGCTATTAATAATTATTACTTTGTTCTATTCATTACACTAAGTATATTATGGTATAAGAGCTAACAATTTTTTTACCTGATACAAATTTTACGTAATAAGAGTATAAGTAGGTATTTACATCAAGTAGATACCTACTTACATTTTCTTATAACATGTCATGTAGATAGGCTAAGTGCCAAGAATGCTTAATTATATTTAAAAAACTTACCATAATGCCTTTTAGCTGATTCACCAAAGGTGAATCAGCGAAGAAGTTGTTCACCGCGGAGAATATGTTTGTGTGTTTGCTTGTCTCGGTACCGCAGGCGTTGCAACGCCCGCGTAACAGTAACCTAAATCACAGTTGACCCTAAATAAAACACGACAGAATTTATCGGGTGAGATTGATTTTGTCGCTTATAGTACATTACTAAAGGTAAGATTAAAATACAATAAAAATTTGATAAAACTACGAATAGAAAAACATTACTGGGAACTCTTATTTAATAATGAACATGATGTTCATATCTTGATGATTAAACATTCATACTAATATTATAAAATGTGAAAGTGAGTTTGTTTGTTTGTCCTTCTTTCACGTCGAAACGGAGTGACGGATTGGCGTGATTTTTTGTGTGGAAATAGTTGGAGACCTGGAGAGTGACATAGGCTATTTTTTACCGCGGGAGATTATGTAAATCCCTCGGTAAAACACGTTATGATACAATCCAAAAAATATTTATGATCAGCATTACTTGAAACTTTGTATTAATGCTCTTCAATAAAATTATATAAATACGTGTTTTAGCATTTTTCGAAATTCATCCTATAAAATAGGGGATGAAATTTTGTATGAAACTACCTTTTTTGACATTTTTTTTAGTTTCAGCAAGAGTGAAGCCGCGGGTTCTGCTAGTACAAAAATAAATGTATTATGAAAAATAGTAAGGACCATGTATTTGGTATATTGTTGGTAAAAATAAAGGTATATTTTTAACTAATTAGGTATATCATTGTAGGTAATCGTATAAAACTTAATTAACGCTAAAAATATTCATTAAAGTAAAATAAGATTAAGATAAAAAATAGTACCTTATCTATATATATAAAAGAAAGTCGTGTTAGTTACTTCGCTTATAACTCAAGAACGGCTGAACCGATTTAGCTGAAAATTGGCAGGGAGGTAGTTTAGAGCCAGGAGAAGGACATAGGATACTTTTTATCCCGTTCGACCGCGTTCCAATTTTTATGATATTTTAATTTTTGGATTTCTCTTAGTCCGGAATAGGTAAGTATTAAAACATATAATTAAAATGTGAGAAAGAAAGATTTTTTTTTTTTATATCTATTTAAAACGTACCTAGCGACGAACCCGAGCGAAGCGAGGGTGAGCCGCTAGTTAGTTATAATCTACACTAATATTATAAAGAGATAAAGTTTGTAAGTTTATGAGTTTGTTTGCATTCTGATGGTGGATAGGGACAAAATATCTTAAAGCACAGGAAAAATGAAAAATAAACCGACCTAAACACATTAAGCTGTTTTTTTTATTTTAGTAGGTATATTCGTAGAAAATTTCAGTAAAAGTAATAATTTAAATTATAATCCAAAAATATATTTTCTCAGAAGGAGACTAAGCCTTTCTAAAAAAAGACTTGTATAGTGTCAAATTAATATTAACCGTAAGAAGACTAAAGAGGAAGTCGCGGGTAAAAGCTAGTACTTAATAAATCTCTCCCACGCCCATTACATAGATCTCCTCTATCGTCCTCCACAATACACTTACTACAATGGAATAAACGATACATAGCATCATAATTGACATTATAGGGGCATATTCATTAGGCAAATGACTGAGATTTTGCTGGTGGAAATTGAGTTATTCTGGAAATTAGGGAACTCGTATAGGGGCACGTTTTAAAGCAATGTTGATTTTGAAAAGCAATTATTGAATACCGTTTTATTATGATATACAAGTACATATATGAAATACTAATAAACTTTTAGTATGCACTTATAACTTAATTATTTTTTTAAAATTATTTTAGAAACTGATTTTGGGTTGTTAAGAACTTCTATTTATTTGGTTGTACGAGAATTTACTATATTTATAATGAATGTGACTGATTCAATGCGATATTTTGTTGTAATGCTAATAGTTTGAAAAATATAGCTTGCTTTTATTTCTGCCGGTTGACGCCCGACAGAAATAAAACCAAGCTAAAACTTCAAAAGCTCCAGCTAAGTCTGCAGCTGTATAAAGCGGTAATAAAAAGCAGTATAATATGTCGATATACAGTACCTAACATAAAACTTAAATTATATATTTTTTTAAATGATTAATAAATTATATATTTTATAAAATTATATATTTTTTTAAATGATTAATGATTAAAAAAAATAGGCATCTAATAAGAAATGCTTTATGGAATATGATGTTATACTTCTCTATTTTATCGAAAAAATAAAAAATAAACAAACATATTATAAACTATAAACATTGAAAAGAATATCCGTCATCAACATAATATGCCTTTAATGCCAAATGTAGTAAAGCGAAAATAAAAGATTAATGAGAAACTATTTAAAAAAAAAACAGTACCAATCCACACAAAAATCATTAAAGACAAATGAATGTAACGTAAATAATTATATCAATAGGTACTTATAATAAGTTAATATAAGCTATAGGCTATTAAATATAACGAATCTATTTGAATAGATACTAAAAACGCTTGCTCGTGTAAATATTTACCTTCTTTATAAGAAATTAGACCACTTTGCTGATTACGTTCGGGCTATGGAGGTATACACAGGTCTGAGTGAAAGCTGAAAGGGGACTGAAAGAAGCTGGGTCCAGAATATGATGTTAAAATATTCGCGCATGCGAATTAAAGTCACAAATTTAAGGGGGAATTCTGATATTGCGATTGATAGATTATATTTTATTTATTCAAATAATCGTTTGACCTATCTATCTGGCTGGAACTTGGGGTACTCAACGACGGATATCACTTCTTTTTTAATGTTGGGAAATGTATTTACGCATACCACCTGTATACATACAGGTGGTATGCATGCGGCTAAAAAAGCCAGTACCTACTACCTACTAAAACATCCCCCGTCTTAATGAGGCATCGCAGGATCACTTATGCGCTCAACCACGACGCCCCGACGGCAGGTCTGCCGAAGCAGACCACAATAGCCATAGGTTTGCTCCAACGGTCCACTCTGCTGTCAGAGAAGTACAAGGAGTAACCCGCATGGCACACCGCCCCCACTCGGGCCACCTTCATGTACATTTCTTAGTTTCGCGACCGGCTAGATAGCCGGACGCTAATGAGACTCACTGCCTCCCCCCCCCCTCCTCCCCTTCCCCATTCTTTGGTCCTAATAAATCTTTTTATTTCATTCATTCATAGTGTGTTACATTATTTAATTATCATTTTTATACGGTTACTGTATGGAATACAGGTGCCAAAGGTCAAAATTTAATGAAGGAAATACAAGGAAGTTCGTAATAATTGAACGAGTATCTTCAAGACGCTTGAAGCTTCAAACAAAATTTTAAAATTTGTACATATGATAATCGCACGTGTAAGCCCAATTTCATCAAATCAAAATCAATTTGGGACGATTGAAATTCAATGTGGTGTTGGAGTACGCATTCGTAAATACCTACCTAAACAAATTCATAACATTATTCGTTTATAAATATATTTTGTTATTCAACAACAACGACTAAAATCAAATCAAACGTGCAGATAGTAGAAATGTAAAATTAAGAATATTTAAATCACTTAATAGCGGAATATCACAGAATTTATGAAATAAATTAATTTATTTAAAATTATGTTATTTGTGTTTTATCAGGTGAGCTTAAAATGTCAATAATCTTGCATTTTTGTCTTCTAAAAACCTAGACCATTGAAGTTACTTATAAATACGCGTACCTACTTATTACTTCGCCTTTATTTAATTCCTATACCGAAAAGAAAACATGATAATATACGATACCCATCGAGGTAATTTTTCATTTAAGATTCATTTTTTTTACATTATTTATTTACCTGTGTTGGTAAATTCGGCCAAAACATTTAAGCCTTACCCGACTGCGGCGGAGCGGAAAGAAGGATTATTTGTTTGACCTGTATGTATGTATGTCCAATCTTATGTTCCGTCGTAATTACTAAAGGGCTTAACTGATTTTGATAACACGAGAGTCATAGGGTATAAAACGACGACGAAAAGACGAGAACAAGTTGACGAATAAACGTAGTATTACGCAGTCGGAGACATATATGAGATACGTACCTATGTACATTGCATATGTTTTATACTAGTTACGAGTCTTGCTACGTGTATAACATTTATTTTTATATATTTTTATTTTAGTACCTTAATTGTTTTGAAACGCGATATAGTTTATATTAAAACATTATTTTTTGGCTTCATGTTTAGTTCTATTATATTCTGTCTATATTATCCGTATAACCTTAGTCTGAGAACAACTAATAATAAAAAGTGAGATGATCACTAAGAATAAGTGGGATTCATACGTTAAATATTTTATGGTTTTACATTATCCAATTAAATGGAAAAAGAAACCCTCGGGATTTTTAGTCAGATTTTTTTCTTCATACGGAGGTAAAATAATTACTCACTTAAAAATTCTATTTCAAACCAAGCAATAAATAAAAATAAATTTTTACATATCGCATTGATTAAGCCCATCCTTAACTTAGCTTTAGTACATTGTTAAATAAAATATATAAAATATAGGTATAGCCTGCGAAAGGGTTACTCAGTCAAGAGGCCATTTGTATGCTTCGATTTACACAAATGTTTTAAGCTCTTTGTAGTCTATCATACATAAAAAAATTAATAATCTTTATTTATGCAGTGCTTTTATAGACAGCTCTTAGGTTGTGCATCACGCAAAATAATAGAAATAATGTTTACAAAAATCGTCAATATCAATTATAAACACCATTTTGCTCGGATAACACTATTATGAATGGCATTCTATCATGTGAGGTAGAAATAAAAATAAGCTGTGGGTCGCAAAGAAGATCGCTGAGAAAGTTTAATCTACCCACGAAATGTTCATTTTGTATGGTTATATCTTATAATATTAAATGAGCAATACGTGTATTTATATATATCTATGTATTATTTCGTGTATCTATGAAACAGCTCTAACGATTTGGATCAAATTTTGTATTTAGATAAGGTTTTGCTTTTTTACGTAACTATTCTGAAAAAGTGCAATTTTTATAGGCTGATCCTATTATTACAGTAACTGTCTATTACTAGTTACTGTATAACTAATAATATTTTTATTAGTCCGGCTAATGTCTTTGAGTCCAAATCTTAAATAACATAAAGTACCTAATTATGTTATACGGGGGCGTCTGAGTTTGAAATTAAAAAATATTAAAAAAAACTGACTTCCAGGTACTACAAAGTAAAAAATAACTAAACGGAAGTTTTCATTTACAATCCCGGGGGAGAAGCCAACTCCTACCGGGCGCGTCCCCAGGTGGCGGATAGGGGAATGCCACCCGCTTAGGGCGGCGGGTGGTACCGGAGAAATCCGGCGCGGACCAAATGGCTTGGGTGGGGCCGCTCGTCTAGGCCTCGAGCCGAAGACGTTGCGGCCACCGGTGGTGGGACCGCTTGGTCCCACAACCGGATGATGGGTGCCGGTTGCAGGACTGTGGTCGCAGGCCCGCATCCGGCGGAGGAGTAGGCCGCGGCGGGAGAGGAGTGCCGGTATTTCGGTGCGCCGTTCTCCCTACCTTCCGCGGCCTAGACGGGGCCGCCACCGTTTGATGGCGGACGCGGTGGGGCTGCAGGGGAAGAGGAGTGTCGGTGTTTCGTTGCCGCTCTCCCTGTCCTCTGCAGCCGATTGGAGGTGGCCCACTTCGGTGGGCGGTGGTTAGGTTTAATGGGGCTGCTCCGGGTACCTCTCTGGCGTAGCAGAGTTGACTGTGGAGCAGCCCCATTGGTTTGGTGGTCTGCCTAGCGCTTCGGCAGACCTGCCGCCGGGGCGCCGTAGTAGTTATGCGCCAGCGATCCTGCGGCGTCCCATTAAGGCGGAGGGGAGGGGAATGTCGGGTTTTAGTGGGTAGTACCGGCTCTTCTAGCCGGTGAGCCCCACATCACCACCTGGGGGATCAGGTGGTATGCGTAAATGCATTTCCCGACATAAAAAAAAAAAAAAAAAGGTTTTCATTTAGAATAGATACCTACCTAATGAGATATTTTCGAAGTCGGTGCCAGCCGACAATATTTTAAGACAGAATCTTGATTCTTCTCTCTCATAGTAAGTAACTCTACAGCTTACTTCACAATATTTTTCGTAACATTCATAAAAATAATATATTTGTTCAATGAAATAACTTGAACCACATATGAAGTTCTACAAAGGCAGTTATTAAAATAATAAAGTTACCTCAAGAATTCTATCAAAAAAAAAAACTAAAAAAAGTCTTCCACGCAAACGACGTCCCGAAAAAACGTAAAAGCCAAATTCCTTAAAAATTCCCTCTTTTCTGTACAAATATTAATTCCACATGTTGGCGTAGATTCATTTCTGCCATTTGGCTTTGTCAGCAAAAGTTTAGTAAATGTATGGGACTTGTCCACTCGATGACTCTTCCTTTTTAGGTAGATAATATTTTTTGAAACGGGGTAGTTTTTCAATCACGAAATAATTAGGTAGGTACTTTATTAAAAAAAAAGGGACACACTGGCTTCAAAATTACTTAAAAGTAATAATTCTAATAAAAATAATATTCTTGAGGTATATACAACAAGTTCATTAAAAAAAAACAAGATATCGGGTAACAAAAAGATATAGCCCAATTGGTTAGTTTGGTCCTTTTTGTCTTCGTAAGTCGGTCAAAAATTTTTTTAGTTGTGAACACAACCCGACTTAAACAAATGTTATCCAGATGTAAAGTGACATGGGAAAATTATTCATATTTAAATAATATAGTAACATTTTAAACATTCTTTCCTAAAATATGAAAAGTCCTTTGTTTTAACCAGACATACATATAATATCATCATTTTGTAACCTCGCGGTTATCTCAAATTCTCAAAACCGTGCGGATACCCCACGTTAAGCGCTGATAAACATAAATGAAACCATTATGGCATGAAAGCTTGTGACAGTTAAATACTTATATCGTGTTCATCTTTTTTTTATAAAAAAAACGTAACTTATCTGATTTTTTATCAGCAAATGTGTATTGTGTAATAAAAAATGTTTGCCAATCTTATTTAGGTAATTTCAGATAATTTTTTTATACAAGATATTATTAACTAATAATTTTATTTAGAAGATATTTTACAGACAACCTACCGCAATACTTATCTAACGGACACTGTGTTCGCGGGTTCCATTCCCGCACTAGGCAAACATTAGCCGGATCAATTACTCACTGGACTGGACTGGAATGAAATGGACTCGCTTCGTAAAGAAAAGTATTCGGTGTAATTTAGATTTAATGATATTCGCAAACAAGAACTAATAAGAAGAGTGTGAAAGAAATACGTTAAAATTTCTTTCATACTATGTAGATACTATGGCCTATTGAAATCGTTTTTGACAGTCTACAAAATCGCGTATGCCTTTTTGATACCTTAAAATCACAGATCAAAGATTGAATTAATTAATTAAGAAAAAGGATGTCACCCAGCACACAACTTTCCACTCGCGGTGATTGCAGAACGCGTAAAGTCGTGTCAAATGTACATATTTTTTTTAATTTAGCTAAGTCGTTTTACTGTTTTTACTGTATGTTAGAAAAATATGACAGTTTACTGTTTAGCGACTTGCTCCTAGGTGCTTTTTGTAGGTTATAGGATCTGTGGTTACGGACTTCAATTAAAGTTTAGTTTTACTGACACTAAACATCACTACATAGTTAACAAAATCGCTGTCTGTCCCTATGTATGCTTTGATCCTTAAATCTACGCGGCGGATTTTGATGCGGTTTTTTGAATAGATAGAGTGATTCAAGAGGAAGGTTTTAGTATATTATTTGTTAAGTTTTTGTATGCATTGGCTAAAATATAACGATATTTCGACGAAAACGCTGCTAAATCCTTTGAGTTATAACAAAATAATGTATGATGGAAATTGTGTATCTTATATAGGTTTACAGAAAAGTCCGGAAGGGCAATATGTCTTTAGAATAGAATCTTTAGAATATATCTTTATTGACACAATTCTTTGTTGTTATATAAGCCTGTTGAAGCCTCTGACTCCTAAACTAGAATAAACCTGTATGTCAGGAGTCACTCTATCTCTTAAGGATAACATGCTATAATTGCTATATCCATTTTAATTTAAAACCTACCGAGGGACGAACCCGAGCGAAGCGAGTGTGAGTCGCTAGTATTTTTATAAAAATAAAAAATATCCTATTGCACTCGGTGGTAATGTAGCTTCCTATTAGTGAAAGTATCAAAAAAGAAAAGAAGAAAGAATAAAAAAGGGTTTAAGAATCCGATCAATAGCTTCATAAATTACTAATATATAGAAAACATACAGTCTTACAAACTTTACCGCTTTATAATTATAATAATTAGTATGCATATTAAGTGTGATTTATTTAATAAAACAAAACATTTGATAAAAGGATATTAGCTTAAAGTGAACAATCGATTAATACAACAGTAACCAGTGTTATTATTAATGGTATAAAATATTTAACGTATTTGTACGAGCATTCTATAAATGTTACAATATAATAATTAACCCTACATTCTACAATCTACAGTGCTTCAGAATCAGACGTCAGAGCTCAGATATTCATGAATCATTTCATTCATTCGTTCTTTCGTTCCATCGTACAACGACTAACGAGTACCATTCATTCAGTACGCAAGCGTTCGAACTCGAAGTGCGAACCAACCCGACGAGTAATCATTAACCGCCGCCAGCCGCCTATGTCATTCTAGTTTTAGCCGGTGGTGTGCTAGTACATCTCATTCCTACTCGTAAAAGCATATCTGAAATTTCATTTAAAAATGGAATTCGTTGGCAAGAAATACAAAATGGTCTCCTCTGAGAACTTCGATGAATTCATGAAAACTATTGGTAAGTTTTTTTCTGTATTTCAAAGATTATTTAGAGATATTTGCGAGAAAAATCGATGCCGGCCGGCTTTCGTTCGTTGACCACGCCATTTTTTTTGCGATATTCACTCTGTACCCACATTCTCGCAATAATTTCTAATTTTAACTACTGCATTTAAAAATCTAATAATAATCAATAATAATTACTTGAAAATCATATTTTTTTTGTACTTATACATAATAAGTTTATAATATAATACTTATATATTATTTTTTTCATTCCTGTCATTTTTGTTGATAATGTATCATTTTAAACTATCGTAACCGGTAATTGGTTCGATTCTTGCTTGGAAAAATTATTTTTAGTAATTATAATTTATAACGAGTCTACATAGCTCATTAGAACAGTAAAGGGTGTGATAGAAAAAGTTTATTTTTCAATTTATATTCTTAAATCGTTGATAATTTTTTTTATTTAACCCACATAAAAGTTTTTTTTCTAGATATTAAATAAAAAATGTGGAATGTTCACTATGGGATTTATTTTTTATTTATTACATTTTAAAATCATGGAAAAATAGATTTTTTTTATAATAAATTATTTTTACCGACTACAGAAAATGATGGTGTCAATTATTATTCTGGAAGAGTCATTATAAATTTCTGTCAGCTTATTAAGGACTTCTATTAATTAAATTGCAATATTTTTTCATTAGTCTAGGAGCTAGGTGTCTCTTGAATGGAATAATGAAAGTTTCATCAAATTCGGTTCATTATACTAATATTATAAAGAGGTAAAGTTTGTGAATTGTGAGTTTGTGACGTTGTAGGGGGTAATATCTGGATCTACTGAATCGATTTAAATGACCCTGGGACAGGACACAGAACAGGACATAGGATACTTTTTATTTCGGAAATCATCCCTTAAGGGGGTGAAAATTTGTACGGAGAATCAACCTAGGGACGAACCCGAGCGAAGCGAGGGTGAATCGCTAGTAATTAATATATTTGAAACTTAGAAGAAAAATAATTTAATGTTTCGGAACTCGATAGAATTCCAATGGCTTAAATATATCTTTTTTATTTTCAAAATCATGAAAGGCTATATAATAGGTGTGTAGAACATAGACCTAACAGATTATTCTATTGCTTAAGTACATTTTATTGTACAAGTATTGTTTTATTGACTACTTCTGTATCTTATTAATGTTCAAGTCACATGGAGGTATTTATATTTTATAAATAACAATATAATAACAGCATACAATAAATATTAAATAGCATAATATAATTTTGTTGTACAGCTTCAAAAATCTTTTGGTTCATCATGACAGTGTTCTTTCTACCTGTAAGTGATGATCATTATTAATGACTCGTGTTAAAACCATTATATCAAAAAAAAAACGTCCCACTTCGTTAAAAATTTAAAAAACAGCGCAAATAATTTTTAAAAGTTATATTTTATTATTATATAATTTATAAGTAATACACATTTCAATTTTAGTAATTTACTGAATATTATTAATTATGGACCTTATGGAGCTTTGGATTCCAGATGTCGATAATTTTGGGATATTACGTATTCTCATTACTTATTACGTCTGGTTTTCAGACACAATTAAGGGTCAACTTTAAAAAAGGTATATCCACTCGGCAACTTCCGCGGCACGCATCTAGTCTATCAAATATCACGAATTACCTAAGTCTAGTATACATTTTAGGGCGTCTTCGTATGAAAAGAGATTTGAGTAAAAAAGTCGCATTGAATGCCTTCTATTTGGGACCTATGATACCTAACAAACAGACACGTCAAACTTATAATAATATATTATACTCGTAACTATAATATTAGGTATACCTACTGAGTAAAAATAAAAGTTTTTGGTTATCCAGCAAAAATAAATATTAAGTAGGTAGGCTTAAGTTTATCTTCGACGAAGATTATTCTTCAATGTGACACGCTTGGAATAGATAATGCATTTGATTATGCAGTATAATCTATATTACATATAATAAAATTGTAACTAAGCCGAATCTGTGCATTAAATATTTTTTGGAAAATCTTATTGAAATAGACATTATTATAGATACAGAGGCCGAATCTATAGTTTTTAGAATTTTTGTCGGTCTGTCTGTCTGTTACCGCATCACAGAAAAACCACTGGAGGGATTTTGATGAAATTTGCTATGGTGATAGCTGGTTATCCGGGTCAACATATAGAACACTTTTTGTCGCGGGAAAATGACTCGTTTCCGAGAAAAAATACAAACTGCAAAGTTAGAGTATACTAAACCTAAGAATGTGGTTTTTGGTCAACTGAACGCGGGCGCAGCCGCGGGCAATTCTAGCAATACTATATATAATAGGTACTTTTAACTCTAGTAAAAGAAAAAATAATACAACTTTTTTATAAAGCCTTTAAAAAAAGAAATCTAGTTACCTAACTTTTGAACAAAAGCCTTTGCGATACCTACATTTAATATAGAACCTTTATGCAGAAACTTTATGATTTAATCAAACACTTGTACAATTATTATAATTGTATTTAATTTTCTTAACTCAAGGCTTAATCTGAGAGATATTAATTGATGACATTAATTCTTGAAAACACCCATGACTAATTGAGTACTTACATATAAATAGATGTATTGAAAATAAGAGCGAGAAAGTATTATACCTCAATTACTAGAACAAAATATTACATACATATGCCTCAACACCATGAGATATGTCGATCCCCGCATTCTCATAACTATGTAAGCAAAAAAATATTTAAAATTGTCAAAAATATGTTAAATCTTATGCGCGTTTGCACTTCACACGTTATATTAATATTGAATACACAATGCTATATACTAATCATTGTCATTTGTGTCTGTGCTATAAAAGGCACACTAGGTTTCACGATAATTCTTTTACATGTGCAGAAATTACATTTTTACTAAGTTTTCCAGTAAAATAATTTTATACTTCGGTTGATAAAAAACTACATTAAAATAATTAAAGGCGTTATCTCACTCCTTTCTTAAAGATTTACATATATATCAAAAATTGAAAAAAAATATAAATGCATCCATTATCCTATCTACACATATGCAAATTTTTTTATTGTAGACTTCTTTGCTGACTTATCAAATATTGCGGTGCAACAAAAGTTGATATATTAATTTTACTGGTATATCTATATAACCCTACACCATTATATTTTCTAAATAAAACGTCATGGTGTAATTATCTATGTTTAAAAAACTATAAAATATATACCTGAAGAAATATCATAACACTATTCACTGCTTGTATATTAACTTGTAATCATTGAACATGTAGTAGTAATAACCCTACATGCATTAACCGTAAATATCCATAGTTCAATAAAAACTACACAAATGGAAATCGATTCCGCGATCTTCGGCGTAATAAGCAGTGCCAGTGTAAGGTTTAACCAAACATGCAACTGCCTTTTTTAGGAATAATGTAGATCAGCCATACTCAACCTTTTTTTTATAGGGGCACACGTTTCAGTCATGGTCTGTTTTCCCTTTTTTTCTTTAAACAGAACTTCTAGATTGATATCGTTTTCAAAATCGATGAACTCATCAAACAACTCTGAATAATTACAATTTAAAATGGAAGCCAACTCTGAGATGCAACTTCAGTTGGGCCAATAACAAATTCCCGGCGGGCCGCAGGTTGAGTATAGCTGATGTAGATGATTCATATTACCTTTATCTTTTATAACTTTGCTTGGTCCGCGTCTCACAGACTCCATTGTGCTACAAGACAGAATAAACCGTTTAAAGTAAGTCGTTCTTTGTTAAACGTATTACTTATTAGATAGGCACCAACGTAATGAATACTACATTTTTCATAATAAACTGTTCAATTTTATACCAAACTAGCATTGCCCGCGGCTCCGTCCGCGTTCAAATGACTAAAAACCAAATTCAAGGTTTTACATATTAATATACCCTTACACAAAGTTTTTGTATTTTTTCTCAGAAATGAGTTATTTTCCCGCGGTAAAAAGTATCCTTCCTATATGTTGACCCGGATAACCAGCTATCACCATACCAAATTTCATCAAAATCCCTCCAATAACCTTACCGTGATGCGGTAACAGACAGACAAAAATTCTAGAAACTAGATTCGGTCTCTGTATGAATAATAAGCTAGTTATCCGGGTCAACATGTAGGATACGTTTTATTGCGAGAAAATATCTCATCTCTAAGAAACCTATACTAAACGTTAAAACGTTACTATAGAGGAACCCGACCGGAGCGAGGGTGAGTCGCTTACTTACATAATATAACTCTTAAATACATAATATATTAATTATTACTTTTTTACACAGTTTTTATATTATAACTAATAGTACAACAAAAACTTCTATATGTAGATATTGTTCTTAAAATATTAAAAAGAAAATATTATAGTTGTAGTTTATGTATTTGTGTAATACATGTATAGGCTTTAGATTGATAATTCATAAACCTATAGAAATTAAAAAGTCAATGAACAAAATATTTTAAATCGTATGATAATTTCTGAAATTGCGGTTACCACAGAAACAAAATTATTATGTGTTAACACGAGCGTGTCGTTCACTTTGTTACAAAAAATGCTATTTCTTTTATCTCTAGTATCTTGAGACGACAATTAGCCTTTTTATGTTAAAGTGACTCGTATCGTTTTTGTTAGTCTAATACAGGAGAATAGACTAAAAATAACTTTGTTGTACGGTTAAATATATATAATATGTATGTATTTAAATTTATATATGTGTAGTGTATCAACTATCTGGTATCCATAACACAAGCCTCGTCGCTTACCATGGAACCACTGGTGATGTGTGTCAGTGTCCCAACATATTTATTATTATTATAGTATGTATGTAAATAATCACTCTTTTAAATAATTTTTAATAGCTTGTCATTGATGAATAAATTTAATAGCTCTAATATATTCGGAAGTATATTATATAATAATAAGGATTAATAGTATTCGGAGCCTAGCATTTTTT